ATTTCATCATGAGCAGATTTGTCATACCCTTTAGAGAACCTAGGAGGAGATCTTGGCTTTAAGAAAACAGTTTTTTTGTATGAAGTCTTATTAGAGTAATTTGATGAATCAAGATTGTAAAGAGTCTGAGGGGTGGGAGATGCTAAAACATCTGCATAGGATTTAGAACAGGGAGGGTGTAATTTAAGTGCCTCAGCATATGTAATGCAGTCCTTAGCCATAGTTTCTTTTATGTTCTTTTGCCTATTATATTCAGGACATATCTTGCTAGTGGCCATATGAAGCCCTGAACACAAACAACACCTTATATCATCTTCCTCCACTGAGCATGAATGACCTGAGTGGCCTAGACCGCACTTGAAACACCTGGGAGTTGAGCGGCATTGGCTTTTTACGTGCCCATATCGACAGCAATTAAAACATTGAATAGTCGGGTAGATATACAGGTCAACGGGTAGGGAGTTAAAACATAAAAACACTCTCTTAGGGAGGACTTGACCGTCAAAAGTTAACACCACCGTTTCTATAGGAACAAACTGAGCCTCTCCATTAACTATGTTTTTCCTTTTAAGTCGCCGAGCTTTTAAAATTTTCCCACAACCTATTGGTACTGAAATATTGTTTACAATTTCCTCTTCAGTCCAGTCTGTTGGCACACCTCTCACCACACCCATACGTGTCACATTAAAAGAGGGAATGAACGCTTTATATTTATTAAACTTTAAGCTCCCGTTGTCTAGAAATGAATTAGCATCTTCAAATTTGGAAAAAGATATTGATATTCGGTTCCGTCCGATTCTTTTCAAACTACCATCAATGATGTTTCTAATGCCATTCTTTTTTAAGAAAAATCCAAATGAAATAGGATGGATGGTGCAATTTTCATTGGGGTCAGATGGTACTCTTTGAATGTGAACAACATATGGTGCCAAATCTGAAGCTACATAAGAAGGTCTAGCAACCGGGGCACTTGGAGAATTGGATGCGTTTTCATTGGCCGACAAATTCGCAGTGGATGGGGATGGATCTAATGAAGAAACTATGGGCGCATCCTGTAATTCACTAGTACTGCTACTAGGAACACACTGACATTCAAAGACGTTTGTTGAATCGAACACATTAGACTTATTATGACGACTCCTCCTTTTTTTGTTACAATGTTTGCAAACTTTTCTAGCTAAAGTTCGTTTGCGTTTTGCATGCGAAACATTTGACTCACTGTTATTATTATCGGTTACCGATCCTTCAGTGTCCAGACATGAACTATTACGTGAAATAGTAATGTAATTAGAAACCGGGGGGGCTGTCCCACCCGGGTCATGAGGATCGTCGTCCATTGGACGAGATGGAAAGTTAAAAAGTTAAAACTTACCCAATATGTGATGAGATATGATACACTTAAATGATATATAAATAAAAATTAAGTTAACAAACTACACTGCACTACTTAACTGATCCTATAAATAGCAAAATAATGAAAAAATTATTTCTCCAAAAAAATGACGTCCACCGAAACCGACGTTTCCCGCGCTTTTTCCCGGCCTTTTTCTGTAGCTTTGTAAAGCATCATGCCATCATTGATGTTATAATATTTGTTAGTCTATAGAGCCATGCTGCTTTTACACTGCGCGGAAATTAGCCAAGTCAAGTTAATGTGAGTGAACATACACCGAACAGTGGGGTTGGGAAGAAAATCATTCATTTTTCATCCCTACCCCACTGTTCGGTGTGTGTTCACATATATATTGACTTGACTTGGCTAATTTCCGCGCAGTGTAAAAGCAGCACGAGCAGCACCAGACTGCATCGCGGCATCGTGTTCGTGCCCATAGCTGTCAAATGTGTGTGACATACTTTGTGACATACTCTCTAATCTGTGATGTGTGTGTCACTCTAATGTCAGTTGTCAGTGTGTGTACTTTTTTCGTTGATGATGGTGTTGTTGACAAACTGAGAAAAATTTACTAATTTAATTTTAGGATTCTTTTGTGCAATAACCTTCTGAGTTCATATCAGCACTTAGATTGTGTGTATGCGTTTTTTAATATTAGTATGAACTTTTGTGATTCAATGTTTTGTGAATCTCGTTTTCATTGTTTCAGATAAACGAGAGAAAGTAGTTATAACAATAAACAGGCGAGGAGTGGTCAAAGAAAAGTCTTAAACGTTGCGTCGATCAACGTTCAGAATGTCGACGAATTACTACGATTACTATGATGGCAGTCAAATATTCTTGTTTATAGCAAACAAAATATGTCTTCCTATAGATCTTGTAAGTATTGAACTTTTTGCTTCAATTTTATATTTAAACACTGTAATACACTACAAAGTAGTTTTCTGCAATTTGCTATATGAATGCTAGAGTAATTAGTATTATGTTTTATGTATTTAAAGATTTGCAGCTAAACCACTACATTTTGTTGGAGTTTAAACTACTACATCACAGCACAAATAATATGGGATTTTAATATTTATTTGTACAAAATTAGTTAGTATATATAGTTTTAGCGTAATTAACGCTTAGTTTCCATAATATAGTTTACAGCCCATCTTTTCTTAGCTAGTGGAAAGAGAAACACTAAAATTAATTCGCTTATTTGTGATTTAGGCTGTCTCTTATTGTGCATTAAAAAGAAAAAAGCAAAATACAGATTTTTAGTCTAGATAGTTGTATATTACTAAATTTATTACTATTTGAAAAATGAAAAGTATAACGTAACACAGATAGTCTAGTACAGTCGAGTTCATAAATATATTGGCAGTGCCCAGTGTTTCAAAATATTATTGTGCAGTAGTTAATTCAATACTACACTACTGCAACATGTTAATGAACAGTATATGATTACATTTTATTTATGTTTGAGTTTGTATTGAAATGTGTGATTGATAAAACGCTAACAATATTTTGAAACATTGACACTGCCAATATATTTATGAACTTGACTGTACCTATATTATTTCAAAGAAATTTGATTAAACACTAATTCATTTTAGAGCTGTAGAATAATAAAGTTAATAATAATGTACAATAAAATGGAAACACTATTAATACCTAATAATATGTCCATTAAAGTATCTACAATAATTAATATTACTTGTATCTGTATTGAAAGTTCAAACAGAAACACACTATACAGTGTGAGTCACGTTAAAGTGTACATATGAAGATAGACCCATTTTTTATTGACAAAAAAGAGGTCAAAAAATTTTTGAGATTTATTTTTTATACATTTTTTTTTCTTCCAATTACTTATTGTAAAGAAAACGTAATAACTTAAACTAAATGGTATATCCTGATAAAATAAAAACAGTAATAATGCTAAATAACAGGCGATACAATAAATAATGGAACGGATATCTGGTAACTATCCGGTAGGCCAGATATCTGGCCTAAATTTACTATCCGGCCGGATACCGGATAGTAACTCACTATCCGGCCGGATATTAAAAAACTACGACAATTTCCTTTCAAAAAACTAATTTTTTTTCTGGGTTATTCACTCTAATGACAATTTTTAATACTAAATGTCGAAATATAGCCAATTAAAATGGGCGATCTTTTTTTCACTGAGTAGTAAATAATTAAATTTTCCCTATTTAACCATACACTCATGATGGCAACTGAAATCACCCGATTAATTTACCCCCTAGACAAGTGGCAAAATCTGACATTCTATTCGGACGGATTTGATTTACGAAAACTGTGACTAGTCTAGTCTACTAATACCACTGATCGCGTTCGAAGCACCTGTGCGGCGCTCAACTCGTCACGACAGACAATGGGCCAACTATCCGGCCGCCGGATATCCGGTATCCGGCCAAACCACTATCCGTTTCATCTCTAGTTTAAACTAAGTCTCTCCGGGCGCGCCATTCAACGCTTCGTTAACAACGAAACTGAAAATGGCTTTAGATTTGTAATTTTGATAAAGACAAGTTAGATTTCAAATAAAAACAAAAGATTTCGAAGTAAAATAAGCATTTTAGTTAAAATTAAAATTGTCTCTACCTGTAGCGGATAGGGCATGCAAACCGGATAACCGAAAAAACCGGATAACCGACACAATTTGGAACTCGGTTTTTGTCAGTTATAAATCCGGGTTTTTCGGTTTTTTCGGTTTTTCTTCTACGATTTTAGATAATTTAATAACTCATACAAGAACACGCTTCTTTAGTCATATCAATAAAAACAATTATTGTAATGCAATGTGGAAGCGGTACCAAGGCTCCNTGGTATATGGTGTAATAATTAATAAAATAGTAGTTTCAGATCATAATAAACATTTAAGGAGTAAATAATTAGAATCCACTCTAAAATTCTAGCCTTATTCCTTTACAATCGCCACTTATATCACTTTACACATAATTATTAGGATACTTAGATCGCTATTATGTTAGTTAGATCAGTTTACACATTTTTTTTCTCATCACAAAATTGGTGTATATTGATATAAGTAGAAATTTTTGGACTATTTACCCTAAATAACCTGAAATAATGATTCCTCATAGTGTAATTACTAATGTTAGTTTTACAACTTTTTCTAAAATTAAAGAAACAAAAAAATATCAACAGAAATGGCGTAAAATGTATCACTTTACACTTGTTAGCGGGTGGTCAATTCAGTGTGGTGTAAAATGATTTATGTCCCATTACATCACTTTACACGAATGTAAAGTTGCCGTGCATGGCGATATAACTGGGTTTTTATTTAATTACGTAAAAACTACATGCTATATTTCCCAAACTGGCACACTACCTAATTATGTCTTGCATTACCTTTCACCTAAAAAATATTTCACCAAGTTATCTCTAATAGCGACGAAGCAGGATTTTTTTTAACTTCAAATGCGATTTCCCAAAAATCACCATTTTCGACTTAACTCCGTTTTCACTGGGGGTACAGAATTGGAACCCCGATTCACTCAATTCCTAAAGCATCATACTGTATAACCAAATAAAATTACTAAACCGTTTGCGTGACAAAATATTGTGTTGTTAGTTGATAGAAAACATGCCTGTACGACCCCTGCCCCCTGACTTGGCAAAAAAGGCCAAGTCAGAGCTGACTGAGGACCCGAAGCGATTGCAGGACGGCATCGACCACTTGAAGGACTGGATTGATAAGCAGCCGTATCTGCGGGCTAGAACAGGTATGTAGAGTTACTAGATTTAGCATTGGGTAGGTAGCTTGAACCGCTAATTTCAAGACATATTCTACATTAAAGGTCTAAAATAAGTTAGTTAGATTTTTAGTATTTTAGAATTCATTTATTAGTAAACTGAGTTCAATTCGCCCAGCGCCAGCTTGAAGTTGAGTGTTGGGACACCTTGGGAGCTGTGTTTCACCTGAACCTCGCTGCAAGCTGTTATTTGGTTTATATTATACTTGTTTCGTGTTATGTTCTGAAAGTCAATCGGGGAGATTATTTCAATGCTAAATTAAGTTCTTTCTGTTCAATTAGATAGAGATTTTTGGAAACATTTTCATGATTATTTTTCTTGTTTACGGCGAATATTTATTTTTTCAGACGACCAGTGGCTCATTGCCTTTCTTAGAGGCTGTAAACATAGTATAGAAAGGGCGAAGGAAAAAATTGATCTGTATTATTCATTAAGAAGTACTGCTCCCGAATTTTACTTGCCCAAGCACACGGACCAAAAGTTCATAGAGCTTATAAAAGCAGGGTATGTATTAACATATACATTATGTAGTTAACGTCTTGAAAATGTTTGTACTAACAGTTACATTATTTGCATAGAACCACACAGAACGCACCAAGATAGGTATCATGTAGAAACGTAATTTCCTCGTAACTAAATGATTTATCGCAGAGAAAACTTATTGAAAGAAGAAAACTGAAAGTCCCCATACTAAAAGAAAGGGATCATTTTTATTATGACCACCTTATAAAAGTTCCTTGCAAAGGTAGAGCGCTCCATATTTTTTACCAGCTTACTTTATAAAAATATGTATTGAGGGGTATTATATTAACTCTATATTTGCTATTCCTATACCTCCTCATTTATTAAAACCAGTAACGCTAACCAAAATACTGTATAGTGTAGTTGTGTACCTTCAGAGATATTCGGCAGAAAGTGTAAAAGTATGTAATAACTATAACGCTCTATTGACATAATGTCTAAGCAGTGTAATAACTGCCGTAATTAAATATTGAACATATTTTTATTCCAGGGTTGTTCTAATACTGCCAAAAACCGTTGGACCCGCTGGACAAAGAGTGACGTTGGTCAGAGCCAGCCAATATGATCCGGAGAGGTTCTCTCTCAATGAGTTTCTATCAGTGTCACTGGTTATAAAGCAAGTGAGTGATTGTCCACAATAGGTAGGCTATAATTCACAATGATATGTGACAAACTGAATTTCACGTGGGCGAAACCGCGGGCAAAAGCTGATTTCTACTTAATTATTTTTATCCACTGACCTCTAAACACACTGGATTGGCTGCTGTCATAATATTTTTGTGCCTATTTGAGTTTCGCCATTTTGGCGCTGTTGGCCATACTGGCAGATACGATTATCCATGGAACTAAAATTAGTTATTTTCTTTCTCATTAAAATTTAATCCATACAATGAACGTTAAAATTAGATCTCAGGACAATCGTAGTGGCGCTTCTAATTGGCATACAAAATTAGCTGTCATTTGTATGACACGACACAGCCTGTCCAGTGTGTATAGAGGTCAGTGTTTCTTTCTCAGATTCTTTACTTGGAAGACGACGCCTTTGTGGTGGCGGGAGCTATCAACGTGGTGGACTTGGAGGGAGCTACGCTGGCCCACTTCGTGCAAATGACGCCTACGCAGATGAAGAAGATGGTGGTGTTAGAACAAGTATATTTTTTTATCAATATCTCTCCCACAGTCTAACTTAGGCATAACAGAGTGCTGAGTGTGAGTTTACATCAAAATATATGAACATTTAAGTTCTTGAAAGTTTCCGCTAGGGGCGCTGTACAATCCCTCATACATTTAGTGTCATTTTTTAGGCGCTCACTAGTGAGGATGTTTCATATAAACTCACACTAAGCCCACAGTACATTGGCACAATTAGTTAATAATTATAGCGCGAGTACTCTCCTCTCTCAATGTGGTCGGTCAGGAGGCAAATATAAACTTGTATAGGTAAATTTATTAATAGGAGTAAATTATTTATAAAAATAACTTGCCAAGAATGTTACCTAACACATTTTATTATTTATTTTTTTAAAGAAAAGAATATGGCCTGCATTGTTTCAATAGGCGGCTTTCCTCAAACTTTGCAAAAGGCTAAATAAATTGTAAACTTAAAAAACTTTTTTTTTTATTAACAGGACGCATCTCCTCTTCGTGTGAAAAGTGCTCATTATTTGTGTACTCCGCCGGGGTTTGAGACAGTTTTTAATATGGGCAAGAAGATTTTAAGCGAAAAACACAAAAATAGAGTATGTCATACATGAAGTTTTTTCAATTAAATATCCTCAACGTACTCTATCTAATCGTCTTATTATCCACAGATCTACATTCACAAAAATAAGGAAGAATTGTTTGATTATGTTCCCAAAGAAATAATGCCAGTGGAATATGGTGGCAATGGAGGAACCGTCGATGAAATTATAGGTATTTGTTTTTGGAGGATAACAATAAGAAAACCTAAATAAAATATTATTTTGAGGTGTTTTCTGGGGTCCTATTGAATAGGATTTTAGGGCAGAAGTACCGGTTTTGGCCACTTCACTTTTTAATATGTGAAGCATTATGAAATTACAAAATAATAATTAATTTAGTGTTAAACTCCAGTTTTACCCATTTATGAAATAATTTTAATTTACAATATTTTTGATAGTAAATTAATTGTGGCCAACAAAGGTACAGTGGCCACAAAAGGGGACTTTACCCTACCTGAATATGGCACACGACAAAGCAAGAGTGCGGGTGAAATGTGTAGTGTGTTATTACACTCTTATATTTCCACGGGTGCTTGATTTTTGATTTTGTATAAGTAATTCGATGTGATGTAAGTTGACACTGTTCTCATCTTTACAGATTACTGGATTAAGAAGATTCAAGAATATAGAAGTTGGCTAGACGAAGATCTGCAGTATGGGACAGATGAGCACTTGCGGCCAGGGTCGCCCAAAACCGCTGAAAATATGTTCGGGGTCGAAGGTTCCTTCAGACAGCTTGAGTTCGATTGAATTTTATCAATTAAATATGTGCTCTGATGTCGTATTGATTAATTTAATTTTGATGATTATATTATGTCACCTATATTAAGGCAGCACTTAGATAACATAAAAAAAAACTTTGTAAAGATTGTTTTAGTGTGTCTTGTTGGTTGTCCTATTAAATAAATATATGTATAAAAATAGATTAAATACGAGTAAAACTCTATTCATTTAAACATCTGGGGGCACGGCAGTGCCCCCGCCAAGTCGAGCGCGAAGCAAACACTGCCGTACCATCCTTTACTGGAACCATTTCGCCGCATTTTCAGGCCCCTATTTGAGAACCTCTGGATAAGACCAGAACGCAGAAATTTTCGTCATCTAGTAAGCTATAATCACATACTTAAAATCCAAAATTTCAAGTCTGTAGGTCATTCATTTACGAAGTTAAGCGAAAGCAAAGTTTCGCATTTACGACACTCACTCACTGATGATCATCAAAATAGAACTAGTACTTCCCATAAACTCAGAGAGCTGAAATTTGGTACAGAGTTAGGGTTTAATGGCCACATAAAGGGAAAACTATAAAAACTAGGAAAATCGAAGATCTGGAGTAACACCATATTACTACTCCGGCACCGTGGTATTCGCCTGTATCGCTCACCGCTAGATGGCGCTAGCACTAGCAAACGGTGTCCAGATTTGTTTCCTTTCTAGAGAAAGTCATCGATTAAGTTGAATGTTGTGTAATTTGCATTTCGTTGATTTCGTTTATTATATNTTATAGTTTCCGAGTAAATCGGCTGTGACAGACGGACAGACGGACAGACGGACAGACGGACAGACGGACAGACGGACAGACGGACAGACGGACATGACGAAACTATAAGGGTTCCGTTTTTGCCATTTTGGCTACGGAACCCTAAAAAGTTAAAACTTACCCACTAAGTGATGAGATATGATACACTTAAATGATATATAAATAAAAATTAAGTTAACAAACTACACTGCACTACTTAACTGATCCTATAAATAGCAGAATAATGAAAAAATAATTTCTCCAAAAAAATGACGTCCACCGAAACCGACGTTTCCCGCGCTTTCTAGAAACAATTAAAAATCGTAGAAAAACACGTTTTTTCGATGAAAAATTTTTGACGTTTATTTTTTTTTAATAATGTCACAGTTGTAGACTTGAGACGGAACTAAAGTGATTAAAGTGAAAATTACGACTTTGAATTATTTATACTTTTAAATAACCATTTAATTTATAGAAATCACATAGATTCAATAAAATAATTTATGAATAAAAGCTGAAGTTGTAATTCGAAAACGTGAGTATTATAGTGTAATTGTGTGCAGAAGTGTTTGTTTACATCGATGGAAATTTCTAAAGAATTTAGGATTATATAGCCTGACCAGGAACATAAAAACCCTGGCATAGAGGCGCGACAATTGCATTTGATAGTGCAACACTGAGTACAGTCGTACCTGTGTTAAATTAATTGGCTAACTCTATGTATCAGGATTCAGGATTACGGGCTAATTTGATATTTTCATAAATTAACGAAAAAATATTATTATAGGTAACCTGATTTAAATAAATTAAATGAAACCATCAATCGAGCTATTAGGACTTATTTTATTAATCATGAATAATCAAATTCAGAACTTGAATAGTCAACTGCAATGTCTGCTCATGAACGCATCAAACTCGGTACTTCTTTCCCAATTCCATAAAATTCAACACTTAGAAAGTGACAAAAAATTTTAAAATAGATAGTTGAAACAAACCACAGCTAATTTTCATAGTGGACTGTACTATACGATAAACATGTCAGTCAATTTGACAACCTTTGTCGGAAACATTATTCAATGAAAATATTGTCCGAACCATTAGTTTATTACTCAAAAATATTTAAAAAGGTTTGTTTGGCTGCTAAATCAAATCATCTTCGAAACATGATTTTAAATCTATATTATATAAAGCTCGATTCCTACTCACTCACTGACTCACTGATCAGGGGTATTTTTAGGGTATTTAGAGGGGAGGGGGGTAAAATTGTTGGTGTTTGTTTTAAACTAGATTTTTTGACACCCAGGTTTTGTAAATTTTTTGAACCAAAAAACAAAATGGCGGCACTTTTTGAAACATCAACTTTTTTGTTTTTGGTCCTGAATTTTTTCCTTTTTGGTGGTTTGTTGGAGTTGCCAAGGTGTGCTAAAAAATGTGAGAAAAAAATGGAAAAACAAAATGGCCGCGCCGCCATCTTGGATTGAAAATGCGATTTCGGGGTGTTTTTAGGGAGGTGTCACTCCGAGATGCGCAATTGTTTTTGAAAAATTCTTTTGAGTGTTTGTTACTTGTATAGTCTGCTTCAGAGCCCCATTAACAGATTATCAAAAAACAAGATGGCGGCTGAGCCGTCGGCCATTTTGTTGCGATCAAAAAATTTCTAAACTTTGACAGCAATTTTCCGGTAGATGGCGACACCGGAGTGGGGTACAATGTTCCGGGCGATTGTTGGTCTGTTATTCGAGTGTTGCCATGAATAGAAAAAAACTACCATTTTGGAAGAAAATTTTCCACCACGGCCCCGGATAGTAGAAAATGGAAATTTCCAAAAATTCCATAAACTTGGAATGCANTTGGCGGGATACATATTACATAAATTTAATTTATTAGATATTAGAATTCATTCATTCATAAGTGCAACATTAATTTCAATCCGATATTTAAGTAACCCGCTGACCTGTGAAATTTCATTCCTTATACTGTTGTACGGTGCTAATCAGACCATTTTTGTTGTAAAATAACCTTTATTACAACTACAAAGATACTGCAGTGTTGAACTTGATGTGCAGTCGTATGTACCTTACAAAACTACTCACTAACTACAAAAAAGGTACAAATAGTAGCAGGAAGGCGCCATGCAGGCTACCAACCGGAAAATCATTGGGTGAGGCCATAGGAGGAGGCCATAATGGGAGGCCATAGGGGGAGGCCATAGGGGGAAGCCATAGGGGGAGGCCATAGGGGGAGGCCTGTGTTCAGCAGTGGATGTCCTATGGCTGATATGATAATGATGATGAATTACAAAAATATTAATTTGTTTTCAGTGTCCGTTGACATAAGTGAGGACAGATTGTTTCTTTGATGTTTTATAACCACGTCACAAAGTAGCTATCAGATGATTATTACGAACCAAGAACAACGAATCGATGCGCATGCGTGGTTAACGATAGTCTCTACTTATTACTAAACAATGTTTGTTAATGTACCGGTTTTCCAATTATTACGGCATGTGCGTTACATTATCAAGATTCTCAAGCCCTGGTTAGTTTTTTAGTACAGAACATAGTAGAACATTCTGGCTTTAGAAATATGCTTTTATAGAGCAAGAGTCCGTGAATCCCAGATATTTTATAAAATATGTTTATTACTTTGTAAAAGATGATAGTTTTCCCAGCATCTGCCAAAGCCACTATAGCCATTTCATGATGATCCATCGTTCTTATCTTGCTGGGAGCACGCGCTGACAAACTTTCAGCTTTTAAAAAAAAAACGAAGGTCTGATGTTTCCAGGCTCTTAGACCATTATGAAAGGCTTCAAGCACATTAAAGGTACGCGTATCATATTATTCCAAGTACTTTTGGAATACTCGTAACAAGTTATCTTACGAACCATGTCTTCAAATCTATTGTCCAAAACAAGTTTGTGTTGATCTAGGGTAGTATTTTGTCATGGGTTTCAATTTTATATAAATTTTCCTTGTAAACGACTAATGTTAGCAATAGTTTTAGTATCATCTGATCTTTAGTATCATCATTATCATCATCATTTCAGCCAGAGGATGTCCACTGCTGAACATAGGATTTCCACTCCACATCGCCCGGTTGGTAGTGGCCTGCATCTAGCGCTTTCCTGCTACATTTATGAGGTCCTTAGTCCAGCTTGTGGGTGGACGTCACACTGTGTTTTCCGGTACGTGGCCTCCACTCCAGAACCTTACTGCTCCATCAGTCATCAGTCCAGTGTCGTTATAAGATTTTAAATTTTCACGTTCCATTTCAAGTAAAATAGAGAAACACGTGTCTCAACGGGTCTATTTTAGTTCAATGTGAGTAGTAGGAAACATTTGTTGAAAGTATACGTAAATTACAAGTAAATTGGCAGTTTTATACAGATAGGATGATAAGCGACACCCGACTTATGTTATCAGCCATTCAATACCGCGGCGACGGCACTGCAAGATAGGTGAGTCAATTGTGCTTCATTTAACCAATATTGAATCTACACCATTGATTCAGTTGTTTAAGCGATTGATTTAGAAAGTTTAATTACCAGTTGTTTTATTTAAACAGTGTAACATAATTTATTTAAAATGTTAATAACATTATAATATCTCATATTGTTTGTAATCAAGTTGTCGAAAGACATTTATAAGACAATAGGTATAATAGCCATTTCATTTGTTAAAACGAGAAAAAATACAGCTAGGTATTCTTATAGACTATGTCGTTCATATGATTAGTAAATCCTTCGTGAGTTGTTTTAGGTAAACCCCTACTTTTGTTGTTATTCGCTTTGCGTAACCTCCAGCTGGAGAGAAATCGATTCTTACCTTCGAGTCTCTACTTTTTGTTTCTCTATAAAAATTCCCTGGGACAGACTTGGCCTTTCTCTACCTAGGACTTTCAAAAGGTAGTCAGACTTAGGTATTATGTAGGGGAGCACCTACGTAGCAATCTGATTTCTTTTTACAAAAGTCTAAGAGCCAGGATCCCTTATGTGGTATTTAAACTGATTTATTTGCAATATAGGTTTAAAGAAATGGTTCGGGAGCTCACCCCAGAGTTGGCGAAGCTAGCCAATGAAGAATTGAATGAGAACCCAAAGCAAATCAAAGATGATTTGCAGCATATTAAGGACTGGATCGCGAAGCAACCCCATCTGAGGGCAAGAACAGGTAATTTAATTCAATTCAAAATTTTCAGTTAAGACTTAAAATGTTCCACAATGATAAATAATGTAATATTATCTATACTATACAGGGTGACTTTGTTATCAGTATCCATTTTTTTTAATAAGCTCTTTAGAACAATTTAACAATACAACTTTATCGTAATTATTTTTAATAGAGGTATTTTTCGCAAAAAAAAAATATTGAAAGTCTAATTCGCGGGTGCCCATATCTTAAGTTTTAAAGGTTATTGCTTATTTTCGCTCACCATTATGTCTATTAAGCTTTGCAGTTAACTGTGTGTACGTATTTTTCCATGAACGAAGCAAATTTTCCACGTGAGTCAATTTGGAAACCGCGCGCAGCGGATGAAGATAATAAAATATGGAGAAAAAAGTTTTGTTTTCTTTACGTAAATCAATTAAGTTACTGAAAACAAGTATAAGTAGTATATCCGTTAAGCTAGCACCCATAACACAAGCATTAAGTTGCTTACTTTGGGGCTAGCTGGCGCTGTGTGAAATTGTCCAAAGATTTATTTATTTATTAATTTATTTCTGAGTCGATCCTGAAAATTTGGATACTGATACAAAAATCACCCTGTATTAGTATAGATAATATTACATTATTTATCATTGTATAAAGAGGTAAAGTTTGTGTGTTTGTCTTTGTATATTTGTTAAATTGTAAGGAGTAATCTCGGGAACTACTAAACCGATTTTAAAAAATATTTCACCAATAGAAAGCCACATTATTGCGGAGTGTCTAGGTTATATTATAAAAAACAGAAAAATTCCACGCGGGCAAAGCCGCGGGCGGAAAGCTAGTTATGTAATAAGTAGGGATTAATTTAGAAGCAGGTGCAACATGTTTGTAGTTGCAAGTACATGCAAGTGTTACTTCTTTGTCAAAAAATATCATTGTAAGATATTATCATAAGCACACCTTTACGTTTATAAATAAGATAAGGATTTCAATTAATCGTGAGTGAGTCATATCAACCTGAAAAAGTTAGAAGACAGTAAGTAACAGTACTAGAGCCCAGTGTTCCAAACAAAGGTCTTCCTCTTCCTACTCCCATTTTTTACATTAACCGGCAGTCTATTTATTTATATTAACCGGCAGACAGTGGTGACTGAGTTTGTTGCGGCGCTTCTTCTCAGCACTTGCCAAATGTTGGTCTCGAAGCGCTGGTAGGGTAAAAAGATTATGAGACATGTAGAGGCTCCTTAAGAGCAAAATGACAATTTGTAAGAACTATTTATTAGTCCAAACAAATAAAGAAATTTTGACTTTTTGACTTTGACTTTACATTGGACATACTCGTAAATAGGCGGGATTTCTAACATAAACATGTAGTATTAAACACTATTTTATTGCTGGATATGATCTTCCATTCATTTATAATAATAACTAGCTTTCCGCCCGCGGCTTCGCTCGCGTGGAATTTTGTCTGTCATAGAAAAACTTTATCGCGCGCATTCCTGTTTCAAAAACCGGGATAAAAACTATCCTATGTCCTTTCCCGGGACTCAATCTATCTCTATGCCAAATTTCATCAAAATCGGTTCAGTGGTTTAGGCGTGAAAGCAAGACAGACAGAGTTACTTTCGCATTTATAATATTAGTATAGAATAGATAGTATAGAAGTATAAGTAGATAATGCAATTGTCTTCTAATCACCTTGAATATTTCATTATTTAATCTTGCTAAAGGAAGAGTTTTCTACCTTGCGCTTGCTAAGACGCGGGCTCCATTCTAGCATAAGGACATCAGTTCTAAGACTGACCAGCCTATTGTCACTTCGATTTGCCTGCTGGGCTTGCTAATCATTTTATATCTTAAACCCTGATTCCAGATGACCAGTGGCTGGTGGGGTTGCTCCGAGGTTGTAAGTTCAGTTTAGAACGGCTGAAGAAAAAGTTGGATCTGTACTACACGTTGAAGACCACGGCTGCAGATATAACCTTGACGTTTAAACCGACAGAACAGGCGTTCTTGGACTTTCTGAGGGTTGGGTAAGATTATTTGTGGAATGTTTCTCGAAAATTTAACGCCTAACCTCATTACTCAAACTAAAACACCCAAACAAAACTTGTCTTGTCGAGTCAAAGACTCGGAATAAATAATTTTCATGATGAATTGATTTCCTGAACTGCTTTTAACAATAATGAGACGCAGTTTTCACTACACCGCCTTTAAGATCGTTCGCTTGGAACGAAAAAGTTTCAGTTTTTCGTTTATTGATTACAATTTTATTTTTCTTTTAATGTTTAAACATTTTCCGTTAAAAAAATTTCCAATTATTTGTAATACGATTAAAATAATTAATTACCTATGCTTTTAATATTTCAGGACAGTTATTGTATTACCTAAAGCTAAAACCCTTCACCCCCGAGTTATCCTCATAAGGCCCGGCGCATACGACCCGTCAGTCAATACGGTATCAGAGCTAATGTGCATATTATATTATTTAGTTCAGGTAAGAGTTTTTCAAAGCAATACTTATCTAAACAATAACAGCCCAAACCTAATGAACCAGCTTTAATTCGTTTGAAGATAAAAACGAATTTTTGAGATTCAACGAGCAGTTGCAAAAACGGCACGGCACATAGTTATGAGTCAAAGTAAAAAAGTGTTTAAAAAAACCTTAAACCACGAAGGTTTTATACATTTCTGGCGTTATTAGTAGATTTCTGATATTAAAATTATGTATTTCGAATGTTATTTCAGATTGTTGTCGTAGAAGACGATGTCGCCACAGTGATGGGAACGAAGATAGTGGTGGACTACGAAGGTGTTACTATGTCCCATTTAACACAAGCAAACCCGAGCACGCTCAAGAAAATGATTGCTGTCAGCCAGGTATTTGAGAAAAATTAATAGTTATTTTTTTAAGCCACTGGCAGCTTACTTCGAAAGTACACCACCTCACCTTTTCATAATTATTCCATCAATACATTATAGGTACTTATTATAAAATTTATCCGTTCTTGTGTACCTATAGTGCTATGGGGCAAAATAATAAGCTGTTAATATCTAGTACTATGTTTTGTACGTTGGAATTAGGTATGGTACTAATGGTACCTATTATACAGGCACACACATATACCTACTCGTACATAAAGCAAAATATTTCCGATAGTAAATGAAATTAATAGTGTTAATTGTTACTTTCTTCCTAAACAACTGTGTTTTGAAATTAATTAATAATGGAATCTGTGTGACAGAAGCCAGTCTAATTTAGTTTTATTTATTACAGGATTCTATGCCTCTACGTTTAAAAGGAAGTCATCATATGCGATTGCCGAGTGGAATAGAAGTCATATTTACACTTATTTCTGGATTACTAAATGAAAAAGCGAAGCAAAGGGTAAGGTTGAAATAAAGTAGTACCTATAGCAATACAATATAATCTTAAATTAGGCTCAAAAACTGAACTCCGACAAAGGCGAATATCCTTTGTCTAAGTAATGTAATGTCGAAGTAACGTTTGTTGGAGTTTACTTAGGTAGCCCTTACCTTACTTATATTTTTGTTTTCAGCTTAAAATTCACAAGAGTACTAGCGAATTATTAGATTTTCTTCCAAAAGAAATTATTCCAGCAGAGTATGGCGGTGATGGCGGCACCTTCAAGGAAATGATAGGTTTGTAATGCTTTAATAACTACTTAACTTACTCGTACTAATCGACGATTTGGGACGACATATGTATGGGTTTATCGTCAAAAATCGATAAAATGTGTCGTTAAGATTATATCTTAAGGCTCGACCAAACCAACCAGTGCAGCCCGCGTGCGGGATGGCGATCAGTAGAAATCAGTAGGATCGCCATCGTTATCGCGCACGCTGGCTACACGCGTTGGTTTGGCGGAACCTTTAGTCCTGCTGGTCACATGCGTGTCCTAAACACATTGTTTTATCATCCGCAGAATACTGGGCAGCTAAAATAGTTGAATACAAGGATTGGATGCAAGAGGAGCAGCTGTTAGGCACAGACGAAGCTAAAAGGCCCAAGCAGTCTGGCTACAACAGCACTGACGTCGATGGCTCCTTCAGGCAGTTGGAGATAGATTAGTCACTCAGAATGATAAGACTTAAAAACCTTTTGGTGTGGTGGATGTCAGAGGCGCCGGAGATTTATACACTAAGGCTGAGTTGCACGAACTTATTTTAACCGTAACTATGACAATGACCGGTGTTTTTTTTTTAATGAAGTTTGACAGATTTTTGACGTTTGCCAAAGTTAAAGTAAGATGGTGCAATCCAGCCTAAGCCATCTTTAATAGTTGTCATAGGGTTGATTTTCCAATAAATAACTAAGGCAAAAATAATATTAAGTGCAATAGTTATTATGATAACAGATAATTATTGAAATATAACTACAAATTATTAAAGTTCTTTTGTCATAATTTTATTTTAATTTAATTGATGGACATGATTGTCTGAAATAAATGCATTTAAATTTATTTTTAAGTATTTTTTTTGTAAGGAAATGTCCGTAAGTCCGTTCTGTACCTAGTCCTGACAAGGAACCCTTTTTGGGACAATAAAATATACTTTATAAGATAATGCGCAGGTACCTAATACAGAATTATTTGCTCAACGTAATTTATTATGTGCTAAAATTAATACTTAATTAATTAACTAGTCCTTCGCAAAAACAGAGATAGTTATCTAATTATAAATGTGTATAATCAGGAAAATGAGTTTTCTTTGTACAAACAAGATAAAAAGAGGCATTGACCCCGGTGACACACAGCGTTTGTGTGGTTTTAGCAGTAACCATTAGTAGCAAGCAAGTTGTAAATTATAAATAACTTTAAAATCGAATTGTCTAAGGCGGAAATCGAACCCACGAACTTTCGCTTGCCGGGCGACTGCTCTTCCATCTGAGGTACTTAGACACTGGATAATGTTTATAATTTACAATTTAGTTTGAGATGCAACTCTTATCGCGAAAAATTAAATAAGAAAGCAACTTGTTGTAAAATGCATGTCTGCATGTCTATCTATCGTTGTCGTTGAACAACGTCGCATATCTCCATCCGCCAAAATCAGTTTTTGGGTAGCTCCTTTATGTATACCTAACATTATGTTTAATTTTCAAAATTCATAAACATATATCGAAGCTAAGGAATCAAACGCCGACGGATGCGATTATTCAAGCAGTACAGAGACGTGTTCCTTTTATGAACCTTAAAGTCGATCCGTCTTAGTTCGACGACGGAGACGCAATGTACGCATTGGCGTATTTAGGGTAATTTAGGACTAGTTGTAGATAAATATTTTTCATTGGTTTTGTGTTATTAATATTATTATTATCTCTAATCTCTTATATCTAACAAAAGTTCACTATGTTGGTAGTTACCACCACCAGATAACAGGTTAAGGGGTCAATTTCCCAAACACATTTTTTGAGCGGCGTAGCTGAAAATCATATGTTTTTTATGACATAGAACTTTGATTTTTTTTAACACGAAAATATACAGAGGTTCCATTTTGAGGACAACATTATTAATGAGTATTTTCTTTTACAAATTCGACAAAAAATAATTGAACTAAGCGTTTCTAATTTTGGTGCAGTGTCNTGTTTTTTTCTTTGATAAAACATATTTTTACATGCAAATTTTATCGGTTTTGTGAAGTAGCTGCTTAAAGTGCCAAAATTGGGTGGTTTACCCTAAATGGAATGGTGAAGTCAGAAAATTAATATCTTCATTTTAATTATTTTAATTTTCACACAAATCGGATTTTATAAAATTTATTTTGTATGAAAATTAAAAAAATAAAATCATGATATCAAATTTCTGTCTTCACCATACCATTTATATGCCCATGTTAACACGGGCTAGTGTCGGCTCATATACCCATTTACCTAACACCCTGTATATATTTGACTGTTAACTGAACCGTAATCTTCTCAGTCTAGTCTCGAGCAATTAAATAGAAATTAATGTTTTAGTTGATATCACATTAGCAATAAAGGCGTTATTACCTTGCCGGCCTGTAGCTGTATTAGCGATAACACGGTAAGGTATATTCAATGTCATTCGCAAACGGCAATTAGTACTAGGTTCGGTTGGAGCGAGCAAGGTCGTTGTCTGACTTACATCGAACGTTTTGCATCTCCAAAGAGAATGTGAAACTTCAAAACAGTGATTATTTGAAGAATAAATCATAATATTGAGTTTATGACGTAGTGGTTAAAACGGTAAGTTAACAGTTTTTCATTTTGTTTTCTTATAACAAAAAGCACATAAACAAAACTATGCCTTTGTGACTGGTAAGCATTTTTAACGCTCATATTTTTAGGTTACTGCTTAGAAAATTATACTACTTACACCAAAAAAATTTCCAAGATTGCGGAAAATCTAGTAAATTTTAAATAATTATTTAGTCATAGCTAATGGTGATACCAAAAAACTTTAAAAAGTTACTTATTATACTATAGCAAAACAGTTTTCACGAATAAAACTTTCATAATAAGTAGGTACTTATTCGTAAATCGAGATGCTTAATTAACTCATTGGTGGCCAGTAAAAGTTAAGAATTACTTCCCAAATGACACTACTTATTCACATACATTGCCTATGGAAGTAGTGTCAATGTAAAACCAGTAAAAACTATGACGTCTGTAGACGTTCTGTCGTATCATTCTTCACTACCTGAACGCCCGTGGAAGTTACTGTCCATCAATGTGTTAACAATTTCCGAGACTGATTTGCAGATGCTGCTCTTCGGCCATTTTACTGATTTAATTAAGTCTAACGTAAAATAGAGTTAATAAGTACCTATGTATGATTAAGTAGCTGATCATTTTTCCTGAGCTGAGTGCTGCCTTATCAATTTCAAACCATACTAATATCAGTTATCGTATAGGTATTCACGATATTTTCACCTTGTATTTATTGATAAATCCCACGAAAAGTAACATAAAATAAAAATTGACTAATAAAGTTGATAAGTAGTTAAAGTAAAATCATAAAACGCACAATAAAATATATTTAGGTGATACCAAAGAATACCTATTAAGCATTAACTGTCAAGTGTATTTTTTTAAGGTAAACACAACATGCATTAGTTACCTATTATATTAATTAATAAGAGCCTTGTTTGCTGTTTGTAACATACGAGTACGAAGGTATATGACCCGTTTTTTAATTTTTTGGAGAATTTTGTTACCTTATATACCTACATAAAATCAATAAATTCTTTAAGTTTGATACACCACCATTAGGTCATCCTGTATATTAGTTCCAGATATACATACATACTATTACAACCATGGCGATCTCGATTCGGCCGCTACCAGCTGCTCTTCTAAAAAAAGCACAAGAGGATATCAATGAGGACCCGAAGAGAGTGGACTCCGACATCCAAGCCCTCAAGACCTGGCTGAGCCAACAACCACACCTTCATTCTGTACAGCCATGTAAGTAAAGAAAAGAAGTAGTGGAGTAACCCATACATCAATTTAGGACATCACGTCTTGAGGGACACAAAAAAAGAGAAAAAAAAAATTTGCTAGCACATAAACTATTTTCCCATTAATTCAACTCGAGAATAAGTTACACTATCATAATATAGGTATGTATATTAATTCAGCCAGTAGGCACGTGTCTTGGAAAATGCGGCTACCACAACATTTTCAGTTTTTGAAACACATAAACCTATCTTTGACAACATGTAATATCCGCACCCAATATAAACTTAAATTGTAGCCAAATTAGATTTATTAAAATGTTATAAAGATATTCTAAAAACTATTTCGAAAATCTTTAAAATCTAATTTTTGATCAGGCTTTCAGGATTTTTTCAGGATTGCAAACTTGGGTTTTTAATTATTGCGCGTTTGCAATATTTGCCTGTTGAGACTATTAGGAAAGATTCGGCAACAAATTGTTTAAATGTTTATGGAAATGAATGATTTTTGTTATTTGTTTCATTCTAACTAATGTCTTGGAACACAGCGACGAATAGGTCATGACCGAAAAGTAGCAAATATACTTCTTATTTCTATTTCGATGTATTTACTTAAGAATTTCTTGAGTGCTATTGTAGTTAATTTAAATTATGAAATATTTAACATTAAATTTGAATAAATTGTCACTAAATACAAAAATGCTTGGTTACTTATGTAACTGTTTCTTAAGCTGACAATTATCTCACTGATTTATTATATCAGGTGCCACCTAACTATAACACAATAACCTACTTAGGGGTTATAGGGACTTCCCTTTCTGTGTATTAACTAATCTTCGAATAATATCCATGACTAATTAATCTTTTATGATAGTAATGATAAAAAAATTGTCATACATAGATAGAAAGGGTGTAAAGGTTATTATAGGAAAATTTTAATACCTACATTATACCTACTACCTATTTGTAATGTAATTGTGGATTTTCCTCCCGGAAAATTTTCGATTTACCTTATTATTATAGTGCTCTTGTACAAAAGAACTAAACTCTGCTAACCATTAACTATGTTATGTTCATTTGAATTATGTAGGTTAAAATGAGATTTAAATGTTGGGAAAAATGGAAAAATAACAAATGAATTCAATATATTTTATGTTATTTATATTGAACAATGTCTATTTAGTGTCACCTTTTGGTTCTTTGGTGAATCATATCACATTTGAAAGCAGAAGTCCGTAGGTGCTACAGCAAGTGATAGCAACGATTTGAACGTAGTCTCATGTTTCCCTCATAGATGGAGCTATTTTGCAATAGTATGAAGAAATTTCTTCTTTCAATAAAATGCGTAAAATAGAACCACTTGCATTTCACGGTGGTTGTAACTTGTACTGTAAGTATAATTTGACTTAAAAACACTATTTTTGAATTCCAGCGGATCAATGGATAGTTGCATTTCTACGTGGAAGTAAATTCAGTTTAGAAAGGAGTAAAGAAAAAATGGACATGTATTATACACTGAAAACCATTGTTCCTGAATTTTTCGCCAACAGAGATCCCTTAGATCCAAGAATTCAAGAAATATTACAATTAGGGTAAGTGACGAGTTTATTTCACGATTTAAAAAAAAATAAAATCATGCAGCTGAATCATTTACTGTATTTTTGGTGTGTTGTTCGTTACATGGGTGGATTTCTTGTTTCAGGACTTTTTTGCCGTTAAAGAAATGTAAGGAAGAAGACTCTTCAAGAATAAACATAGTAAGGCTAGGTCTCTTCAACCCTTCTAAGTTTCATCTGTCGGACGTGCTCAAGGTCTCGTTCATGATAACCGAGATCTTGTTCCTGGAAGATGACAATTTCACTGTGGCTGGTGAGGTATATACATTTTTAAGCTTTACATGTTTATTTTTAAACTCTATGTTGTTGAATTATACTACAAAATTGCTTGTTGACAAATTATTTCTCTAGTCAGCAATTCTAGGCAATAGATAATGTCAAAGTAAGAAATGTAATTCATGAAACGAGCTATTCCAAACAGCTGAATCTTTTCGACAACTGACCTGCTGACCGAGATTGCTATGTTCATTTGATCTAACATTTTGTCATATTTAAAATTACCTTTACCTCAAAAATTTCTCCCCAAGCTTCCAAACTTTTTTCTTTTTTTACAATTTTTTACTTCTGTGTTCACTTGACCAGTGGTTTGGACTGTTCCAGAGGTCGGAGGTTTGGTTCACAATGTAAATATTAGGGTGTATGAGCAAATCAGCTTGTTTTGGTGTGGTTATTTCCTATGTTATTTTATCCTGTGTCTGGTATCCCACAGAACTACAATATTATATTTTGTTTCGTGGAGAATGTAGGCCAAATTCTTTATTTGCCTCTGGTAAATTAGAGAGGGCCGTCCTCTTGCAGAGGAGAATAAATAACTTGATGGTGAATAATTGGTGATGAGATAGTAGATCGTAAAATTTTCAAGGATATTTATTAACTATTCTGTTTTAGGAGGTGATAGTCGATATGAAAGGTGTTGGCGTGAGCGTGCTGAGTCAGTGGACACCAGCCTTAGCCAAGAAAGCGGTGTCCACCTTCGAGAAGGCACTGCCAGTGAGGGTCCGCGCCAACCACATCTTGAATACGCCGACTGGTTTTGAAGCAGCATATAACATCTTCAGGACTTTTCTTGGCGAAAAGTTAAAAAAGAGGGTGGGTTGTAGTATACATATAAGAACTCAGCAGCTAGACTTATTGATGGTCGACTACAAAACTGTTCAGTCTCCGAGAGAAAGTGACATTGGTAGCAGAATATCTATAGTTCAATTAGATACTCAATAAACAAGTGTAATGCAGAATAAACATTTTTGGTGACCAATGTTTACCCTATCTAACAAATTATTAATTATGGATAGTACCTAGACTATCGATATGCCGCACTAAATTGTATTAATTCACATTAATTAAAACCTGTAATTATGTTAATTTGGCACCTGTCAAAAAGAACAAGCTCTATAATGCCGTGGGCAGGCACCGGCGCAATTACTATAGCCGGGTGGTAAGAAAAGGCTGATTGATTATGAAATCGTGTCATTTCTTGAATATACGTAATCACCTGCTATAAAACAACTTTTACCTTGGGATAATGGGATCGATTAAGGCACAAAAACCACTATGTTTACAGTTAAAGTAGCTAGATTAATTTTACATGAAAAAGAGACAGTTTTTGGTCCAATATTGCTTACAACGTAAAAGTTGAATTTAGTACTTTATCGTCGTCATCATCATGTATTGTGTTATTATTATAGTTTGTAACTGCAGAAGGACAAATAATTTGGTCGGTGTCATAGTTAAAACAATTTATTTCATGATTATTATAAAATTTTTCAGATTCTAGTTCACAACCAGAACTACGAAGCCATGTACAAAACCATTCCTAAGTCGATTCTTCCAGTAGAATATGGCGGAGAAGATGGCTCTGTTACGGAACTAACAGGTAAATACTGGGTTTATTTAGTTTTAATTACAACATTTGAATAAGCTATTTCCAAGATTTTTTATCGTTATCTCTTTTCCAAGTAGAATTTTAGCAATTAATCCTAAAGTGCTGAATTTGGCATAACATTTTAAGCAGTAACTTATTATTAACTATTTTTAATTTATAATGAAACTTCAATATCAGGGAATTTAAGACACGTACTTTTATCAGGCAATTTTCTTTTTGGATGAAGTAATTAAAAATAGCACTTCGTATTTATTAAAGTTTAAGCGCATACCTAGTTAGACTAATATCTCTATTCCTAGCAAGTAGACCATTATTAATTAATGACATTAATGATTAATGTAAGTGAAGGCGAATACAATAAAAATTAACTAAAATATCTCATTAGTAATGTTTTCAAACGTAACGTCGTCGTTTGTGAGTAGTTGCACCAGGAAATAGTGTTATTGTAATATTAGTAGTTTTAGAAAATTGAACTTGTTATGTAACACGAAACGATTACCGAGCTGTGTGTGAAAATTTCACTTTTGACAGACAACTTGTCACGTCTTTAATGATTTTGGTACAGTTATTTAGGTCTAGCGTTTAACTCAGTCAGTGCCTGAGGTATGGAAGCGTTATGGTGGGGTGACATTGACATAATCTGGGGGCACGGCAGTGCCCCCACCAAGTCGAGCAAAAAAGCGGCACGGCCGTACCATCCTTTTCTCGAAGCAATTCAGGCCATTTTCGACCGCCTGTAACTTCGTTGTGGATAAAACTAGAAGGCTGAATTTTCATTAGCTATGCAGGCATTGTAAAGACACGGTATATTTAAAATTTCATTCAATTTGAACCAGTAGTTTAAGAATTATAACGGGTCAAAGTTACTTAATTTTGTCACTCACTGACTGACTCACTGACTCACTGACTCACTCACTGACTCACCGATCATCAAAACTCTAAGGCACTTCTAGCAGACCTAGAAGCTTCAAATTTGGAATATAAGTAGTGTTTGGTGTATGAATCAAGGAAAAACTAAAATATTTGGGGGCACGGTAGTGCAACCGCCAAGTCGAGTAAAATTTTTCAATTTCGGTCCAGTTTTCTAGATACATAACTGCTGTCTACAAAATACAAAAAGAAATAATATTTGGGGGCACGGTAGTGCAACCGCCAAGTCGAGTAAAATTTTTCAATTTCGGTCCAGTTTTCTAGATACATAACTGCTGTCTACAAAATACAAAAAGAAATGAGATCCCATCAAAAACAATACTTGTCAAAAAAACCAAGTCTCGCAACTCAGTTGTTCTACGGTAAAAAGTTGTGAGATCCATGTAATACCAAGTCCAGGCTAGGAAATCTTTAACGTTTTACATAAATTATTGACTTGGCCATCGCACTAAATAATTTAATTTATTATGACGTGACAGAGCATAATATAAATATGAAGGAGATCTAAAGCCTCGCTGACGTTTGACGTTACAAAACAACCTCCAGTGCTGCTCCCTCAGGCACTTTTGTAGTTCGGTTCTTAAATGTATCTCTCTTGGTTGGATCCTGGGTTCGATTACCAAATGACGCTACTATGTTCGATTTATAATATAATATGTTACATACTACGTGTGTTTTATCTTAGTTTTAGAATATTGAAAGGATTTTTCAATATCATTGCCTGAATCGAATTAAATAACGACCATTATGGCTACAGTTAAGAAAAACTTGTTAGGTTGATCGAATTTAACTTAGTTTCTTTACCGTGTGACATTTTCATCATCTCTCATACTAAATTGTTGATTAACGAGAAAGTTATTAAGTCTGGATTTCGCAATGTAACTTTTGTCTTTAGCTCGGATAACAAAAGGATCATTTGGTTATGGCCTTAGTCACTGTGATTATAATTCAGTTCTAACAATGAAAATAACTAACTAATAAATTACCTGCTATTATGGGTGCCTAATAATTTAATTCGTAAGTAGGTACTTACTTACTCAAAGCACATATGTGAAGTAGCCAGTTCATTAATGTAATTACGCAATTTGTGCCATTTTATCATTACTCTGCTGTCATTCTTGACTTTCTATTAACGAGAATTTAATAAGTATGCTTTACAAGTGGTGCTTATGGCAGCTACCTACTAGAAATTGTACCTATTAGAGAGAGAGAGACAATATTTATTGTACAGTCGACAGCAGATCAGACTCTACATTTTTGTAACACAATAGTACATTACAACTAAGAATAAGATGCAACAGTGTTTAGTTTGGTTTGCTGTTATTTGTACAGTCAGCGTCAATACCAATAAAGTTCGCAACACGTTTGTCAAATCACAACCTGTGTTGTCAACTTTTTAGCCACTTTTAGTGTCATGAACTATTTGACGCTGACTGACATATGAGTCCTTAGAGAGTAAAGGCAGATGCCTACTTTATTATTTATGTTTTGTGAAATGGCAAAATATAGGCAGCCATAGAAACAATTGTATCAATTTTATTTTTTACTTTATTTTCTATGTTTAATTCATACATTGCTCTTACTAGTTTATTTACAAAATTCACTTTACATAGATCTCAATCTAAGTCTAAAATTAAATTCAAGTATTAGTATAATTGAATGAAAATTTTTACTGACTTAACTTTAAATTCGACTTTTCCTTTTACAGAATACTGGAAAGCCAAAGTTGAGAGTTACCGAGACTGGTTCTTGAAAGAAGAAAGCACTCGTTCGGACGAGTCCAAAAGACCCGGCACTCCGAAGACCTCATCGGCCCTCTTTGGGGTCGAGGGCTCCTTCAGGAAACTTGAAGTCGATTGAGGCTACAGCATAAATTACTTAGAACAATGTAAAGCTGGATTTATATTTGTCTAACATGTTGTGTCGTGGTGTGTTTTTTGACGCATCAGAACAGAATCGGTGTCATGCATTATGCGACACGTTAGAAACCACCACTACACGACACTAAATTCTAGTCACTAGTCTAGTGTATGAAACCGATTTCTTTCTGATGCATCATATCATGACATAACACGTCAGACAAATAAAAAAAAATCCGGCTTAATATTAAATTATGTATGAATAATTTGTTTTCATTTTTATCTAGCGACCCTCCTGGCACTCCTGGGCTTCGCACAGGTGCAATGAATGCATAAATAATGTGTATTTTTTATCCTACTGATTTCTATTGATTGCTATCGTCCATCGCCATCGCGCACACGGGCTGCACGCATCGGTTAGGTAGAACCTTTGTACATTTTAAACCTTTTTCTTCATGAAAACTGCTTTAAAATCCGTTGAGTAATATGTAAAAGATCTAAACAATTTATTATGTCAAAATTCACATGTCAAATATTTTTGATTAAAATTTTATAAATGGAGTGAATAGATGTTTCAATTTATTTTCCTTTGCTTCAACTATACTTAAGGGACACATAGGTATACCATTTAATACAGCTGGGACTTTAAATTTGTGATTACACAATATGGGCTACTTGATTAGATTTGTAGTAATTGCTAATACATGCATAAAATATAATAATAAGAATGGTGCTAAATTATGTTCATTAAACTTCCTTCTCTCTATCTAATGCAAAACATTATTTTGATGGTCCTGTAGGCTTCTACGAAGTCGAAGGTTGCTGAGTCCCAGAGTATAAAAACTACGATAAGTGAAAAGTTGTTATTATAGATCCCCTATAAGTAATATGGGTATATTCAGAAAGTAATATAAGCTTACATTGTTATTTTTGGGAAAAAAAACCACTGATTTTCGTATCTAGATAAAGAAAATTCGGAATAGTTGTCAGATTTCTATTCAGTGTCAAACTTTCTGACCTTACGAGCTTTTGGATGGCAGTCTGCTGCCATAAAACGGTAGTGTGTACCATGTGACACTACTTAAGTAACACGTACAATTATCGAAAGCAATGGGTGCAATTGCATTCTTTAAAAAAGGGTAGTATTTAAACGAGTGACTGTAAATTTATGTTGTAAGTGTCAAAAATAATTAATGTTGGCTAAAGAATTACTAAGTGAGCGACTGAGTGCGAGTGAGGAAAAATCAAAAAAATAGCAACTTACAAAAAAAAATTGAGTTCCTTAAAATACAAAATGAGAAGCTTCATAATATTTGAGCGACCTAATATTTGATTGAGTGTCAACGTTAGGTCTTGCATTTTTTTCAATATTTGGCAAATGCTTTTTTATACTGAGCGGTATTTTTAACTTTAATGAAGTGTTTCGAATGCAAAAACTACTTTGAAAAATACTATTATGAGCAGCGTATTATGAGCCCACATTTAAATAAAAAATGATCTTATGTAATAAATATTTGACGGAACACTATTCTAGTAGCGAAAAAAATAAATCATTAAAATTTAAGGGTAGGTAATCAAATGAAACAATGTATTACGAAAAATGAAATAAATTTGTATTTTCTTAAATCGAATCAACAAAAAAAAAACAAAATAAAATAAGTCGCTTCTGTCGACCCAAAAAAAAGTAATCTTATTAATAAGGTTCATTGATTGGTACCTATGAGGATTGAGGAGCTCTACCTACTCATCGTCACTGTATGATAAGTGCTGGCTTGGACTTAGCGGGCCGGCCTCGTTTTCTTTTTTGTCCAATAGGTATCAGTTTTGCTTCCAGTGGCGGTGTTGTTAGTTTGAGCCGAATTGCTAGACCCAAAACGTGTTTGCATACATATTTTGTTAAAAATTCAGTCGCCCCGCCCCCATTCGAATTCGCGCGCTGTAACAATCTGTAGTTTTCATTAATAAAGCGTATCAAAATAAAAAACATGAGACCTCAAATATAATATCAGTAACCAATAATCATTAATAAAGCAGCTCACAAAACTTTGCTTAGAATTAACTTTTTTGTAGTTCGTTCAGTAAAACCTCAATTAGAAAAATCTAATGTATCTTCATATTAAAGTTGCCCTCTCTGTATTTCTAGTCGCTCACTTAGTAATTTAGTCGCCCGGATAGTATTTTTATGTCTGAAATGTAATAAACAAAACCCACATTTTGTAAGCTCGTTCTGGATTTTATTATTGATCAATATTCGTCGTTAGTTTGGTAAATTTTTCGCTTACTCAAATTCATACCGCTCAAGGTATTAAAACAGTATGCCATCATCAGTCGCAAAGTTTTTTTTTAGTCGCTCGTTTTATAATTCCCCTTTAAAAAATATATGTTTGAGAATTTGATTTCGCATTCAAGGTGTTGCAGAACCAGTAACAAAAAATATACTTTACACTCAACGATTCCGCAGTGCGAAATCTGGAGAGAAAAACAATGAAGGAAAGAATTTCAAATGCTAGGTATTCTTAATGATCTGAAAGATTATATGAGGTGAATTTAATTGGACTCATATACATCGAGTATCTCCAAGGTTTTCCACAATGCACAGTCCCGCTGCCCGCATCCAGGCTCTTCCCGCGACCTTTACCAGATCGTCGGTCCACCTAGTAGGAGGCCTGCCCACGCTCCGTCTTCCAGTTATAACAATATTATACTTATTGGCTTGTTATAAAAAACAATTATTTTCAAAATTTATTCTCCGAAAAAGGGACATATTGGTAGTTATTATATCATCATAAATAGAACAAAAGCGATTGTTAAATGCTAATAAAATTTGAAGAATTTCGTAAATTCTTTAAATGAAGTAATCAGTAAGTACCTCATTACGTGCTCGAGTCGTATCGTATGCGTCGAGATTGGCCTCGTCAGCACCGCGCGCCCCTGTCAGTCGAGTTCGGTTATCGCGGAGTGCGCGCGTCTCGTCTGGTGCGCACGCGCAGTGCGCTTTGATATGGTCCCGTTTACAACGCCCGGAGAGAGCTTGCGTTTCGTACGAGCTGTCGCACTCTCACCATGACACAAGAAGAAATATACACGCGTCTGGACGACGACCTCCACTCCGCGGCTGAACATGCCGCCGATGACGAGGATCTTGTCATTAGGAGACAGAAAAGTGTCAAAGAAATGATCTTACGCTTCGAAAAGACAAGTTTAAGTGCCTTCGATCCTACGAACGATTCTCTTGAAAGGTCAAAGGACTCATCGCTTGGAAGCTTAACAAGTGTAGTGAACCCTCTCCAAATGCATTTCCAACATCTGTGCCCAGTAACTAGATCTCAGGATAGGAACTCAAATGTGTCAGTGAATTCCATACTATCGAACGCTTCGGAGAATAGCTATGAATCAAGTTCTTCTGGTTTTGTTTCCGATAGAAAATCAGGTCGAGAGAGTTTAGTTCCTCATCGACCAGCGCCCCCGCCTCCTGAGCCTTTCAATGATAGCTGCTCGTCATCGGAAAGCAAGTCGCCCGTACGTCGGGAGAGTCGGGAAGTAGAGCGACGATACTCCTCTGCAACACCAAATTCCTCACCTATCGTGAAACGACGATCACGACAACCACCAGTTATGAGGAAGAAGTCAAATGCTAGTAGCATACTTTTAGGTGAAGCGCATTGGTCCTATGGTGTGCGACAAAGTGATTTAGAAAAGTTATTAGGTTTGAAAAGATCAGAGGTGTCTGATCATGAGGACGACCGCAAAAGTATTAGTGTTGAGTCAGAGAACGAAAGCAGCAGTGGTAGCTCTAGTGATTCTAATGATAGTGAAAAATCTAATAAATGTAATGAATACATAGTTCAAGATGACGACGGTAGAACAGATACTTTATCTACAGACCATTCAACGGATACCCTGATAAACGAAGAAAACAGTGACGAACAGGACGATTTGTCGGTAACTTCGGGTGAATCTGGTGAACGTAGTAATTATGACAATGTTAGTATTAAGTCAATATCGTCATTTGACATGGTGCCCTATCAGAAATACGATAGCATTACTGTTTCCTCGGACGAATTCGGTTCAGAACTGTGTAGTGCTCCTGATACTGAGTTTTTAACCGTGAGTGCTGTGAATGAGTGGTGTATGTCAAGATCGGTGGCTCCGACACTATTACCTGTGCAATCCAAAAAGGAAAAATATCGAAGGTGAGAATATTTCATTTGTCTACATTATCACGCTCAAATATTTGTGATATCGCAGTAAGCCGATTCACGCATTGATAACAGATATTATCGCTTGGAATACAGATATGATATGTGTTTCTTTGTACTTTTACTTCTATTCATTGGATTATAATGATGAATAATTTTATGGTACTTACTCACCTGTAATAGAGAGTATGTAGTTACTGTTTTTATGTACAAATTAGTAAATGGTTAAGTAATTTATGGGAATGCCGATTGTAGGTGGATTATATAAGTACATGAGTTGAGGAACTTAACAATTTAAATAACGATTATTGCATATGAGCGCACACAGTTGTCATGTCACGAGCAAAGTTTCACCTTGATGTTTATTCATATGGCTCGAGGTAGGTGAGTTCACATAATCTCCCATGTTTGATGAACAGGTGTTTCAAAGAAGCATAAAGCAACGTTCGCGTTGAATTACACTTACATTCTTGTGGTAAGTAGGTGACTAAGAAATAATGAAGTAAAATATAAAGGTTATAAATAAAACGTGTATTTAAACGTACTTGCTCAACATAATAATCATAAGTACCATACAAAGGTAATAACAGTAGACGTACGTAACGCAGAAAATAATCTTTTCACTATATTAAAACTAGGGACGTTGTACTATTCCGTATCGAATCACGTGTTATCATTATTTAGATGATACAAAATATACATCAATGAAATGACGTGTTCAATAAATAATAATTGTTTACGCTTAGGTACCAGTACTACGTATCAGCAACGTAAATAAATACTTCTTATAATAGGATATTATTCTCATTGTCCTAAATAGGCAGTTTTGGTTAACTTTTGAATGAAATAAAACAAGTAGACGAGTAGAATCCTTCTAGGGCTATCAAATTAAAATTTTCTGTCTGTTCAAATTTTCGCACGGACGAAAATCCATAAGGGAATTCGGGACCAGGATACAACAATTATTGCAAGGTTATTAATACATCGTTTGGCTCTGAAATCGTTAATCGCATAAAACATAATTAATCTGTAAGCCTGACAATTTTCGTCGGTCTAATCATCGTTAAAATGTACAACTTAGTATAAAATTCCAACTTAGTAAAATTCAATTTGGAAAATTATTTTTGTGTTGGATAGCCCATTTATCGAAGAAGGCTTTAGGCTATATATCATTACCCTACAGCCAATAGGGGCGGAGCAGTAAAGAATTTTTTTGCAAAAACGGGAAATATTATTCAAACTATTTTCACGCGTACGAAATTTATATTGTTAGATTTGACTGACTTTGGACTATGTACTCGTGCATATTTATTTGTGAACCAGTTGTTATCCGAATGATAACTATGTCGTATGTAGGTGTCAATACTAAGCACGCGGTGGGATTGAGTAAAGTCATCAGTATAAATACCTCCGTGGGCGGCAAAAAAAACAATGTATCTAACGCCTCATTAGCAAAATGTCTGTCAATACTTTGTGCGTTGGATTTATAGCAAAAACGTCAGTTTTTTAGTGCAGATCGTTTAATTTAATATAAAAAATGTTATATAAAATATTTTTAATATATTAAATAGAGAAGCTATGAACGAAAAGATGTGAATTATATGCAATCAGCCCATGAATACAGGTAAAGTCACAAGCAAATGCTAGTAATAGTAATATATTTATCTTTACTTTATTTTTTACTCTGTATGTTTTGTCCGCTAGAGGGCGCCACATTAGATTTTGTGAAACCCCATATAGCCTACTAGCGGCCGCCCGCGACTTCGTACGCGTGAATCCCGGTTTTCCCGCTAATTCCCGTTCCCTTGGGAATTTCGGAAATTCCTTTCTTAGTGCACCTCTACGGTACCTAAGCTACGTCCCTTCCAAATTTCAAGTGCCTACGTTTAGCCGTTTAGGCTGTGCGTTGATCTGTCAGTCAGTCAGTCAGTTTCTCCTTTTATATATTTAGATAACCAACGGACAATTAAGTCGCTTCTAATGATATGTCATTTGTCAAATTCTAATAAGTAGTTTAGAAGTTACGAGGGAACAGATGAACATACATACATACATAGCCTGTCAAAATCATAACCCTCCTTTTGCTTTGCCGTAGTCGGGTAAAAATTGTTCTGCAAATACTTAGGATTTAATTATTGAATTCGACAATCTTGTAGTCTGGATCGCCTCCCAAGATATAGGATACCGTAATAAACGTAACTAATTTAGTTATTTTTTTATAGTTATCTTAAATCGTCTGCATCTATGAAATTTTAATTCAAGGTTTCGCAACACCGTGGAAGCGATGTCGAACTAAATCGAAGTAGAAATCTCTTGCTTCATTGGGCAATTAAAAGATTGCATGTTGCCAAGATGTTCTGGATGACTGACAGTGGTCCTTTGATTGACTAGGATATTTTCACTATGACGATTTGTAAGTAGAAAATAATATATTTAAAAACATAACCCTCCTTTTGGCGCAGTCGGGTAAAAATTTGCTTTACAATACAGTGGTACCATTTTTTTTTTCGTCAGGAAAATACATTGATTTGTATATCCACCAGCCGCGGGGGCAGTTAGTGGGTTATGTGGGGTTCTCCCTGCCAGAAGGGCAGAGCCTACCCACTAAAAACCTGACGTTGCCCTCGGTAGCCATATGAGTCGGGAACGCGGGACATCACTATCGGCGTTTTGCCTCAAGCATTCGTCCGCGTTCCCTGCTCGGCATTTCACTCGCTTAGTGCGCAGCCCCAAACCAAGAAAGGCGTTATTACGCCTTCAACCTCCTGCGAGCGGCACGCAGGACACGTGCTGCGCCGTCGCAGACAATATAGTAGTACCAGTAGTATCGTCGTTGAGAGTACCTACTTACCTACACATTACACGTTTGTGCAGCCTGCACTGCATGGATTAAGATGTTCTAAAATTATGCTACTAGCTGAAAATTTTACGAACACAATAATAATACAGTAGGCAATTAAAGCTTAGATGGTATTGTTTCTTTTAAGTGTCAATACGGGACCAAGTTGCAAATCACGTCATACCTAGGTACCTACCTATTACAGAAAGTGTTATTTTGGTACACTCAGTATTCTTGCTAAAGTAGTTGTTGTTCTGTTAATTTTATCACCAATTGTCATTTAAAATTGTTACACTCGGTTGAATTGAATGAAACGCATGACCGAAAAAGTGTAATAATAAGTAACATAAATTCTAATGTAATAAGTATTTAATGGCGAAAAAATTGTTGGTTAGAGGAAATGTGTTAGTACAGTGCAATAACAACCGTTATTAGTGTAAAAACGTTTAATAGGTATGCGCACGCACGTTAGGAATGCCGGAACAACTCAAATCGTGTGCCTACTTTGTATCTAGGTATTTGCCCGAAAATACTTACAATCTGGGTAAATACCGTTCCTCGTTTCTCTGTCTAACAAACACACACACAAGCAAATTTATTTATCAGTGACGTAACGACGCGTATTTTTACAGCGATGCGCAGGCGTCGATGCCAAGGTCGCGTTTGTATTTACGTGCCGCTAAAACATACGTGTGTTTCAACATCATGATGTAAATTGGTTGATGTGCTCTCTAAAAGTAGAAATGATATAGGTAGGTGTAAATTTGTTTCCTTTTCGTTATTTTTTGGGTATATCTTGTAACTATTTGTTTGTTATTAAACATGTAGGTACCTAACTATAATCTTGCTTGCAATATGCAACCTCGGTCGTGAATGAAAATTTGTTACATATCGTTTCATCATATAATTTTTTCTACAGCCTTTTTAAGTTAGGTATTTGTGACAATAAATGTTTGAAATCTCTCGATAAGGTTTTCAGACATTACTGCTAACCGAATTAAATAATTTTCCCTATTGGTTAATTAAAAAGTTTACATAACTAAACTAAAGTATATTAATACTACTAGCTTATTTATATACAAAGTATTATTATAGCGTCGGTCTCAAAAGGACAAAATTCCAACACAAATCCTTAAAGGAAGGAACTATTAAAAAGAAAGCTCACTTTTTTACATTTTATTATTTTTCCTTCAACTACAAAGAACATTTGAAAACTTAAGAGTACCTACTTATAGTCGTATGGTTCAGCCGTAGAGCCATTATTAGATTGAGAATACATAGTGATTTATTATATTATAATTTTATTACATTGTTTACTTCTTCGTAAAATTGATACTGATACGAATTTCTATCCTACTTGAATATAGGTAGTTGCTTTAATATCAACACAAACAGACAGATACCTAGCTATTAGAATAGTAATCTAATATGTAGATTTGTGTAGTGCACAGTGGTAGCAGACAAGATGAATGCGCGCTGTCTCTGCGTGGAACATGTTTTCTGAAGCAGAATCTATTGTATCTTAAGTTAACGTGGATATAATAAACTCTACCTTCTTAATATTCATAAATACTGTTTTGAAATTACGTTATAGTTATTAGATGTTCTAGTTAGGTTAGTACAATGTTAAACTGTGTAATATTAAAAGCAAATACATTAGGATTTCTATAAATAAACAACTCAGCTTTACTGTGAAATATTTGATGAACTTTAAAATTCGTTTAAATACACTACTCGTATAGAATTTTCTATCAGTGAAAACATTAGTTACACCACTTATAAAGTGGTCCGAGTAAATTCAAATTGTAGAATATTAATTTTGTATAAATATTGCAACAAATACAATCTTAAACTATATTTTCTTTTTTAATAGCATATTGATAACATTATCTTTGAGTAAATGAGATTAGAATCTATTTTACAAATATCATCAACAATCACTAGGATAAAAAGCAGGCTAAAGTCAAGTCAGACGGTCACGAGGTTTTTTCCTTAACTTAACCTGTAGAACTTGATAAGTAATTTACATTAAATGCGATTAAAAGTAGATCTATTTATCATTTACTGTAAATCAGCGTTTATGACTAATTATTTCAAAATACTTAGTTTTCAAAGTAATATTTTTAGGGCGTTACACACTCCCAAAATAATAAAAAAATTAATAAAAATCCTTAGACAATTTTACACTGCGGAATCTAGTCCCAAACTAGGTGAAGCTTGCACAATGGGTACCAGCTACTTTTTATAAATACTTACATATTACGAGAATAGATAGAAAACACACAGAACAACAAATATGTTCATACACAGAAATGTTTGTACTGTGCGGGAATCGAACCCGCGACCTCGGCATAGTAGTCCGTTACGAATCAAAACAAATTTAGCCCCAAACTGACTACTGGATCGGAGCGACAATGTTGAATGACATAGTTTACTATCGTCCTTTTGTCTTCAATTAGTTTGATAATAGGACTAATTTATTCAATAAGCAGCTTCAGCTCTTGACCTACTAAGAATCTTTCTAAGAAGTACAGTTAAAAGAGTTTCAACAACCTGAACAACAATTTTTAAGTTTATAGCACAGTACCATAGACACTAAGGTTGGGTTGCACTATCTTATTTTGACTGTAAAAGACGTCAAAAATCTGTCAAATTCCATAAAAAAAGCACCGGTTATCGTTATAGTTACCGTCAAAGTTAGGTGGTCCAACCCAGCCTAAGAAAAGAGCGTTTAAATCGTGATAGATAGTTTTATTGTGTCTATTCTTACACTATGGGCTTCATAGGGTTAGTTTCGGTGGCAACACTTTACAAAAATAGCTTTTGTTACTAATATGGGGGGCTGTATAATGCTCAGCTATACTTTACTATAGTAGGTACATAGGTATAACAATACTATTGCTACTATCAGAAAGAGCTACTACTTAAAAGAAATTTAAGTACCTACCTAACACCTCTCGCAATACTATCGTCTTACTATGGTACACTACAGTGGTCTTGCTAAGCTACTTACAAAAAAACTCAATTTTTATTTTATCACTCCTCAATTCAGTCAGTTGGGAACTTAAGAATAACTAGGATTTCATTTATTGATCCCTNCATAGACACTAAGGTTGGGTTGCACTATCTTATTTTGACTGTAAAAGACGTCAAAATTCCATACAAAAAGCACCGGTTATCGTTATAGTTACCGTCAAAGTTAGGTGGTGCAACCCAGCCTAAGAAAAGAGCGTTTAAATCGTGATAGATAGTTTTATTGTGTCTATTCTTACACTATGGGCTTCATAGGGTTAGTTTCTGTGGCAAAACTTTAGAAACAGCTTTTGCTACTATTATGGTGGTTGTATAATGCTCAGCTATACTTTACTATAATACATAGGTACATAACAATAGGTACTATTGCTAATATCAAAAACAGCTACTAAAACAATTTAAGTAACCACCTAACACATCTCGCAATACTTATCGTCTTGCTATGTATAGTGGTCTTGCTAAGCTACTTACGTAAATATTCAATTTTTATTTTATCACTCCTCAATTCAAGTCAGTTACTTTAGAATCACTAGGATTTCTTTTATTGATCCTATAGCTCCAACAGGCTATTACTGTAAACTATAAATGTAAATATACTTTTTATGCGCAGGCGACTGACCGAACGAGTGAACGAGTTGATACACACCGAGAGCGTTTACGTCGAGAGGCTACGGCACGTGATAGAGAACTACATTCCAGAGATGGACAGGGAGGATCTGCCCTCAACCCTGGCCGGCGCTAAGGGCATCATCTTTGCAAACATTGAGGACGTCTACAGGTTTCACTCCAAAGAATTCCTGCCAGCGTTACGAGAGTGCGAAAATGATCTTAGGAAATTGGGCCAATGCTTTAGGATATATGTAAGTATTAATATGTAGAATTAAATAAACTTTTAATTATAATTTTAAGTAAGGAAGTATCTATTTTTTTAATCGCTTACGAACGAACATGATGGATTTGATGGATCTCTGAATATTACAGCATAAATGTACGCTCGCAAAAACAATACGGATATATCACGTATGATTCAGAGTTATTGAAGAGAAAACAATATATTCAGACGTAATAATCACCGGTTGCAAGTCAAACGCAACGCGGCCATTATCACAGTCTGCGTAAATCTTCGTAATGAATGCGAAGAGCATTAAAAACATCGGTGTCACGGACTGGTAGAGCGCATGATTCTATGCCGGTGTCCGCTATTATGGTAGAATCACCTCTTCCCCTATTTTGATTCATGGAACTATGAATAGACAGTCGGATACTTGAATCAAGCCCGACCGCTTGTTCGGCCGAGTTAATTCTACACTGTAATTGACACAGTAGGCTTTCTGACAAGCAAGGTGAAGGTGTGTTAAGTCGAAAAGACACGCGCAGGCGACGTACTCTAGTTTACGTATAAAGACCAATAGATGAGTCTATCTATACTCATAATGGTATACTATTATAAGGTGATATTGTTGGATTCTACTGCTCAAACATTTTGTGCTTAAGTTACCGTCGATGAATGTGTCCCTCTTCTCCTCCTTCAACAATTTCCACATCGACCATACTAGTACCAGAATAAAATTTGTTTCATTTGAGCAGTCTCATCCAATCAACCCTAGAAGTCCCTGTTGGAAATAGATTTTCCGGCGGAATCTATGACTTTCTTGAGTTTAACAGAATCCGGTAATTTATGATTAAACTGATCTCTAAACCTTCTGTAATACCTTTACTGTATTATATTTTAGTTATTAGTAATGCACGATTCCTTCCAGCGAGTTACCGCCACATTACCCAGGTCGTGGATTTTTACTCAGCACTGCCTCAGTTACTTGTGAAAGTATCAGTTTTCTCTAAAATGTGTGCTCTGGTTAGTTGATAGTCTAGCTAGATAGTTCCACAACCGCAGGTTTGCTACGTGATATTGATATTGAAATTACTTCTTTGGTGCTCGTTATCCAATTTACGTACAAATGTTTTTTTAATTTGAACAGGTTAGTTACTGTCTACGGTATGCCAATATAATAACATTGTTAAATAAAACTTGCACGTTTAATTAATGCTTTTAGCGAATTTGAACTATAAATATGTATGTGTACCTATTTCCTTTATCTATGCGCGCGATGTAAGATTTCCTATTTTTCAATTACTTTAACCTATGTATCTCCAGAGCCTTGCCACATTGCCGGATTGCAAGCGTTTTCAAAACGGAGCGGCGCGACGCAGCGAACGCGTCGCGTCTCCGCGGCGGAGACGCCGCAGATGCCGCTTTGTAAACGCTTGCACTCCACCAATGTGGCAAGGTTCTAAAGGCTTAAGGTGTAAAGTTAATTTTGTAACCTTCTATTTTTTGTTAACAGGAACCAAGGTTTAATATGTACGTAATGTACTCTAGGCATAATAAGAGAGCCACGAGACTGGTATATGAACACAAGCTGTTCTTCCAAGTAAGTGAGACTTTATTGTAAGTATTTAAACAATCAATGTGATATCTATATGTTTATTTATAACAATAACTGCTTTTATCCTAGCTGTAAATCGCTATCGCAGTCAAAAATGTGAAGGAAGTGCGTTGTATGATAACTCAATGACATTTTAAAACTTTTTCGTCACATCTAATTTAATGTTGTATTTTCCAGTTTGTCATCCGTATAATCCATGTATTTTTATACATTATAATTTATATTATTTTTATATACTTATCATAATTCGGTACTAATAATATTATAGAGCAAAATAAGGCTTTAGGTTATACTATACATCGCCCTACAGCCATTAGGGGCGGAGCAGTAAAGATTGGCAAAAACGGGAAATATTACTTAAACTATTTGGACGCGTATTATGAAGTCGCGGGCACAACTAAATAGATAGATATTATAAGGTTTATTTGCTCTACACAATGACACGCAATAAGCAAAAAGTAAAGGTACTAAACACAGGAGGAGCAAGAAAAAAAAAAGTTAATTACAAGGAATTTAAAAGAAAAGAAAATCCTGCGCTAAGATGCAGCAAGCAAGCAAGCAAGTAAGCAAGTGTGCCGCAGCGATGCAAAAAGCATGATATTACTTATTATAATTTTAAAGCATGTCGTTATTAATGGTCATAAAAGAGTATTGTTATGCACGTCTTGTGCAAGTCAATGGTGTAGCATAGTTTCCGTTATGCAGTTACATTGAGTATGTATATGTAATCACGTTAGCTATCGAAGTTGGTCTACCAACGGTACTAGTAAACTGCGTAAATGTACAAGATTATGTGTAAAGCTTAGCGTGCATGCATGCAAAAAAGTACTGTAACAGGTATAAATATTCATAAATTACTATAATTAGCATAATATTTAAGATAGATAGAATAATTATTGATCCAAATAAGAATTAGAATATCAGAAACAAAACCGAAATATATTTCTATTTGTGTGAATTAAAACTTTACTAATTGTCAAAATCGTAGGTTCATAAATGAAATATGACTATAATTCAAGTTTTTGTTGTTGGACCTAAAACTGAAAAGCAAAATGGAGAAACTTGTTCCTTAAATTAGGTATAAGACTAATACAGGTTTCATTTTAATTTAGCTTTTCCTTGAATCTTATACCTACAAAACACTGAGTCAAGTGATGACCAAGGACGCTTTAACTTGCAGATATTTTAAAATACTAGTATCTAATGTTGTTTGCAATTGTTTACCAAAATCAAGTCAAATATCATCATATTATGATTCTTCTAATCCAGAATACCCCACAGGTGAAACCCGACATTTCTGGTAAAGGGGTGAACCAAATAGTTTTAATACTTCGANAAGGTGTACAATCCCAGGTAAAGAGTCAAAAGAAGCGGAGATGTGTATGAATCAACGTGTGAAAGCAAAAATCCGAAAACGCGTGCTTTTATAGGGGGTAAATAGGCCGCAACTCGCGACGTATCAAACAGTTCATACATGTCTTTTTCGTTACTTCTTCACATTAGCCGGGATATCTTTTTAAATACTGGTGTGATTTAAACGAATTTGGTATCAATTTAAAGATAAAAGTTTAATCTTTAAAATGGTGCCACTTTTTTTGTTCCTAACAAATTCGTTAGTACACAAGATCGCGTGGAAACAACTTCATGTAAGTGATTCCATACTTTTGCTCGCGAGTGTAGTACCAGAATAAAATTTGTTTCATTTGAGCAGTCTCATCCAATCAACCCTAGAAGTCCCTGTTGGAAATAGATTTTCCGGCGGAATCTATGACTTTCTTGAGTTTAACAGAATCCGGTAATTTATGATTAAACTGATCTCTAAGCCTTCTGTAATACCTTTACTGTATTATATTTTAGTTATTAGTAATGCACGATTCCTTCCAGCGAGTTACCGCCACATTACCCAGGTCGTGGATTTTTACTCGGCACTGCCTCAGTTACTTGTGAAAGTATCAGTTTTCTCTAAAATGTGTGCTCTGGTTAGTTGATAGTCTAGCTAGATAGTTCCACAACCGCAAGTTTGCTACGTGATATTGATATTGAAATTACTTCTTTGGTGCTCGTTATCCAATTTACGTACAAATGTTTTTTTTAATTTGATGATGTCCATGACATGTCAATAGCAACATAATAACATTGTTAGTTATAACTTGCACGTTTATTGAATGCTTTTAGCGAATTGGAACTATAAACCCCGTATTCACAAACAAAACATTACTATGAGGTCTCACAGTGCGCGTGGTCGCACAGGGTGACACACGAAACAACCACAGAGCTCTATTCATCGCTGTGCGTTCAATTTGCTGCTTTACTTAAGCAAGCATCGTTTGTGAATACGGGCGTAAATATGCTACCTACTTCCTTGTTAACTATGCGCCCGATGGAGAATTTCCTATTTTTCAATGACTAGTTACTTATGATCCAGGTGTCTTAAGGCTTAAAATAAATGTTTAAAGTTATCTGTAACCTTTTTTTGTTAACAGGAACCAAGGTTTAATATGTACGTAATGTACTCTAGGCATAATAAGAGAGCCACGAGACTGATATACGAACACAAGCTGTTCTTCCAAGTAAGTGAAACTTAGTTATTAATATTTATAATTTTCAAATAAGTGAAACTTTATTGTAAGTATTTAAACAATCAATGTGATATCTATATGTTTATTTTATAACAATAATTGCTTTAATCCTAGCTTTAAATCGCTATCGCAGTCAAAAATGTGAAGGAAGTGCGTTGTATGATAACTAAATGACATTTTAAAATTTTTTCGTCACATCTAATTTAATGTTGTATTTTACAGTTTGTTATCGGTATTAATCCATGTATTTTTTACATGATAATTTATATTATTTTTATCCTACTATAATATTATAAATGTGAAAGGTTGGATTTCTGGATGTTTGTTACTCTTTCACGCAAAAACTACTGAACGGATTTTGATGAAACTTTACAGTATTATTTTTTATAACCCAGATTAACATAAAGGCTATATTTTATGACGATCTGTGACACACTTAATTTCACGCGGGTCAAGCCGCAGGCAAAAGGTAGTACCTACATCATAATTCTGTATTAATAATATTATAGAGCAAAAAATAAGGCTTTAGGTTATACTATACATCGCCCTATTGCGAAGTCGCGGGCACAACTAGTGCCTACTTATTATAATTTTAAAGCATGTCGTTATTAATGGTCATAAAAGAGTACAATTGTTATGCACGTCTTGTGCAAGTCAATGGTGTAGCAGTTTCCTTTATGCAGTTACATTGAGTATGTATATGTAATCACGTTAGCTATCGACGTTGGTCTACCAACGGTACTTGTAAACTGCGTAAATGTACAAGACTATGTGTAAAGCTTAGCGTGCAAGTATGCAAAAAATTACTGTAACAGGCATAAATATTCATAAATTACCTACTATAATTAGCATAATTTTAACGAGAGATAGAATAAATTGATCCAGAAAAGAATCAGAAAAGAAACAAAACCGAAACATATTTTTATTTGGGTGCATTATAACTTTACTAATTGTCAAAATTTGTAGGTTAAAAAAACTTCAGTTTCAAAGGTCACTTTAATTCAAGTTCTTGTTATTAGATCTAAAGCTGAAAAGCAAAATGGAGAAACTTGTTCCATATTAGGTATAAGAGTAATACAGGTTTCATTTTAATTTGGTTTTTCCTTGAATCTTATACAAAACACTGAGTCAACTGATGATCAAGGGCGCTCTAACTTGATAGACATTTCAAAAGACTAGTGCAATTGTTTACCAAAATCTAGAGTCAAACATCATCTCATATGATTCTTCGAATCCAGAATACCCCACAGGTGAAACCCGACATTTCTGGTAAAGGGGTGAACCAAATAGTTTTAATATTTCCTTACCTGTATGTTGATTACCTTGCGGAGGTGCAAGACTGATTGCAACATTACCGTTGTCCACACCTGGGTCGTTGTCCACAGATCCATAAGCTATTGCTATTCTGTGGCTTATATTATTTCCTCATTCACAACATCTACGAGGCTGGACAGACCCGTTGCCAGCACCGTTACAGGCGATACCAAGTAACAGGCGTGGAAGCGTCAAGGCTCCAAATTATAAACAAACATCCGTTAATGCATTATAATTAATTACAAGAGTTGTACTCATTAATGTTTGGAATGCTGATTGTTTTAAATTAAATTGTAGTTGTGCATTTACAGCGCTTGTGGCATTGGGTCCTAATACATAAGACCTCTCCGTTCCCGGATGGCTGGTATATAAGGCCTAGGCATTAAATGTATATTTCTATCCGGGCATTCAGCGGTGTTTTCGTAAATTCATTCACAATCATCACTAACTTGAAATACATAATACTTATACTTAAGTTTCAATGGTGGTTCTCTATAAATTAGAAAATGAAAGCGACGTAAAGTTCAAGTAAAATACAGCTTTCTTACTAATAAGATTGTGAAATCTTCCATTAAGATTCATTCACCTTGTTTTATTGATAATGACTGAGAAAATGAACTTTATGCATAAAGCTGCATCTGGGTAAATGTAGATTTTTTATCTTAATTATAAATTATCTCACAAATAAATGAAAACTGGTACGGCGAAAATAAATAATTTTGTCGTAGACGAAGGTGCTCGTTTCTTACATATTTTTGCCTCTTACGAGATTCGAACTCGCTTGATCGCCGATGAGCCACCAGACAAGACTGTTGACTAAAAAAATAAACACATTTGACACGTGAAAGTTTATTACTTTGCCGCGCCATTTCCTTCGAAGGCTTCTCAGTCTACTTGCCCGAGAATTCTGCTCTAGTAATCGTGTGTCGAGATCACATATCGTTTGGCCGAATTGCACACGATATGGTGAAAGGCGATAAGACGATATTGCGATTAGTTAAATTACGAAATACGGAAAAAAATGGCGATATTGTTTGGCAATGAGGACTTAGCCTACTTCGCAGTAGCTAAGGATCTTCTTACTTCATATTTTTAATTTAACGATTTCAAGACCAAAGCTGTTAAAATATCAAAACCAAGTAACTTAATTGACGCATACGAATAACGTTTATGTATTCGGAGTCATTAATGTTTATAGTAACTTATTATTTGGGCCTATTTATTATTTTTGTTTGAATAATATTATCTCTATTGTCCTCTATTATAAGCTCTACTTAGTATTATGTAATTGCTATTATAGAACAATTTACTATTTAGTTAACACGTGTTGATTATAAAATGTATTGAGAATAATAGAACGCACTACCGTTTATAGGAAAGCGTGACATTGTAACCATTATTACTAATCGTAACATGATATCCACACTAGTTAGTCATCATCATTGTTCCAATTTTCAAACCTTAATTAACTGTGTGATTGTTTCAGGAGAAGCAAATGGAACTAGGCGAAAGATTAGATCTCTCAAGTTACATATTAGAACCAATACAAAGGATTCCGAGGTATAAATTGTTCCTGGTCGATCTAGTTAAAACTTACACTAATTACGAGAACGAGAGGTGTGAGTCGGATTCTCGGATCTCTAAGTTAAGTGTGGACAGCGATGAGACTGGGGGAAGCAACGGGGACTCGGACAGCGATGAAACGCCACTAGAAAGTTTGAAGCAAGCAAAAATTGTGGTGGAACGCATACTGACTGCGGTCGATGAGATTGTGGTATTAGAAAACATCACAGACTTGCCGGTAAGTTGACACCTACATCGATTTAGAAAGGTCTATTCGCAGTTTAATAACACCCAAAACACTAGGAATCTTAACAAAAAACAATTGAATCCGACATGATTGTGTTTTGTTTGTTTTTTTATATGTGCTTCTCGCGTGTTTTGTTATTGGTTCAAACCAAATATTTTTAATAATACTGGTATTGTAGAAACCCAATTATTTATTTGCGTGGTCTGATTTGTTTTGGAAGAGAAAATATTGTTTTATCAGTATCGAATTGGGAAGTTCAAGTGTGCGACCTCTACTGAGTGATATAAATTATGGCCAGACCTTGAATTCAGTTTATGAATATGAGTAGGTATAAGCTTTATTATGTAGTACAGACATAACTCTTTCTTGTAATATTTGTTTTGCGAGATATACACCCGTATTCACAAACGATGCTTGCTTAGTGCAGCGTTGAGTCGAGCTCTGTGATTGGTTCGTGTGTGACCATGTGCGCCCATGCGCTGTGAGACCTCATAGTAATATTTGTGAATACTAGCGATAGTCTTTGATGAATTATTTAATTTTTCTTGAATATGAAATGTATACGTTTCAGCCGCAACTGAGCCTGCTGTGCCAGGGTCGTCTGCTCGTCCAGAACGAGTTTTGGGCCATGGATACGGCTCGGAGAAGGCGGACGCTCATGAGGCTGTTCCTCTTTGACAAACTGGTGCTCATCACGGCGGTATACAAGAAGGTATGTTTTTACAGTCCATTATAATTACACTGTCTATCTACGCCGTTGTAAATAAAAAATGACGAACTAAAGTGTCTAATAAAGAATTTGAATTTTGAATTTGAGTATCAGGTTTTAAATAAACAACGTGAAAAAATCGAACTGCCTAAATCGGGAAGCGAGAACCCACGACCTTTCGCTTGCCGGGCGACTGCTCTTCCAACTGAGCTGCTTAGACACTGGATGAACCCGTCAAAATTTTCAAGTGTAGTACGCTGTTATGGCCGCGTTATTCATCAAAATCAAATCAAATCAGGTTGTTCATCAAAATCTCTTTTAACATCTACGTAGTTTGCTGCCAATTGAATGTAGTAAGCTCAATCATAACAATCTAGTATGAGTTGTCGTAGTGAACTCAAGATGTCATTTGGCAATCCAGTAGGTATAGGTTTATTCACACTTCGGGTTGACTGATAATACTCGTAACTCTTGAAAATACTTGGGTAGGTAATTCACACTTTGTTCACAGAGTAGGAATACTTATAAATCAGGATTTTTTTAAACTTAGAACTCTATCATTTTGTGACACGATCGATGACCGGCTACACCAAACGTTGGAAATGTAATAAATTATAACCTCTTAAGTATATGAATTTTGAAAGATGTAAATATATTCAAATACTTTACTGAGTTGTATGTTATAAAAACTTTGTATCTTTGTAAAAATATGATTATATATAGGTACGGTAGGTAGTAGTACATAATCTTGTATTGAACTTGTATGAAAGTTCTCGTCGCATGGTTCAATCTCTCACGAGTTTTCGAATAACATATTCTTTCCAACCAGCATTGCAAAGTAGGTATTGTTTTCTGTTTGAAATATTTTTGCCCTTGTCTCTTTTTATCAATTCGGAATTTACGTACCTACTTACTTGTATTTTTATCAACATAGGTAGGCGTACTTTGTTGATATTTAAATGAGTCATTAGTTTGAGTCATCATCTACCACTATCAATATAAAAATAATAGTAGTAAATATTATAATTACCGCTCGTCCGATACTGTTTTGTTGATAACAATTAAATTATAAAATGATGCGTAACTTTGTCTCTAAGGCAACGTATCAATATTATCTTAATGTACAGGATGGTGAGTTAAATATGTGTTTAACAATTATGGTTACGAACGAACCTGGAACGAAATTGTGAAAATATAGCGATGGTCCATGAATGATTGTTGCGGTAGAGCGATGATTTGTTCATAAAGTCAGCGTCAAATAGTTCCTGACATCCAAAGTGGCCAAAAAGTTGACAACACAACCTTATTCCAATCGTAACAAAGATGTGTTGCGATATTTTTGACTACTTTGGGTGTCAAGAACTATTTGACTCTGACTGTACAAACTGAGCTAATACTTAGTGGGCCGCTACTAATTGAATGTTAATCTTACAAGAGTTTGTGGACTATAAATAAATCAAAAAAAATTAATAAATTCGTAAATAACATTAAACACAGTATCCTCAATCCTCAGCTAGTTTCGTCATACGATTTTAATTACGTTGCAGATTTATTTATAAGTTAGTGTGTAACATAAGCCAGTAAGATTATTATGTGCTAGTTTATCTTATTTGAAAGATTAATCGATGTTTTAATCCTTTAATCTTTTGGACAATTTTTAATAATGATTGAATTTCGAATTCCTAAAACATATAAAGTAATGTATTATGTGGTAAATAGTAAATACAATAGTTTATTAATAACTCGGCGCGCCGCATCGGCGTCGGAAGCAGATAGTCGGGAAGAAATGCAACCTCTGAGCTCTGACATCCAGCAACCACTCACTTGGCGCGAAGATAGCTAAGCAAAAGCATAATTAATACAGGTACATAATTAATATTAAGAACCGAGAACAAAGGAAAAATAGAGCCCCTAACTTATGAAAATATTTTTGAAGATAACGTGCATTATTTTTTGCAAAAAATGCACGTTTTGGTCAGAGATTCTCCATATTCACTCTATAATGAACAATTAAATATCGTTTGGAATTTTAGAAAAATAGTTTAGAGATTTAGAGATCAGAACAATTAACACTAACTCACTAATGAGATGATTTTAAAAATAATAACGAAAAAAATAATTGCATCTCTATTTATGCAAAGAAAGAAATTGATTCTAGTTACTTCGGTTTTCACTTCACACAGATGTTCGCAGTAAATATCAGAAATACCCTTTTAAGATAAATCATACTTATAGTGCTTGTTCACGTAGGCACGCGCGGGCGCGGGCGCGGGCGCGGGCGCGGGTAACGTCGCGAGCTCGTGTTCATATTGACGACCAGGCGTTCGCGCGATTGTGACGTATTGTCAGAGGTCGAATTATGGACGACGATCTTTTATTTTTAACCGAAAATTCATACCTAAAGTGGGAGATGCTAAAAATTAGAATTGGTGTGCACGAGATTAATAAAGAAAGAGAACGGTATGGCGAATTTCATACTTTATATCGTAATTTGAGAGAACATCCTTCAAGGTTTTTTGGATATACCAGGATGAGTGTCAACTGTTTTGATTACATACTGGATTCAATAAGGAGTGATATTTCAAAAGTAGACACAAATTTTCATAAAAGTATAAAGCCCGAAGAAAGACTATTTGTAACCTATAAGGTGAGTTTAAAAAAAAGATTTTNTTTCAAAATTAGACACAAATTTTCATAAAAGTATAAAGCCCGAAGAAAGACTATTTGTAACTATAAGGTGAGTTTAAAAAAAAGATTTTCTTAGTAAGTAATTTATAATTTTCAATCAAAATCAAATTCAAACAAGGTTCCTCTTTATTATTTAATTTAATTAATATTATCGTTATCAACTAAACAACATTTCTGTTCATATGATGACTGTGTTTCCTTTGCCAAATAGGAGTTCTAGCCTGAATAGCACTAATAAACTCTTCTGTATTGAACGACATGATAAAAACGTGCTATCGTTTCTAGCGACAAGATCAAACTGGTTGAACTTACCTGACGTCGTGAGTGAAACGCGCGCGCCGCCGCTAGTTTGACATGAACACACACAAACATCTTCACGCGTTGAAATTACCGCGAGCGCTCCGCGCGCGCCAGTCGCTAGCTTGCCCGCTAGTTAGACCGCGCGTGCGTTTCGTACGTGAACACTTGGAATCACTACATATGTTTGATATTTCGTCACCGCGCCCGCGCCCGCGCCCGCGTGTCAACGTGTGCAAGCACTAAGAGCATTTGACGATTTGCAAGAACTAATTTAATTAGTCTAAACAAATAAAGATAATTTTGATTTTGAAACCACTATCTTCAATACAAATCACGGCAACGAGCCGACTGTTTGTATGGGCCAGTGATGGATGTACACACATTTCCTTATTGAAAACAGTCCCTATAATAATATAGATTGAGACGAAAGAGGAAAATGCTGCGCGAAAGCCGAGATTTCGGCACGCAGCGCACGAATACTCGAGCAAATAACTTGTTGTCACCCCACGTTTGAGGCACCCCGCTAATTTAATAAGGCAAAACGATGAACAATTCTCCTTATGTCCAAGGCATTCAGACCTTTTTTGCTTGCCGCTACTTGACGGATCTACCCTGCGCTTAGTTTACCTACGTGCGCGGTCTTCCATTAGAATCAAGGAATTCGACCGCAATGGACTGGCTGCGCTGGAAGCTTTTGTCTAGGTGGGTATAGTAAGTATTAATTAATTAATTTAGATATTTTAAATTTGCACTTTGGTCAACTCAAATTCGGAGGTTAAGAGTAGAGGCTTATTCCACTATTCCCCGTTGTTGACAATCCCCGTCAACGGGATTAGTGAACTTTTTGTTCACTAATCCCCGTTGACGGGGAATTGTCCCCAATGGGGAATAGTGGAATAAGCCAGAGTAGGCGCACACCGTTGATTTTTAGTTGGCCGATAGTTGTGCCCGATTTTATATTGTATGAAGAATCAGTCAAATCGAATCGGCGTAGTGTGCGCACTCCCATACATGCCCATACTGATCAACTGCCCGACTAAACTATCGGCCGACGAAAAATCAACGGTGTGCGCCTACTCTAAGAACTACTTATATATGATTAAAGTTAATTATCACTAGTACAGTTAGTGGCAAATAGTTCTTGACATCCAAAGTAACCAAAAAGTTCGCAACACGTGTTGGAAAGAGGTTGTGTTGTCAACTTTGGCCACTTTGATTTATCATGAACTATTTGATGCTGACTGTACGTACACACGTGTTTCGGGGAGTTTCTCCATCGGCAGTACTGGTACATATCTGTGAAGACTTGGTTCAATTCCAATGGGTGAAGTACAAAAATCATTATAGGAGATAAAACACTACATTATCGTAATCATTTTTATGATCACAGTCTGTAAATTAACAATTTAGACAATCTGAATCAATGATTGTGATAGTCACCACCACAGCGAAATCTGTATCAAGAAAGAACTACTCCTAAATGTTTCAAACACCACACGCTGCTAATAGTATTGTTGCCAAAGCACGGTCGTCAGAAAAAGGAAACTCATTTAATTAATGAAGATTATTCCCCTTCTATCCGGCCGAAATTTGAATCCGGAACCCCCTGCATTCAAAGCGATCCACCATGCATTGATAAGAATGTATAATAACTACAAGACGAGAGCTTTCGACAAGTAATAACTCGACAAACTCATAAAAAAGCTTTTGAAAATCCCAGCATTTCTTATTTACGGCGCATCTATGACGTTTGATGTTTACGTTTCATTTATTCAAGTCTAGGTCCTGAAACGTCACAACTTCAGTGTGCAAACGTTTCATTAAAGTACAAAACGCCTGATATAAAATGATGAGCACAATATCAATTTTAACCACGCTGTTTACGTGCGACTGATAAAGCGCGATGAGTACCCTACGCATCGTTATCTAAAAAGTTTTTATGAATATAAAGTAGTGAGGTAGTTTTCTAGAGCTCACATCTGACTAAATCCTAGACCGAATTCTCGCATGGCATCCCCGCGCGCCGGATCGATAGCTCGGGACCTGTCGCTTGGAAGCTGGACATTCGTTATCGGGAAGAGGTAAGTGCTGTTTAATTGCTATCGATTTAATGCAATATGCAAATTATTATTTGATATTTTTATGTTCACTTTATTTGTCATCTCTTATCCGGGAATAACAACAACGGAAAACATATTGCGCACCTAAATATGGAGAAATGTATTTTTATTTAATTTTTATCTTTATTGATTTTCAATTGTTCTTCGCTGCAGACAATATTTTTTAACATTATTAAGGGTAAATAGATGGATATTAAAATCTTTGTTGCGCGGCCGTTTCGGGGAGTTGATCGGAAAATTTTTATTTATCAATCTTTAATGCAACTGCAATTGCACTTAATTGCATTATGCATTGATGAATGCAATTACTTCATTTGCTGATAATTTTATTTTGCCTGCGTCGTAAAATTTATAGATTAGAAATTTTATCCATAAAGGGGGTGGTAGGTACCTTTACTTGTTGCATAGAAATGCATCCCTGGAGTCATTGCGACTATGCCTTATGCATTTTTACGTAATTGGCAGATGCATTTAATGAAATTAATGCAATTTCTAAAATAGAAAAGCATTTTCCGTCCATTTGGTTTATTTTTTCATTCAGTTTTTTAATAAAATTCAAAAGCTGTACTGCGCATGCGGAAAATTATTGGCGATTCGCCAGCAAATATAGGACCACGCCACGTCAGTACACAAGTGATGATACGACGTAATTTTCATAATGATAATTTCTCAAATTCAATTTAAACGAAGTGGCGAGCATGAAATCAATTGCCTTCGCCGTTAGTCACTGAGTGCGGGTGACTTAGATCTGACTAACATTGCTCATGTACCTATCTAATGTATTTTATATTTTTCCAGGAATCTTCAGTGACAGTCTTTTCGGGAGAAAAGGTTAAGGAATTGTATTTAAAGCCCTTCCTTTGGTTTTAATCGCGCCGCATAAAATGACTAAGTTTACTGCCCAAGATTAAGTTAACTTGCTCAAATTAAAGACAGTTGATGAAAGATAAATTACAAATAGTCTTTGCTAATTACAATGTCAAAATTAGATAAGTTAATCTTTTGATCGAAATCAGTAAGTCCATGATCAATGGAAAAAATTTGTCGATATTTTAAGAATGCAAAGCGAATTCCTTACTTGCTTATTGAGCGAATATTTATTGCCCATTTTGGATTCTTCCAGTGGCAGCGCTAAGCAAAATATCTTATCTTAATTTGATCAAGCAAACGCTTAATTATCAAAATAGTTTGCCCAAAACATACCTACAAAGTTACATTTGAATTTAAAATGAAATTAAGTAACGGCGCGCAGTATTTGTATGTGGCTCGTTACATTGTGTTCTTTTCTTACAGGTAAATCGCAGTAAAGTCTTCAGCTTAGAGAGTTGACTGCAGCTCGCACCATGTGTCCGCACAAGGTCGAAGTGGTGAAGGACAAGTTCGACTTGCGGAGCTGGCAGCTGGTGGCGCAGCGCCAGGACCTCATCGAGCGCTGCTTGACGTCGCTGGGTCACTCGTGCCGCTGCGTGGACGCCTACTGCCGCCAGCCGTCATGCCCCAAGATGAAGCGAGTGGTCATCCACACCACCATTTGCCGGCGCAAGAACAAGGGCACTTGCCCGGTGTGCAAGCAGCTCATTGCTCTGTGCTGCCATCATGCCAGGAACTGCCGGGTAAGCTAACAAAGAGATTGACTTTGAACAAAAGCTTCAATTTGCGCCGTGTTCTGAACAACAAGTCACAATTAGGAATAATTTACAGGAGAACCGTTGCCCGGTGCCCTTCTGCACCGCGGTGAAGAACAGGCTGCGTACGAACACCATTCTGCGCGCCCGTGCCGCTGTCCGCCAGGTGCTTCCCGCTGATGAGGAGATTGATGAAATAGAAGTAAGTATTTTGTTCTAACGAGTTACCTAATTGCAGTTGTGGCCTTTTCTTCATAGTCGGCTAACATTTAGCCACTGAGTCAAAAGTGGCGCCCAACGTGGTGGTAATTGTCTAGTTCCACCAACCATGGCGCGACATTCAAAATGTTGTGTAAGGTTCCAAACGCCACTCAACTATGAATCAAGAACTGATTCAAGCTTGTCACTGTCCCAATTCAACTATAGCTTTGAAATTTTGAATCCATGCATATAAAATGTGTCACATTCTTAGGTGAACATCCAGAGCGGCGTGTCTGGCTGGCGCGTGGTGCGCGTAGTATCGAGCCCTAGCCGCCTGGAAGCTCAAGAGGGCGGGGCGCAAGCCGCCGTGCGCCAGCTCAACGGCGCCGAAGCCATGGAGGAGGACCTGGCCGACAACAACAACGTCGGTGACAATCCCATGGACGCCATGGCAAACAAAGCCCCCGTCGACGACGACTCGGAGTCAACCATGTCCGAGTAAACATGCACCCCCTCCCTCTCGCATGTCCCCCCCAACCCCTCCGTCTATCCCCTGTTATCGATGTTGTAGGCGACCCCGCCGATCGGTGTTTAATTGATGTTCATGTTTAGAAACTAGAATGTGTACGAATTTATGTCTAAATGTTTATCTGTTGACGAATATTGCCAAAGTTTAAATTTACCTCAAAAAATGTTTCGGAATATGTGTTATATGTATCCGCAATCGAATTACACCTTTTGGATTTTATTGTACCTACTCTATAATAAAAATTATCTATCTTACTTGTGTTTTTATTTCTATCCCTACCTGTAATTATAATTTTAAAAAAATAGGACAGTATTGAAATAACTACAGAGATAAATAAAAGGATTCATGTATATAAAACGCTTTAATCAAGTGACAATGTTAAAATAAACATTTTAGTTAATTTTAGAATTAGTAACGTTTTGCTGTGCTGTAAAGTAAATTTAATTCACAATGTTATACTACAAGATAAAACATCTGGGTCTGAACAGTTCTCGAACCATTATTATATTATTCTGCTTTATTCAACAGCCACCAACATTCAACAATAAAAACTTTTAAAAGGTAACGACCTCCAGCGGTAATAATCAATAAATAAACGGAGTTGACTCAATTGTATGTAAAATTGTTCCCGGCAATCTATGCCGATACATACGATTTTGCACGCAACAACAGGTGCGCATTGATCTTTGATTTGTTTACGAAGTTGCAAAAAGATAATACAAAAATAGACGGCAATAAGTGTTTTACGTATGAGCCGTTAAATTGTTATAATCGCGAACACTTCGTTCTGTGTGAAGCGAAGCTAGTACATCAGCTATTGTTCGTTTAATTAACGCCATGATCTATACTAAGGCGTTCTTAGACCATGTTTAGAACATTCCATCATACATTTGCAATAGGTCTGAGAATCTGTCGACCGAAACAACCATCTTACAGACCAAGCCCAAAATATTTGTCTTATAGAGCCGTGCGTGGTCGACGGCTAAAAGAACAAACGTTTGAACCTGCCCTCATACATTTTATTCATATCATGACGTGTTTACATACAAACTCAGACTCGATTAACGTTATAAAGCTTGTTCCTCAACATTACACAACAGCAATTTGTGAATGCCAACATAATTACTACGAAGCACTTAAAAATATAGGAATAACAAAATTCATAACCCCAGTCCATACATGAATTATACAACGGGGATCCTTAAATCACTATCAATCATAATCTAATGTAAAAAAAACAACGAACAATGATTATAACAAACGATTTGTCGTATGAAATAGATATTTTAGGCAAGCGCTCGTGAATTTTGTACTTGTTAGTAAAATTAATTTATCATTGCGTTGCATCAAATGTTATGTAACTATGCGATGTGCCATTTGCATGAAGCGAGTGGTTGGGACTTAATGCTGTATCGATGCTGATTTGCCTCAAATATCATATCCCTTACGAGATCCTTAACGAAAGGGACAAATGTATAAAACTCACACACCTTGTAAAAATGTTGAGACCCACACTTTTAAATTACACATACACGTTCATATACATAATTATTATGCACGATTTATTTTTTATGATTTTTTTTCACTTGCAACACATATTTATACCATGATCGTACACTGCTAAGTTTTAAGTACCGTAAGTCAGGGATGTATGCCAAGGTCAGTGTTTACGTGTCCCGAAGTAGTAGTTACAATTACAAATGCTTATCCTGTATCCTACCTAAATTATATTATTGAAGATGAGAAGCAAAATAACACAATTTTAATTCAAAAATAAGATCAAATCTATGGTTTAACAGCAAAAAATCCGCTTGACGTTTCAGTGGAATCTATCCCCACCACCGTGAAGGCACAAACATAAAATCTAAGGAGGTATTGAAAACTTTGAAATTAATTTTCATTGGTTATTTTAGCTTCTCAACTTCGAAACGTGTGATGATGACCGGAGGCAAAGTCAAGCGCGTTCAAGGAAATAATTGCGTGTAATGTAACAACTATGTATTGAAAATTCATTGCTTTGACTGGTTTTGTCAAATGACTGGCATAAATAAGACAATCATTACCTTTTATAAGGTGTTTAAAAGAAGTGCTAGTAGACATTAGTACATAGTTTCTGAACATGACAAGTAAACAATAAGGTTTTTATTACTACCACGAGTAGGTACCTTTACATTAGTCACATACATAGTTGGAAGGCTATTACATCACACGGAGTTCTTTCCCTACATTGTCGTGCGCTTGACAAGCCTCATACATTAACGTCAAGTTCTCTCTATCATTTTCACTTGTTGATTTACTTTGAATAAAACCAACATTGAATAAATATTATGATCACATGCACTTCCTTAATTAATCCATTATTTTAACATTTGAAAGTCTTCGCTTTTAGGGATATCTAAACAATAGATTACATAATTTTCAATGTTGGCACGAAATTAACATTTTGCAACCAAAATAGGAATGTGCAACACTAAATTTCTGTTAATCCCTATTAATTTACTCAAATTAATATGCCATCACTCAGTCTTTCAATTCATGAAACTGTAAATACATTATAATATATCCAAAAATCTGCAATAAGCAACAGTAAGTGAAATGAAAACAGTAGATTTCACAAATATATACAATAGAATTTGACAACGCCTTCCAATTTAAAATTATCTGATCGTGAAAGCCGCATGTTCAATTTTTAGAAGTGTTTTACGTAAAAATACGGATAGTGGCAGTATGAATACGCAAGTGTGTTCAAAATTACCATAAAGTGAGCTCGAGACTGTGTCTAGGTAGCAAAGGTCAAAACGACACTTTTGAACATACGCGTAACGAAGATAAATAATTTTAATGTTGAAGTAAAAATTAAACACGGACTTAGCGCGATCCTCCACAAGACATTTCATAGAATCAGAATATTATGTATCACAAAGCTACACTACCTAGCTCAGTTTTCCTCCTTATAGCTGAATGGACATGGGAATGATGGAAGGCTAAATTAATAAAGCGCACTGTTCAGAAAAGCATCTAGCGTGCGCGTAGTGCTTGATATTATATCCATGGCAAAATTGACGTTCAATATGGATAGAAATGTATAATTGATGTAAATTCCCTACCAATTTCCTGCCTTTATTTTTTGTACTGAAGGATTATGTTTATAGAGTTTATACATCCAAAAGGAGCACATCAAACAAACTATGAATTGACGGGGCTACTTCCGTAACGCTACTTTCGCGACTGTCTCTGTCTCTCAGCCTTTTGACAAAGAGGGATAGTTGAATCGGACGGTATGGATGTTGTTTGGAGTAGACCCGCAGTTAAAAAAAATACTAAACATATGTTACAACTTATTTAAAATTTATATCTTCGTTGAGAGCAAACCTACAAGATAAAATTGAAATTCTCATAGGCATTTGACATTCTATAATTTATATCGGCACTAATACAGATTTATGTAAAAATACCATCTCTTTTTACCTGCTAAAGACAATAATATGTGAACAATAGGTTGAAAGCGCGATATATTTTTTTACAAGTTTTACGTAAGTACTCTCGCAGCCATGACACCAGAAATACGTTAAGATTTTTCAGTGTGTTGAATTGAACATTATTACACATTGTTTCATAAAATATACGCGCTCACGGACATCGCTATGAATTTATTGCCCATTGGGAGCCATCAAAGTATCAAAGCGGGAGAGAAATATCAAAGAACCGTAATGGGTCCTTAGCACAAGGAATTCCAATATAAATCAGGAACTTTATCGGCAAATTATGGAATATGACTTAATTACTTTTCATGTGTTAAAATCTAGCCAGATTGCTCATTTCTATCCATGTCCCGTAACAAGAAAAAAGAGACTTTCGCCTGAAAGAATCCTCTAGTGGTCAAACCACATACGAATTTTGATCTAAAAGTATCGGGCCCCGTAGACAAAGTAAATTTGAGACAGTTTTTATTTCGAAATCGCTTACGGAGCAAGTGACACGTCAAGAAACCGAAGCGAAGCGATTTCGTCATTTAAACTGTTACGTACTATTTTTATAGATCGTTTCATCCACGAAGACGCCCCACCATTCTTCCGCAAATGTTTGAGTGTTATCGGTACACGCTAAATTTTCCGTGAGTGCACACGCACACTACAATAATGACGCTCGGATTGCTCGGATCAAACTCCCCGCACCCCGCGCTTCCCTCAACCAAAAATTGGTGGGGCGCGTCTTCGTAGATGAATCGATTTATAGTGCTGTAGTGTACCTTAGATGGGCCCTAAATGACGTTTATTTTTGTTGTTAAACGTTTCATTTATACGGCGCTACGCTCCTGGTTATCCAAAGGGCCAGGTATCAAATGTGAAGTCGGTTTATCAAATTCAGATAGGTTAAGGCAAGTGGAAGGTACGGACGAATGCAGCCTCGGAAGGCGGGGTTTAGTCTTGCTTCTTGTCGGAGGGCGTGCTGCTGGAGTGGTCGGTGTCTTCGGGCTCCTCATCCGAGTAGTTTGTGGGCTCCTCGCCAGGCTTCAACAGACGCCCCACGAGGTCGTACTTTTCTGTAATTAAAGAATTGATTTGTGAAAACACGGGCCACGTTGTAAGAGCAATTTGCAAGCTATCTAAATAGTCTATCTATAGGTACAAATAAGGGTTGCTGCTGGGAACAACTGGAAATCTCGCAGAACATGTATGAACTCTAAAAACGCTACAGTCGCTTGGAAGGAGCTAAGTGAAACAATCTGATCTTAAAAAATCTGACTGGCCTTAAGGCGATTAGAGTCCTCAATGACCTTGGGCGTTTGACCTTCACGCCGCGCGAAACACCCGCGCACCCCGCACGAAAACTCCGATTTGACACCGATCAAAATTACACGGGCATAGGTAGATACAGAATAGAAGCTCTTTTTTCATGACATTACTGCCTATTATTTTAAACTTGAATTGATGAACCTTGATGTCGGTGTCATTTAACTCAGGAGTAAAGGTATTTAATAAAAATAACACAATCCATGAACATTTTGTACGGGATATTTTTATTTTTTATTTATTCGTAAATTTTCTAATGTTTTTGTTGGTTCAGCCGTTCTCGAAATTTGAACATGTAATATGTAGGTAACTTCGGGTGGAATCTTGCAAGCTGAATTTGTTAGACCAACTTCCTGACGACAACTGTAGGTATTGGAACACATAGTAGTATTGTCTATGGTTTAAAAAAGCAAATGTTTCTTCTTTTGTCTATTGTCATTCTCTTTGTGTCACTTATGAAGAATAAACTGAAAATGTATTTAATCTCCTCTTTTTATTAGAAATCCTTCAACAACTGATTGAGTTAAAATTTTGGATATACATGTAATTCGGATGACAATGCAATATTGTGATGACCTGGAGTCGATCTGATGATAGAGCTGGAATGCCAGTGGCCCCATACCAACTCCGGGATTAAACGATTCCATCGAGTTTAGGCTCGTTTGATTTGTATTTATTTATTTATATAAATATAAGTAAGTAATATTATGTAAGTAAGCTACTTCAAAAATCACGAGTACCTACCTACTTTAATTCTCAAAGGCAAACAGGGTCTTATGATGGAGCTGGAATGTGGCCGTAGGAATAGGCTAGTTTCTTAAAAAAAAACACTTTTAGTCCATCAATTACACTATCAAAAAATATTGGACACGGTATATTTTTATTTGTCAACAAACAAGTAATTACGAAGTTATGATGCGATGAAATTCCGCGTGACGTCACAAATCGCAACAATTTTATGCACGCCTTAACGTCATGGGCCTCTTCTGAACTTTATCTCTTTAAATTTTCATAAGTTTAAAAAAGTGAAAAATACATTTAAAGTATTTTTTTGGTCAAACTCTTGCTTTACCCAGGAAACATCCTTATTCTTCGAAATTATTACGAGCTACATAACGAAAAATCTTTGCTACTACGCCGCAGCAAATTCCGCATCATAAATAAAAAAATAAATTAAAAGAAAAAACCTTTTTTTTAAAACAAGTTTTTGTATGCTAATAATTTTAGTTTCATGGCAACAACAAGGTCTATTGAGTACCTATAGTCTACTAAAGGCATGAAATAAATTAATTTTCACCAAAAATTAAAACCAACTCCAAAACGAATCACCAAAAGGTAGGCTGTCACCGACTCCGAAAATATCAATCATGATATACGGGAATTTGTAATCAGTATCCACATTTTTTAATAAGCTCTATAGAACAATTTATCAATACCACTTTATCATATTTTTTTTAACTGTGGTATTTTCGCGAAGAAACATATTGAAAATCTAATTCTAAATGGCCCATTTGCAACGAGCCTAAGTATGAAAAATATAAATTGTTTTCTTCACGTAAATCGATTAAGTTACTGATTCTGACTCGCTCCTAATTTGGATACTGATTGCAAAGGCCTAGTAAATAAATAACGTAATAATTTTTCTACTTGTATTTATCTAGTGCAGTTGTTTTGGAGTCAATTATAGTTTTTTTACACTAATAGATTCTATTCAGGTAGAAAATAGCGTCTGAGCGCGTCATAATTCAATTGTATCGTCTGACTGCACGTACTCTATGAACAATTCTGACATAAAATCTATTGTCGAACAAAAGCTGGGTTGCACCATCTTACTTCAACTTTGACAAGCGTCAAAAGTCTGTCTAACTCCATACAAAAAACACCGGTTATCGCCAAAGCTACGGTCAAAGTTAGGTCACGTCAGGTGGTGCAACTCAGCCAAAGAAAAAATTCATTTTGATCGCTAATGTCAGTTTGCAGCGAGTGACACAACCTCCCCGTCTGAAGGCCAGCGGCCGACTGCCGCCCGCACCCCGCGAAGGCCCCCTCAACAGCAAAACGTTCGGAATTTATCAAAAGTAAAATTTATGAATGAAAGTAATGTTCGATTGAAAAACGCAACGTGTCATTTAAAGATTAAAGAATTCCTAATCTATTCGTGCAAAAATATTTTAAATTAACATAGCCGTTTCGGAGGAGTAGGGAATTTAAGTAAAAAATCGATGTCCCGTATTTATTTTTTTAATCCAAAACAAAGAGACGTAGCGAAAATTCAAACGTCACAAATGTAGTCCTTGAACTGTTGTATAACATATATTTTTTTCAACTATTTCTGTCCAGCAGTAAAAGAGGAGTAGGCTTTACAAAATGCCCATTTGACGCGGATTGAGGACTCTAATCGCCTTAACACAGCCTTATTCCAATTTATTGTAACAAAGACGTGTTGCGAACTTAATTACGAAGTAGTTTCAGGAACTATTTGACGCTGACTGTGCCTAATACACATTTCTGATCATAAATGAGTAGCACATGTGGATGCAAGTTATGAATCGATGTTATTTAAGTAAACTTTATCCTCAATCTTGCAATGAGAAGAGGCATAGGTCCAGATTGTTTCGATAAATTATTATCATTCTACGCCTGGCGATTACGTAATCGAAATGAATAGTCTGATTAGTGCAGTGGGTCGTTAATACATGCAGGAACGCGGCGCAGGCGCCTACCGAATAAGTATCGGGTGTGCAAGGTTGGATCATTTAACCTTATGCCATTGTTTTTACTAGCGCTAAAATAAAAGTTGCCTCTTTTTCTACTTTGTAATTTTAGTGATTTGCAATATTATGTACATTTTTTACTGTAATGTTTTCAATTAAAAAGACTTGTAGGTGGGTAGGTATTTCGATACCTACGAAAGGACGTATGCAGGGTTATAGGCTATAACTTGTAGCCTTCTTTCTTATGCAACACCTATGAAGTCATTTTTGACGCTATGGACGCGGGGAATTTTAGAACGCGTCTTAGTAAGCTGCCACACTACATTACTGGCGGATTGCAAGCGTTTTCTGCGTGGCACACTGGATCGAGCCCATACAAAGCGTTGGACATCGCTTCCTTACTCAGTGTTTTTAAAATAAAATGAGATTGCGTCAACGTAGTAACTTCAAATTTTTACAGTGTAAGGTTGACAAGTTTATCTTTCTAATGTGATAGATTTTACTTATTAGATGGCAATTAATATAAGTGAAAAAAATTCTTAAAATATAGTGATGAAAAACTTGTATTTATTGTTCAATTAAAAGCAAATACTCACTCATTTTGGTCTGTTTCCATATTTAAAGAGTAACATAGCCTAACAATACTCTAAATTTATTCTCATTAAGTGTTAAAATTATTAAAGAAATATTTTTGTAAACGCCTGATTTTTCATTGCACACAATCACTTTGTTCGATTTTGTCGAGCTTGATTTCATATTCTGTTAACTGTTAGATACATAATCTAACAATACTCTAAATTTATTCTCATTAAGTGTTAAAATTATGAAAGAAATGTTTTTGNGAGGATACAAGGAAGAGGGGCAGCCACAGTAGGTAACACAGAGTCGTTCAGGTGAGTGCCAGGGAGAGGTGCAGCAACCGCAGTTAAGGAACGGCTGGGACGAACAAGGATACGCGAATCCAGCTCGTATGCCTTGATAGGGTTACACTGATTGAGGCGCTCCTTTTCAAGACTTGGAAGCCTGCGGGTGACGAGCCATTGGGCGTGGAGAGGGTCATTAATTATACACATATTTTCTACTTTGCCGAACATTTGCACGAGAACGGTTTGTTCTAAACATATGAATTTGGTCTTTTTTAATGCAGAATTAAATGCCCTTCAACTATCAGGAAGACCACTTTTCGATAGGGTAAGTCCTTTACGCGGTATAACTGGAAAACCGAAAAAGCGCCCCTTTCTGGGGCCCCCACCACTTAAGCACAACTCCGTCGAAGTCGAAAACTTAGGAGAGTCTTAATGGGCAACCAATGAAGCCATTAAAGCAATAAAATCTTTTGTAGGAATTATTTCCGATTTAAAAGCTAATTCTACTGGACTAGTACTTTAGTCACAGAGTCCACCGAAACCTATGCAAAGCTGACAATAACATTGATGTCTGCTTTGTCTGCACCTTATCACATTAACCTTGACTTATCCAGATAGAACAACAGCTTTTAGCACTGATAACACCCTCTGCAGCTAGAAGGCAGTGTCAAGTTGATAATAATCTATAATGTATCACTAGCAAAAGTCCGCATTTTTATTCCTGATAAGTTCAAAACTTTTCCGTCTGTAGGAGGAAACTCAAAAGAAGGAAAACAGGGTGTATAAAGACAGCTGTTTGTAAGTTAAAAAAAAAGTAATCATCATCATTAATTTGATGATTTGCTGTAGGGTTAAAGTTAAAATTAAGGATTTTTTCTCTTTTTTCATAAATTTGGTTCTCTCACCAAATCTGTTGATAGCAAGTTAAATAATATTTATTAGAATCAAACTAAAATATTACTATATTATATTGTTAAAAGTTACATATTTTATGTCAGTTAAAAGTAAACAGTTCTGAGATTAATGAAATGGTGAGACAATGAACTCCCAAGAAACAAGCTAAGTACTTGACATTTTGTAGCTGATAATAAATATAAATAATACACCACAGATAAGATTAATACTAGCCCCAGGTTTGTTTATTATACATAACTGTAAGTATTATTATTAACTGTATGCATGCTACATTTTTCAAATTGAGTGCCTAAGTAGGTATTTCAATCCTGTTTTAAAATATGCTTTCCCTTGACTTGAAGAACTAATATTAGATATAACTGATATGCCCTGAAAACCATGTTAGTAGGTTCAAAAAATTCTGGTCTACAAAATAATGGAAATACCTCTAAACTGTGCCTCCCACTCCTTTACAGATTCCATTTCCATGGAGTTGAGATCGCTCAGGTCATCATACTCCTTATCTGACGAAGTGACACAGAAGGTGGCCAGACCCCGTGAAGCATCTTTGCCACCAAACGCTGCATATGGGCCTCCTGAACGAAAATACAACATTATTAATTAGTACTGTTGTCAATTGTAATTTATGTTGAAGGAATTGAGACTAGTAATAAATGTATACAGTAAATCAATAATATAAATTGAATTACTATGTGACAACCAGGCCAACTCAGTAGTAATCCAAACACCTACGGAGAAAAGGCATTACAAGTTAATGCACATTTCCACATTACCATATCAGCAGATAACACAGGCAATGTGTGAAATAAAAACTTATCAGACATGAAAACAAAATGAAATGATAATTCTGTGAGTCACATTGTGAACTCTATTTATAAACACCGACGCACCGAGATGCACTCACCGGGTCCGTAGAAGCGGCGTCCCCTCGTCGCGTCGAATATCCACCCATTCACCGCCACTAGCACTCTGCCGTCTGGCTGAGTTCCATCGTATTGCCGCAACTCAGACACTGTCATATCCTTCCGTAACTTCGGAAGCTCCACCACACTCGAGTCGGTAGACGACTTTGTAAATTTACTGTATATTTTGTATGCCAAAAAGAAAATAATAGCAGTCAACAACAAATTCACAGGACTACAAATTTTGAAAATATCGCTCACAAAACCAGAAGCCTCGCCGACGTTATCAGCCTCAGCCGCTTTGGTATCGGGTGCTGATGCCATTTTGGGAGAGTAATTGATTTACGATTGCTAACGGAGACTTGTTTCCGCCTGAATTTAATAAATCCGACACGATTTGTGAGAAGAAGTAAATTAAAATAACTAATGACGTCAGCGAGCAGCAGACGGTCTGAGAATGACAGTTTACTTTTTTTTGTTGTCATAAGTGTTGTTGTTAGTTAATACATATCGTTACTTTAAAACGTTCAGTTGGTACATCTCGTTATTTTAAAGTTACTTAATAGGTAATTTACTAGATATTATATGTCACTAAAATAAGTGGAGGTGAGCACGTAGTCACGACGACACATAAATTAATTGAATACAGAACACAAACAACACATAAAATATGTGTAATATAGCATAAGTAATCATTTATATTGTGTGCACGACAGTACCCTTGCGCGAATATCCCCTCTACGTTTCGGTCAGCGCTAAGTTTACCGCCACTAATGCCCTATTTATTAATGAAAAATGATACCCTAAAATGGAATATTAACTCAAAAAAAAACATTTATTTTGTGCAAATAGGCTTCTGAATTTAAATTATTATCATAATACTACCTTATCACTCTATAAACTTCTCGTATGTTAGATTTTTTTATACAATAGTTTATTGATAAAGTTTATAAAAAATAACGTTACTCTACAATACAGACAACACTATTAACTTGTAAAATGTCAAAATATGGCTATGTTGGCATATCCAAGGCCGAAGACTCATTTAAAAAAAAATCTAGCTATCTTTTTTTCTCTTAGCTGGGTCGTCGTGCTTCTCTCTCTTTCTGCCACAATCATCTGTATGTTGTGGTCTGTCTGTGTCATACTTGTCAAATCAAACTATTTCTCAGTAAAGTAATTTCAGTTTCAGTATCTGGAAGATTTTATTTGAAAAAAACTGCGGTTCACACTGCGGTTATTAACGTAATTATGAAAGAGCAGCGTTCAGATCTATGTTCCCGCTATACAAAAATACTTATTGTTGTAAGTTGCTACTGGTGAGTAAGTTTTCAGGAAAGTTTTATATCCTTGTATTTTCGGTGTGCCGATGCCTGAATTTATTGCTATTCCTTTTCATTTAGTGCCTGCGAAAGTCCCTTTTCGACTGGTTGGATATTTACACGCGTACAATTAAAAATATCACTAACACAATCTCTATTTTATTTTATTTTTAGGATTGTGTCCATAGCCACAGTATTTGTGAATAAAAGTCTTTTGAGCAGCCAGACTGTGGCATTAGAAGCGCCGTTGTTCATCACATGGTTCCAGTGCATCGTGTCGTTCACAATATGCTGTACACTGAGCAATACTGGTGGAATACCAGGGATTTTTGTATTTCCCAAAGGCACCCCTTGGAGCATTGCAGTTGTTAGACAGGTTAGTTAGTGAATAATTAATTATGCCATTTCTATTCTGATAATTATTTTCTTATCTATAAGCATTATTTGCATGTATGCATTGAACATTTATGAGCTATTTATATTGCTATAAAATATGTTACTACAAATTACACAGAATATCTGAAAACCTGCAAAGTTATTGGTAAATTGTGATTGTGTTATTACATATTACACATAGTAAAATATTGTAAGGGATTCCCATTTGAAATATTTTAGCTTTGAATAGGAAGTGTGATAAGAAATGTAATCACGTAATCAGTGATATCATTAAACTAAAATTTATTGATAAGATTCAATGGCCTGAATGTGTGTCATTGGATACTTTTAACAATTAGTCACACTTGTAGTTAAGCTACCAATGCCATGAATATTTCAGCACAATTTGATACATTTTTGACATTTTATTTTACTTTACTGCCACAGATCTGTGATTACTGCTATGGCAGGATTGTGGTTAAATAATAGCCATAAATCCTTATCTCTTATTTGCAGGTTCTGCCTCTCTCTGTGATGTTCACACTCATGATAGCAACCAACAACTTATGCCTGAAATATGTTGGGGTACCATTCTACTATGTCGGCAGGTCTCTGACTACTGTCTTTAATGTGATATTCAGCTACATACTCCTGGGACAAGCAACTTCATCCAAATGTATCATGTGCTGTGGGTTTATTATCTTCGGCTTTTATTTAGGGGTTGACCAAGAAAGCTTATTGAGTAAGTTGTTATTGTAACAAACAGATATTAACAGGATTAGGAAATGATGAGGTTCTAATTGAAATAAATCTTGTTCCAGGTTCATTTTCACTACTAGGAACAATTTATGGTGTTGTTGGGTCATTGATGTTGTCTCTCTACTCCATATACACCAAGAAGGTCTTACCAGCTGTTAACCAGGAAGTCTGGCTGCTTTCTTACTACAACAATGCCTACTCTATCATGTTATTCATACCACTAATTGTAATTAATGGTGAACTGACTGCATTGTGGAACTATTCTAACTTTGATAGCACTTATTTCTGGTTCCAAATGCTTATTGGAGGACTCTGTGGTTTTGCCATAGGATATGTCACATCATTACAAATTCAGGTAATTTGCATACTTTGTTATCATCTAGTAAATACATTATATTATTATCAGTATTATTATTATATTATTCTCAGAAAAATTTGGTACTTGCTTTTGCAATTTTAGTTTTATTAAAGACTAATATGTTTTTATGTTTTCAGGTGACATCACCCTTGACCCACAATATATCTGGTACTGCCAAGGCATGTGCCCAGACTGTGATAGCCACTCAGTGGTACAACGAATCAAAGAATACCCTTTGGTGGGCCTCTAATCTTATAGTATTAGCTAGTAGCGCATTGTATGCTAGGTTTAAGCAGGTTGAAATGGAGGAAAAGTCAAGGAAACCAGTACCTGAAGATGAAAAGAGTTTAGTATGATGCTTTTTGCTGATACTAGCATAAATGGAAAGACTGTGTTAAGAAATAACATATTTTATGTGTTATGTAAAATTGTTTTATGAATTTTTGAATTTGTGTTAATATAATCATAGTAACTTAAACTATTAAAAATAGTTTTGTCAAAAAATCTGTCAACTCTTAAGACTCTAAACACAACTTTAAAATATCCGATTATTTATACCTAGTTTAATTACGTTATGTTTAATTAGTTACAACTAAACTGGTTGCTGTAGAAAATCAATTTTTACAGCAGCTACGCTGTACGCATGACGTTTGCCGACGTATGAAACATTTTTATTCTGTATTAATTGGATTATTCCAGCTGGATACATATGAATTAGGTATCATATTTCCATATATTGTGCATTGCATTTTTTAGTTCCTAAGATTTTAGCCAATCTGATCTATTTATAAGTATGTAACTAAATTTCAATTGAAGTTAACTTAAAGTAGACCTTAACAATTTTGATAAATATTTTCTAGTGACTCTGTAATCTGGTAATAAGGACAGATTATTTGTTTCATCTGGATCTTTAAGATAATCGTATAGCTCTAAGCCATAAATTTTATTCCAGTCTCTTGTAAATAACGTGCTATTAAATGATATCCACTCTGTGTATCTAAATCTGTTTGTTCTTATGCTATACCCCATAATTCTTATCTCTTTGAGGCGTGGCTTATCTGAGTCGGCTCTAGGAGTTACACTCGGCCTAGGATACTGACTAATTGCAATATATTTGTTGGCTTTCTGATACCTTAGTCTCGATTTCATGAGGGGTTGTAAAGTTTTCCCATCAAAGCACAGCACTGACTTATCTACAACGCTTTTGCATTTTGGAATATTATCGGGGAGTTCGCACAGGTGAACAAGTGTTGGAAAAATGTCTACTAGTTCGACAGGATTACGCACTGATTTAGCTTCTATTCCAGGGGCAATAAAGTACAAAGGAACCCTTAAAGCCACGTCGAAATTACTGTACTTTGCCCATAAGCCATTTTCTCCAAGTGACCATCCTGTAACATAACAATAATTAAATACAGGACCCTATTTACCGCTAGCAATAAGCGAATATTGAAATACAAAATAATTACCATGATCACTAGTCAATACCACTACAGTATTACTCAAGTCGACGTAGCTCATCAATGCCCCCACCAAGTCATCAATATATCGGGCTGCTGCGAAATAGCTTTGTCTGATTTTTAACGTCCATTTGTGGGGCATTGTGCCAAATGGGAACGAGATGTTGAGGCGCGCGATATCGTCTCTGTGGCGCACATCGGTCCAGGGATGCCAAGCCACTAATGGTAAGCCCTTTGGTATATTTGGAAACTTTGGTAAATGCGTCTTAGCTATTGGTGGGACTTTTCCTGCCAAAGAAAGCACCTAGTAAGTAGGTATATCACTTGAAAATCCATGCAGCACATTAACATCAAAAGATACGATGACACTTACTAAGATATTTTTTGGGAAACTTCAGAGGAATATGAGGTTTATGGAATCCGACAGCCAGAAAAAATGGTTTGGTGGTATTTCTACTCTTCAATATATTAACTGCGTAATCAAGAGTTTGTATATCAGGTAAAGATTTTCCTGGCTGATCTTTGACCTCTACAGGACAAATTACATTTCTTTGAAATTTTCTAGTATTTGCGTCCCAGCATACGGCCAAGTCTTTAAATTTGTCCGTGGGTGGATGATAGGGATAATGCGACCAGCTGTAAGGATAGTCGTCCGAAAAATTTGAACTTCTTCCTGGATGGAACACCTTCCCAACTGAAAAAGTTTCGTAACCATTTTCTTTGAAGTACTGAGGGATTGTTGTGAAGTTACCTACTGTATGCCTCCAGTAATTATAAAAGTCATACAGCCGCAGTGCATCTGGTCGACGACCAGTAAGTAAGGAATTACGACTTGGAGCACAGAGCGCTTGCTAAAAAAAAACAAATGATAAGAAAAATAACCATATTATGACCTTAAAAGTAAATAACTAAACATCCAATTGTAATATCAAAGTAATATCAATACGTTTTCAGAAAATCTAATAGAAAGTAACAAACCTGTGCAAAAGTATTTTTGAAGTTTACACTGTTTGCCGCCAGTTTTTTTAGGTTTGGTAAATGTACATCAATGTCAGATAGATGGCGCAAGTCGTCGATAACAATAAACACAACATTGTTTTTTGTTGATAAAGTTAATTTAACAAATAAAAACAAAATTGTAAAGATACTTTTCATAGTTTGAATTACTTGATAATTAAGTTCATCTGCGTAATGAATTCTTGCACGTTTCTTTTGTTTCACTTTCACAATCAACTACCTACCTACAATGACTGAATTAATGTGCGATATGTCATGGTTATTCCCATAGAGAAAAGTAATACATAGGAGTTATTCCGTTTCAATGAACAGAAATGTTATAATGTTTTGTGTGCAATTTTGAATATTAATGAAGAGTTACTTCTCGAATAATCTGTATTGATTTTAATTTACTTTTTAGAGGAAAACCTGCAGTTTTCTGATAGTTGTACCACAGTAGATAATATACTGTGGTTGTACAACGCCCTCTATGTTGTAATCGCAAAAACCCCTTCTACTTTGCATTCATACACGGTCGCTCGCACACACACATCATTTACGTGGGCGTTCAAGTATTGTCATTCAAATCATCTGTTTCGTGAATCGTTGTATATTTTTGTATATAAACTTAATTTATTCCCAATTTATTTATCGAAAAGCGTTATGATAGTTTGAGGCTGTTGTTTGAGTGTATCAAATAGTGATGTTTGTTTAATTTTGTTTTATATTCGCGTGACGTCATTGTTTTCGACTGCCAGTAGTAACGACGCAGTTGCATTTTTGTAGTTAAAATGGAGTTAAAATGAGGATTTTTCTCGTAAACAAGGTGAGTTAACTGCGTAATGCGTAACTGCGTATATTTATTTAACATAGTTATGGTTGTGACACCGTTTCGTAAGTTTTTATTGTGGTTGATCGAGTTGCATCGATTTCCTTTGTCCTCGGTCCCTTGTATTCAGCAGCTAGTTTATAAACATAGATGCACTACAGCCAGCTGTTTCACCTTAACTTTTTATCGTATTTAGGTAGGATCAAGCACTCAATATTCATTAGGTGAGTTTAAGCGGTTTTTAAATTATGTAATCATTATCACAAAAGATTGGTTGAAGGTAATATTCATACATTTCAAATTAGACACCAATACCCTCTGACCATACCCTCTTCTTACACCTACAAAAATAGTTTCGTTGAATAGTTTTTGTAATTGTTTTATGTTTCCAAGCTGTTTCAGTTCTTTAGATAACTATCTAAATATTAGTGATTAAAACCCTGATCATTAAAACAATTTTTTTCTGTTTAAAAAAAAAGCTCTCTACCTACATTTAAAATATTGATAAAATAACCATATTGTTCGTAGGATTAATTACTATGACTTATTTGTCTTATTTTGTTGTCTTGTTATTTAATTATTGCTTGTTTTGCAACATGTTATCAAGGTGTGATATATCATAAACAAATTATTTATCTGTTCACCAAAACATTGCCAAAAGTTACTTTGTTTGTCAAAGATAAGGTTTACACTCACTTGATAATAACACAAAAATAACAATAAATTACTTTAGTCAATTAATTAGACAAATAATAAGAAAATAAAATGAAATCCATAACGGTAATTGCTAGTTTGTCTTTTAAATTTTGAGACATTATGTAGGTAGGTAGCAGTTAATTAATGAAAACAAGGTAATTAATATAATCCATTACAAGTATATCATTTTGGTAATACTACAAATTTTTACTTGTCCTTATAAAATATCTTGATTTATTTTAATACTATGTAACTTTTCACAATTAATCACAGTCAATGTTACTTCAGCGTGGTGTAACTTTTTGTCAATGAAAGTATTTTAGTAATTTTAGAATATTAGAAGACTATCAACTTTACACTTTTAATAAGACAATGAAATCTGTATAGTTTATAAAATCTCAAGAGACCTTTTTAATGGAATAGGAGTTTTCTAATTGGAACTACTGTTATCATTAAGAGGGCATTTAGTCTCCACTGCATGAGAAGTAACTTCTCTAATTTACTAGAGGTAGGTAAATAGAGGATTTTTAGCCTACCCTCCCTGTTTTTTCTTGCTGTCCAGAAAAGTAGTTAATTATCACTAGGAGAGGGCCCAAACTAAGATAAATCTCTTTTTTTTTACTAAGTTACACATACTCCTCCCTCTGGCCTGGCCAATTTGTATGGCCAGCATAGGAAGTGCATCCAAATCTTTCATTTGCCTCTTGTAAATTAGAGAGGATGCACTCCTTTATTGAGACTTATCAGATGATGATGGTGATGATGACACATACTCCAATAGTCTGAGTATGTGTCACATACTCCAATAGTAAGTTTATTAGGTTTATTTACTACTAGCGGCTGCCCGCGACTTCGTACGCGTGGATCCCGTTTTACCCCCTTAGGGGTGGAGTTTTGTAAAATCCGTTCTTAGTGAGCACCCACGTTCTAAAAGGAACCCCCATGCAAAATTTGAGACTTCTAGCACTTGTACTTAGTGTCTGAGATTTCGTGATGAGTGAGTGAGTCAGACAGTCAATCAATCAGTGACCTTTCGCTTTTAAAAATATTTTTTTTTTTTATGCTAGACAAGGCAGGTATTTGACCGCAATCGCACCTGGTGTTAAGTGAGATGCAGTCTAGGATGGTACATATCTGCCCTGTAAGTGCCTATTCACTCTCGCCTTGAAAACGCCCGGATTATAGTGTTCAGGAAATACAGCAGCAGGCAGCGAATTCCAGTCCCTAGCTGTTCGCATTATAAAGGAGTCGTCGAAACGCTTAGTGCGAGCTGGTGGAATGTCGACAATGTAGGGATGGTACGCTAGTCTGCGTCTGGTTCCCCGGTGATGGAAAGGGGCTGGTGGAATTAAGTTGTATAATTCCTTCGCACATTCTCCGAAGTGTAGCCTGTAGAAAACCGTTAGAGAAGCAACTTTACGGCGGTGATCAAGTTCCTGGAGCGACGCTTCAACAAGGGTCGGGCTGTCGATTAGTCTCCTGGCACGCCTTTCCACCGAATCCAAAGCAGCCAAATATTTCTTGGCAGAGCCGTCCCAGAGGTGGCAGCAGTATTCCATGCAAGGTCGGATCTGTGCTTTATATAACTGCAGCCTTTGCTTATTGGAGAAGTACTGCCTTGCCCTCGAGAGGATACCAAGTTTTTTGGCAGCAGTTTTCGCTATGGATTCGATGTACTCGCCAAAGTTCAACTTGCTGGACATTTCGTTACCCAAAAGTTGGAGTCGCTCGGCGATATAGATTAACTGTCCTGACCCTTAGACAAGTTACAAAGCGTTTTCGAAATTAAAACGTGTCAGGTTTCGTGTATCTTGAGGGCTGATGGATGAGGGATCTGAGACGTGGTTACTATGGGCCTCATAAGAAGGCTCAAGGTCACCCAAAGGGCGATGGAGCGTGCTTTTCTCAGTTTCCCTGCGCGTGATCAAATCAGAAATGAGGAGATGAGAACCAAAGTGACTGACATAGCCCACAGAATGACGTATAATCAGATTAAATGATTGATTCTTCCTCCAGCTGACAACAAGTGAATATGTCGGCGGAGTCCCCGCGCCACGTGCGCTCGGGCGGGCCGCTCACGGTGCCGTCGCAGCCGCCGAGCGACCGCAGCATCATCGACGCGGTGTCCGGCTTCATCAATGACGTCACACTCTCCTCCTCGTCATCCGTTGACCCCAAGGATGTTATACAATGGGCGAGGTTTGTAGGCTGTTTAGTGATGTTTGTGTTAGGTCATGATTTTTTATTGTGATAAGATGATTGATAAGATAAAACTATTTTTGTAGTAATAGACCTTGTTTACACCAGTGTAGATTTAACAAAAATATAGTCACAATAATATGATGAAATAAACTGAAAGGTTTGTTGTACTAAAGTCTAAAGGCAAATGTTATCATTTATTTTATTATCAGACCAATTTATTCTAATTAGACAATAATTAAAACAATGATTTATCAACTTATTTTTCAATACTTACCTATTTTCAAGTGGATTTTTTACTAACTTTTTTTATCAGGTTCGAAACAGCCGACATCAACGAGCCCACGCCGGAAGGGGACAGCGACAACGACATATCCCCGCTCCTGCTCATCCTCGGCTACGGCGCGGGGGTGCAGGTGTGGCTGGTGCCGCCCAGCGGGGAGGCGCAGGAGGTGCTCTCCTGGCGCCAGGTACGGGGAAGGGGACAGCGCAACGACATATCCCCATATTACATATTCTTCTGTCAGAATAAATTCAACTATGATTGCGCCTTTTTATTCAATTATTTTGCGATATCAAGACGATTTAAGGAGGTGCACGCCAGGTGCTAGATACTAGGTGACTGTTACCCGGCCGACATCAACGAGCCCAGCTAAAGGGGACAGCGGCAACGACATATCCCCCAAATGGGGATTCTGACAAGACATTTGTCGGTAGCTATTTACCCATTGATTTAAGTTTGTCTTTACTTAGCCTTTATTCCATCATAACTGCGCACCTGCCTTCAAGTATTTTGGGATCAATAGCAAACCCATTCAAGTGTAAAAAATAAAATACTATTGTTGGTTGGACATAATTATTTAATAGTAAAAAAAATATTTTAATCCCAGGGCACAGTGAGGGTGCTCCGTATACTGCCCACTCCGCAGCGCGGCGACTGCTTTGCATCGAAGAGGCCCCTCATCGCCCTGTGCGACTCCGCCAGCCCAGGACCTACGTTTTGCGCTCTCAGTTTCATTTCCATCCGGGGAGGAGAACAGGTTGGTCTATGTTCCTTTTTTAAACGCTAGCCATTTTTGAATGTTCTTTTTTTTAAACCTTTGTCATTTTTGAACATTCCCTTTTTAAACCTTTGTCATTTTTGAATGAATCATTTGAAGTTATTCTTTTGTTCTCTGTCTGTAGGAACTCTTTTGTTTAAAATTAACTTTAAAGATGTTTTACTGATTCCTTTTTACTGTGACACTAGCTCTTAGCCTACATTAGCATGCTATTATGATAACAAATGTAGAGCAAATCATCATTAGTAAAAACAACTTGCGATTAATATTGAAACGGTAATTAAGTTAAAGGATAAGACACAGGTTAAGTGTTATACTAGATAAGCCGTTAGTGTCAACTAATTAACAAGTTTCTAACTGGATTGTAGAAATATCTCGGTTGTTGTTTGTACATTAGTACGAGTGGCGTGTACGGCGATTATAATTAGAATGCCATTGATTGGTTCATACACAAAGGATAAGAATACTAATACACGCGTAACATACCTACATTTGCATGATTGATTTATCGATATTGCAATTCAAGTTTTTTCCATTACCTTGTGAATAGTTGCGAATTTAAATTGGTGGAATTTTACACTTGCCCCGCCCTTTCCTTCACGAAGTCTGTAAAGAGGGCTTTCTACATAGCTGTGCCAATATTTTTTATTTTATCGTATCTCTGGTGATTGTATTTGGCCTTTGTATAACGGAAATAGATGTGTACAAAAGTACTGGATGACTATAAAAGAGTATGAAACGAATCTCAGCCATTATTAATAACGTGACATGATATGCTAGATTACATTCGTGACAAATTCAACTTCGCGGTGTGCAATAGCGTAGTATAAGACTAGGCGCAGACCACTGATTTTTAGTTAGCCGATAGTTGGGCCCGATTTTAATTTGTATGAAGAATCGGCCAAATCAAATCGGTGTAATGTGCGCACTTCCATACATGCCCATACTGATCAACTGCCCGACTAAACTATCGGCCGACGAAAAATCGATAGTCTGCGCCTAGGCTAATAATGAGTAAGCAATAGTAAGGTACAGTCAGACAGACATTAAACATTTTTGTTGCTAAATTTTATAATTCAAAAACTGTCAGGAGTGTTATTTTTCCCAAAAGAGCTGGATATTTCAAATAAAAATTTCCCCAGGTGAAGAGCATAAAATTCAAGAACCCCATACTGGACGTTTTGGCGAACAAACGTTCGGTGGTGGTGGCGTTTTCGGAACGATTCGCCGTGTTCGACGCGGCCACGCTCGAGGACCGCATGACTGTTACCACGTGCTATCCGTGCCCGTGCCCGCTTGGGGGCAGCAATCCCGTCAACCCGCTGTCTCTGGGCGACCGCTGGCTAGCCTACGCTGACAAGAAGCTTAACCAGTCCAAGAGAAGCAGCGGGGGATGCGAAGGTAAGATCTAACTTTAGCAGCGTTAAGTCTAGGGTCGCATGACAGTTACCACGTGCTATCCGTGCCCGTGTCCCTTGGGCGGCAGCAATCCCGTCAACCCGCTGTCTTTGGGCGACCGCTGGCTAGCCTACGCTGACAAGAAGCTCAACCAATCCAAGAGAAGCAGCGGAGGATGCGAAGGTAAGGCCAAACTGCATACATTGTTAAGTATAGGGTCGTATGACTGTTACCACGCGTGCTATACGTATCCGTGCCCGGTGGGCGGGATTACGCGCGTCCGCAAACTCATAAGGTAAGAATAAATCAGTCATAGTTTAGACAGCCTACAGCTATGGATTGACAGTTACCTAGTACTATCCGTTTCCTAAAGAACTTCTATACTCTGAAATACGTTAACGATGTGGCTATGAAATCAGCTGACTTGTCCTCTGCGCCAAGAAATGTATACGAGGCGATAGGCTCATTTCAATAACAATCATATTCACAGATAAAAGATATGCAGGAAGGTTGCTAAGCGGAGCTAATTTTCTTATTATATTAGCATTAGGCGGTTTCGGAAATAGTTACACAACTTTGTTTATATCGTACGAGTGTAAAATCTGACGAGGTTTGTCAAAACAAGAAAGATTAGGTTAACATGCGTTATTTTATCGTTAAACATCGTAAAGCCTCGATCCTCGAATTATTTATAGCGGTAAATAAGAATTGGTAAACAAAAATATTTCCTTTGTTTTATCATACGGTTATTGACTCGATAGTGCATGCTGACCTTAAAGCGTATCATTCTTTTATTGCAAAACAATACAAACACGCATGACTAACCGCGCAAGTAAAACGTGCGGGTTTACTTAGCACTTAGTTAATGTTTATCGATACTTCAGCAAATAATATTTCCATTCTGTCAGTGTACGAACACACAATTCATTATTTGTTTCTATAATCTTTATTTATTTGTTGCTTCAAATTAATTGCCTTTTAGATGCGGTAGTGAACAGGTTTCATTTTATAATTAGTTTTATTAGGCTGATAGAAACAAAACAACAATAAAGAAACAATAAATATCGCATTTTTACGTTTTAAGATTTATTAGTTAAGACTGCACATTTTTCTAACTCCGCTCATGTTCATCATTTATACTGGTTACAAAGACGTACAGTAAGGTAAATCAGGTGCAGTTAGTTCTTGAAATAAATCATAACGTCTCAACGATAACTATGATAGGTCCCTACAAAAGTTCGACGAGTATCAGGAGGTTGAATATGACTGCTCTGATTAGTTCTCTCCTCTATCGATATAAGATTGTTTCTTCATACAAGTTTCCACAAAGGAATTTTGACGAAACTTTCAAGACAGTTTATTGCTTTAGTTATAGCCTAGGACGCATAAATATGATTACATTACTTTCAATAACTCAAGGCCATAGTCAGGTTTTACAAATTACTGCAATACTTATGTAGGAAATTTTTACGCAGTAAGATATGCACCGAACAGTTATAGCCATGTTCGTTTGGAAGATGACATACATAGGCCGAGTTGCACCACCTAACTTTAACCTTAACTATGACGATAACCGGAGTTTTTTGTATGGAGTTTGACAGATTTTTGACGTTTGTCAAAGTTAAAGTAAGATGGTGCAACCCAGCCATAATGTATGTGTTGGATTGGCCGACTCAAGATCCGAGGATTGCTGGTTTTAATGTCGTCCATTGGACTTTTGTGGTGCATCAACTCCTTACATAAGTATACATGTTTAGCTTAGTTGGAGGAGATGTCTCGTAGTATTGCACAAATTACTAATTATAATTATTAATTTATTGAAATAGATTTACTAACAACACATCTTTAAACAAACAAATAGTTTTTTTTTAAGAAGAATAATGAAGTAATACTGGATGAATTTATTGATTATGTAATTCAAACAATTATTTAAACAACATTTTTGTACTCAGGCGAAGGCGTAACCAGCTACACGGCCACGGTGCTGCACGCGGCAAAGTCATTAAGCAAAGGGCTCCGCGGGCTCGGCGAGAGCGTGGCCCACAGCCTGGCCGGGGGGCGCAGCACCTCGCAGTCCCCATCGCCACCTAACACAGACACGCAGCAGCCCGGCGTCGTCACCATACTGGACATCGAGGTGGGTCCTCCAGCGATGTGAAGCTAGGTCACCGAGCAAGGGGCTCCGCGGGCTCGGCGAGAGCGTGGCCCACAGCCTGGCCGGGGGGCGCAGCACCTCGCAGTCCCCATCGCCACCTAACACAGACACGCAGCAGCCCGGCGTCGTCACCATACTGGACATCGAGGTGGGTCCTCTAGCGATGTTATGAGCTAAAGCCCGGTCCGTGAGCACGTAGAATATTGTCCAATGACCCCAAGCTACCCATCCTTATCGCTCGCGCGTAATTATATTGCTGTCGCGACTGTGCGACGGGCGCTGCGCGTGAGTGCGAGCGCGACAGCAACAACGCCGAGCTAGGGGCTCCGCGGGCTTTGTCACTATACTGGACATCGAGGTTCATATTTCAGTTACCTATGTCATAAATAAACTTGATTCAATTTTGATGCTTGGTCATATTGCCTTGGCCACCGCCAAAAAACCATCAGTCAGCAAAAGGCTTTTTACGCGGTTACGGTACACAGAACGTATTTTTCGATACGTTCATGTGTCACACAAAAACTATGTCCTTATTGTCTAGGTAATACTTGGCAACACTAAGGCTGAGTTGCACCACCTAACTTTAACGGTAATTATGACGATAATCGGTGCTTTTTGTATGGAGTTTGACAGATTTTTGACGTTTGTCAAAGTTAAAGTAAGATGGTGCAACCCACCCTAAGTCTGTTATAAAGATGATCAATGATTAAAAAAAAAAAAAAAACAACCGTGTTGCATAATTACAGCTGATCTAGTAAACTTGTTTTTCTAATTAACTGCAACCTCATTGCACATCCTTTGATTCACCGCATTGAAATTATTCAAAATCCTGTTAACAAGAACACTTCAAAACAAAGACTTAAAACTGTTCACTAGTATAATTTAAAGAGTGTCTAAAATAACTTAAAATACAGTCAATAATTACAACACTCCTAAAAGAATCACTGCGCAAATGTTCATCTCGCTTGCTCGCAATCTCATCATGAGTTGTTGTGTTGATGAGTATTGAGTGCAACTTAGCGAGCAATATCTCAAGACAATACTTACTGCTGATATAAAAGTCTAAATTGCCATTACCTTTCTAGGGCATAGAAGAAGAAGAAGGCCAAGACGCCGAGGAGCCGAGCGACCCGATCGTGGCTCACTTCATAGCGCACTCGGAAGCGATCATCGCGCTGAAGTTCGACTCGAGTGGCATGCTGCTAGTGACGGCAGACCGACGCGGACACGACTTCCACGTGTTCAGAATCAACCCCCACCCGTGCGGACCCAGCCTGGCCTCGGTGCATCACCTGTACATACTGCATAGGGGAGACACCACGGCTAAAGTGCAGGTAAGATTGCTCCACCTATCTTGCATCGTTATCTAGTTGTAAGTATAGGGATCATCGAGCTGAAGTTCGACTCTAGTGGCATGCTGCTAGTGACGGCAGATCGACGCGGACACGACTTCCACGTGTTCAGAATCAACCCCCACCCGTGCGGACCCAGCCTGGCCTCGGTGCATCACCTGTACATACTGCATAGGGGAGACACTACGGCTAAAGTGCAGGTAAGCTTTCTGCTTCACCTATCCTGAGACTTTTAGTTTGAAGTCTGCGGATTTTTCACCCAAGTTTCATTCTAATATGATATTGATTGTGACGGCTGTAGTCTGTAACATATTCAGAATAGGACCCCATCTTAGCTTGATGGTCGCCTTACTTTTATTGCATGGCGACGAGTAGCCTGTTAGGTTAAACACTTTAAATTATAATTGTGAACTTTAGTGCCTTGTACCAAAACTCTCACGCCCAAATTTTGTCATAGTCCTATATTCTATTGGAATTTCTGTAAGCCTTCAAGTAGCTTATAATAAATAAATAAATTCTTTTACGATCCGCCATATTTTTGCTTCCAGGACATAGCAATATCGTCAGACTCTCGCTGGACGGCGATCTCGACTCTACGCGGCACTACCCACGTGTTCGCCATCAGTCCATACGGTGGCGCGTGTGGTGTGCGCACACACACGCAGCCACGTGTTGTCAACAGGCTGTCGAGGTTCCACCGCTCGGCGGGGCTGCCCATAGTGCCGGTTCACGCACAGTCGCCGCCGGCCAGGCCTTCTGGGAGCCCGGTGAGTTGTATGCTAGTCTCTTTCCAGGGTTTAACAGCGACTTCTATGGTCTACTATAGAGGCGCGTGTGGTGTGCGCACGCATACGCAGCCACGTGTTGTCAACAGACTGTCGAGGTTCCACCGCTCGGCGGGGCTGCCCATTGTGCCGGTCCACGCACAGTCGCCGCCGGCCAGGTCTTCTGGGAGTCCGGTAAGTTGTATGCTAGTCGCTTTCCAGGGTCTAACAGCAACTTCTATGGAATACTATAGAGGCGCGTGTGGTGTGCGGACACATACGCAGCCACGTGTAGTCAATAGACCGTCGAGGTTCCACCGCTCGGCGGGGCTGCCCATAGTGCCGGTCCACGCACAGTCGCCGCCGGCCAGGCCTTCTGGGAGCCCGGTGAGTTGTATGCTAGTCTCTTTCCAGGGTCTAACAGTGACTTCTATGGAGTACTATAGAGGCGCGTGTGGTTTGAGCACACACACGCAGCCACGAGTGGTCAACAGGCTGTCGAGGTTCCACCGCTCGGCGGGGCTGCCCATAGTGCCGGTCCATGCACAGTCGCCGCCGGCCAGGCCTTCTGGGAGCCCGGTAAGTGAGAACTAGTGTATTTAGGACTTTGAACAGCGACATCTTTGGCATTAAGATAGTGCGTGTGGTGTACCCACACATATGCAGCCACGAGTGGTCAACAGGCTGTCGAGGTTCCACCGCTCGGCGGGGCTGCCCATAGTGCCGGTCCACGCACAGTCACCGCCGGCCAGGCCTTCTGGGAGCCCGGTAAGTGAAAACTAGTCTATTTAGGACTTTGGACAGCGACATCTTTGGCATATTAAGATAGTGCGTGTGGTGTACGCACACACACGCAGCCACGTGTTGTCAATAGGCTGTCGAGGTTCACGCACAGTCGCCGCCGGCTAGGCCTTCTGGGAGCCCGGTGAGTTATCTTTACAGGACTTAGGACAGCAAGTTAGTGAGCGCGTAAAAAAATGTCATTAAATGTTTGACGGATTGTACAGCGCCCTTAGTGGAAACTTTCAAGAACTAAAATTTTAATATATTTTTTAAACTCGCTAACTAGTGAGCGCGTTTGATGTAAACGCACACTAAGCCCTCTGGTGTATATGTAGGCTCGATTACCTCCTACCGTGACATCAGTCGCGTACGAAGCTAAGCGTAAAACTGCGAATTGGCAGCAACAATCGCGTTATTGGCATAGCAATGCGATGTCGCATTTTACGTAATGTACACACGCGATCGACGTAAACGTAGGAGGAAATCAACTCGTACATATTGGCAAGCGCACGCGCATCGCGTCAAGGCATGATGTCAATCAACTTTACCAATGAATAGACTATTTGACATCATTCCTCAATAATTCGAAATCACAACTTTTTTAAAAAGATACTTCATTCTGGTCTTAAAAAGTTTGTTAATTTTAAATTACCTGTGTATTAAGATTTTTGGTTGTATTGTAATCGAAAAAAGTAGTTTAATTCGCACACTCACTGCGGGCGCGCGTCGCACAGTCGCGACAGCAATATAATTACGCGCGAGCGATAAGGATGGGTAGCTTAGGGTCATTGGACAAAATTCTACGTGCTCACGGACCAGGCTTTAGTTAAAATGGTGACGTCACTTGTATTGCCATACAAAATCTCTGGGAGAGTCTCGTTTGACAGTTTTAAGAAGTACGTCAATTAATTGGTGGTGTCGACACGTCTATTTTGTATCTTAAGTCACGTTGCAACAATTTTTTTTCCTTTTATTCTATCTGCGATCAGCCTTTATCAGATTGGATGAATTTGTAATAATGACAGTTCCGGCTCTGCACATCCCATGATGTGTCACCTCGATTCCTTTACAATAACTCTTCAGATCGATGCTATATTTGCTTTCTCCTGAGCCTGAATGTAGAGTTCTCAGAATTTAGAAGGGATGCAGCAAGTACATTTTCATGATGCTGATTGTAAGCTTTACAGGACTTTTCTACAACCTCTCGTTGAAACAAATGAACATCATATATCTCCCCAGGTGGGCGACGGCTTGACGCACGGCGCGTGGTTCCCCAACCCGCGGCTGCCGCCGTACCCGCAGCCCACCACGGCGGCGCCGCTCGCGCAGCTGCGGCCCACCGCCAACCTGCCCACGCATACCATCACCAGGACCAGCTCAGGTCAGTTGCTAAATAACACTTATTTACTACGACGTAAGGTGCAGCGTTACAAAGCTCTTGATTGCAAAATTATACTTATTTAATTAGATTAATAAAACCTAGATAGAGTCAGTCCACGAAAGGTGTGCCTCACCTTCTCACGATTTTAGTGAGCCTGAATGGCTCACTCGTAAACTTCACATGAACTGTCAAAGTGAAAAATTGGTAAACACGTCCGACGACTTTTAATTAATTAAGACGGTTTGTGCTGTGAAAGGGTGTCTAAATACATCAGAAAAACGAAAGAAAGTGACCAGTGTTACATTTCATAAGTAAGTACTACGATTCGACGCGTATTTTGCTTGAATTTGGCTTTCAAAAATTAAATACGGGAATGATACCAGTAACAAAAAAATTTATTTCCCAATTGTTCGCCATACCAGGCCTGTTCATCTCCGCGAGTTTACATCGAAAACAAAACACGCACGATGGCACCCTACAGGATTACTATTCGACGAGGCCTCACATACGAGCGAGCATTGACTCACGCACGCGTGTTCTTGTGTATGATGAAAGAAAATAAAGAAAATGATGTACTAAATACTGTGCAGTATTTAACTGCCTAAATAATAATAAAACACAGAATGCACTTTTTTAAGTTGCCTGAAGACACTGAGAGGTAAATAAGTAGTTAATATTATTCATGATAATTCATGCTAAATCATGTATTTCCTCCGCCATTTTCCGCAGTTTGGCACCTCGCGTCACATCATTTTACCGAAGTCAGCCCTATAGCTTCGGCGCAGTACCGATCACTGACGTTTGTCAACAAAATAGTGCTTGACTCTTGAGACAAGCTAAATTACACCATATTGTTAATGACATTGAGCATACATTTTTTTAAATACCTTCGCGAAGTAAAACTTCTGTACGTAGTACTTATTATTATTCTGTGCTATTACTTACTGTATAAGATCAGCGTTTCATAGTTCGTGCTTAGGCAGTTGGATAAAGGTTTGATCCGATGAGTTGCAAAATGATACTTATTTAATACTACATAAGATGTAGCGTTACATATTTAGTTCTTGCTGAGGGCACAGGTTTGAAGCATTTTACTCATAATCATCTCCATTATGCCCAGAACACACGGTGAAACGCAATTGCAACGAAACTGCAACTTCTAGTTACTTTTGAGTTGCATCTAAGTTTCTGCCATAAATTCCGTTGGCTACTGCGTTGGCAACCATCAGCTACACTAAACGACTGAAGCGCCACGATATACTTGGTGACAGATGGTGAATGAAGAGTATCCTGCTGGGGAGCTCCTTCAACATGTCAAAACTGCATAGAACAAATCTGCTTATAGTTTGGGACTGATTGCAGATGAGCGCAAAAAAAAAATCCGTTGAGAGACCACACATGACGCGACCATTTCAAAGCGGTTTCAAACTGGTTAAGTTACGTGACAATAAAGCGTTTTGTCGTTTAGGGGGCTATAACAACTAAGATATAAGGGCCTTGCTACACTGGCTGATTACAAGCGTTTTCAAATCGAAACGGAATGCGCAACGTTTCCGCCTAGAGTTTTCGCCCCGTGCTCGCCGCGGAGACGTGGTGTCTCCGCCGCGTCGCCGTTCTGCTTTGAAACCCTTGCAATCCGCTACTGTGGCAGCACACTAAGGTTATGAACTCTGGTGTAAGACTTGGCGCGTTTATACACTACTAGTTTTGTTTAGATTCTTATGGAGCCTTATACTTTACGCCACCGCGGTAGCTGCAGCATAGTATGCAAACGCGCTTAATGACAGGTCATTAAGCGCGGAGGAAAGGAACTAAGTGCGGGGCAGGCCCCGCACTTAGTTCCTAAAACATCATCATGAACTTTAATCCAAAATACGTCACTGTGACGTATGAGTAATGTATTCCTTATCTCCAGGTCGGCAGCGGCTATCATCCCTATCAGAGGACAGCAACAGCGCACCCTTACTAGCTCGCGCCCGCTTCGGGCTCGGCTCGGGCGCGCCGTCCGCCACGCCGCTGTACCTCGTCACCGCCAGCGGCACGCTGCTGCACCTGCTGCTGCACCCGCGCCCCGTGGCCAGTGAGTAGTGACGTCACTAGAGACAGCTACAGCGCTCCCTTACTGGCTCGCGCCCGCTTCGGGCTCGGCTCGGGCGCGCCGTCCGCCACGCCGCTGTACCTCGTCACCGCCAGCGGCACGCTGCTGCACCTGCTGCTGCACCCGCGCCCCGTGGCCAGTGAGTAGTGACGTCACTAGAGACAGCTACAGCGCTCCCTTACTGGCTCGCGCCCGCTTCGGGCTCGGCTCGGGCGCGCCGTCCGCCACGCCGCTGTACCTCGTCACCGCCAGCGGCACGCTGCTGCACCTGCTGCTGCACCCGCGCCCCGTGGCCAGTGAGTAGTGACGTCACTAGAGACAGCTACAGCGCTCCCTTACTGGCTCGCGCCCGCTTCGGGCTCGGCTCGGGCGCGCCGTCCGCCACGCCGCTGTACCTCGTCACCGCCAGCGGCACGCTGCTGCACCTGCTGCTGCACCCGCGCCCCGTGGCCAGTGAGTAGTGACGTCACTAGAGACAGCTACAGCGCTCCCTTACTGGCTCGCGCCCGCTTCGGGCTCGGCTCGGGCGCGCCGTCCGCCACGCCGCTGTACCTCGTCACAGGACAATGAGGGCTATCGTTTTTATACATAACAGTTGGCACCCCTGGCGATTGACAGAACCTTACTCTACAGTGGCGCCATCTTGATGAGTGCAAATGCGATAGTCCTCCTACCACTTTAGCGCTCACAAGTTGGCGCCACTGTCTTCGCTACTAGCAAGTGACAGGACCTTACTCTACAGTGGCGCTAACTGGTGAGCGCTAAAACGATAGCCCTCATTAGAGCCTTTTCACACGTACCGAGTAAACAGGCGAGACAGTAAAATGTTTACTCGGTCGAGACAGTTAGGTGAGCGAGTCACATACTCGAGCGCTCGGCCGAGCACTCGGCGTAATGTTCATACACAGTACAGTACTCGACCGAGAGCACTGTCTCGCCCGTTTGCTCGGTATAGATGACCCACGCTGAACTGTCCCACCAAACTCAATGACAGGGGGGCGCTACCATCGTTCAACTATATGGTTTCCAACATGGCAAAAATCTGAACCAGCGATCCGGTATTGACGGTGGCGCCCCACTGTCAATGTCATCGACAGGACAGTCCAGTATTTTGGAACTATACGTGTGATCAAGGCTTTAGGGCCTTGTCACACTGGCGGATTACAAGCGGTTTCAAAGCGGAGGAGACGCTTCGTTTTGTAACCGTTTGTAATCCGCCAGTGTGGCAGCTCACTAACAGTGTAGCCAGTAGCAGTATCAAGCGCTAGCGCGTGCCTATGACTTAAAAGGTCACTTCACAAAATAGAAGCCGCGCGCGCGGCAGGCTCTAATACTTTCCCTCTCGCACATCAACTATCTGTCTCGCTCACACCCGTTACTATTGCGCCGCGCGCCCGAAGTCCCGTAGCCGTGCAGCCAAGTCCCTGCGGCTAACTAAGCGTCGCTAACTACGGCAAATAAGCGTCTACACCTACGCTACGCCGCAGTGGGCAGTGCCGCTAATTCTTCCGAGATGTAGCTGTCACTGTTATTTTGACGTTACATCCCTACCTTCTACAACGTGATCAAAGTATAAACTTATATCCCTTTGTCCTACAGGTGTGCCAAAAGAGAAGATCTGCGACGAGTCGCCCATCGAGGTGACGGTGGAGCCGGTGTCGCAGTGGGCGCTGCAGCGGCCGCCTGCTGCTCCTGATCTTTTAGCGCCGCTGCCACCTGCCAATCCTTTGTTGAGGCACCTCCACCTGGCTGCCACGGTAAGCTGTCACTTGGCACCGCAAGCGTGCCACGAGATCTGCGACGAGTCGCCATTGAGGTGACGGTGGAGCCGGTGTCGCAGTGGCTTTGTTGAGGCACCTCCACCTGGCTGCCACGGTAAGCTATCACTTGGTAGGCTACAGGAGAGGATTTGTGAAGGGTTGGGTTGCTGTCGAGTCGAGTTTGCGTCGAGGTGACGGTGGAGCCGGTATCGCAGTGGCTTTGTTGAGGCATCTCCACCTGGCTGCCACGGTAAGCTATCACTTGGTACGCTACAGGAGAGGATTTGTGAAGGGTTGGGTTGCTGTTGAGTCGAGTTTGCGTCGAGGTGACGGTGGAGCCGGTGTCGCAGTGGCTTTGTTGAGGCATCTCCACCTGGCTGCCACGGTAAGCTGTCACTTGGCACCGCAGGCGTGCCATAGATCTGCGACGAGTCGCCCATCGAGGTGACGGTGGAGCCGGTGTCGCAGTGGCTTTGTTGAGGCACCTCCACCTTGCTGCCACGGTAAGCTGTCACTTGGTACGCTACAGGAGAGGATTTGTGAAGGGTTGGGTTGCTGTTGAGTCGAGTTTGCGTCGAGGTGACGGTGGAGCCGATGTCGCAGTGGGCGCTGCAGCGGCCACCCGCCGCTCCTGATCTTTTAGCGCCGCTGCCACCTGCCAATCCTTTGCTGAGGCACCTCCACCTGGCTGCCACGGTAAGCTATCATCATCGTCATCATTTAGCCACAGGAGATCCACTGCCGAACATAGACCTCTTCCAATGATTTCCATATAGCTATTTCATAAGACATTCCACAACGGCAAGCTAAACTCCCATTTAAGAGGCCATTGAGTGGGTCACTGGTAATTCAACAAGCCCGCAGAGCCCTTGACCCCTCTCACTGTCGTTATTAAAGACACTAGCGCGAAAACATGCGGCCGTTGGCTCGAGCACGCTCGGTTCACCACGTGGAGGTCCGTAACCATCGCAGCGTCGGCTCCAACAGCAAAATGGGCGTGGCTTAAAAATAATCGTGATCGAATTTTCTTGCAACATTTTCCTGTTTTTATACAACGCGTTCTTTTTGTTTTCCTGGAACTCTAGGGCAATAATAAGACCACTTCAAAGAATAGAATGGCATTACATTTTTTGTAAAATTCAACAATTTTTTTCGACTTATTTTTTCATACGAAATTATTTAAAAACTTAATTTTTCACTGAAATAATTCATAATTTACATAAACTTATCAATAAAAAGTCTGCACAAAAAGACTAGGTGATAATTTTGAAAAAAAAAAAAAATATATATACTAGATTGATGATACTATAATCTAAATCAACTAGGTATAGATACCTAGTTCTAAAAGATCTTCTAAATCTAGAATCCACAATACCTATCTTAAAAAATATGCTTTTAAAAACACATATTCCTAAGACTCTTTTAACTAGTTTTTATTTATAGAATATACAGGGTGTTAGGTATATGGGTATATGAGCCGACACTAGCCCATGTTAACATGGGCTAGTGTCGGCTTATATACCCATTTACCTAACATCCTGTATACCCCTAAAATTTCCGAAAAACAAAATAAATGGAACACGTTGTATTTTACTTCTATTTTCTTACATCATATTATTCCATTTGACGCGCAACTTTGATCTGTCCAACAGAAATGCGGCGACGTATGCATGAGCGAGGAAGAGCGCTGGCTCTCGCAAGTGGAAATCGTGACGCACGCCGGTCCGCACCGCCGGCTGTGGATGGGCCCGCAGTTCGTCTTCAAGACCTACAACTGCACCGGGTTAGTCTTGCTTTACTATTTTACTTTTATATGCTTCAATAGTATGTAGACTCCTTTTAGCAGGCTGCTCACTAACATTTCGGAGCAATAAAAAATAGGTGGAACGGAGTGCAGACGAAAGGAGATATGCGACGTAGCTGGCAGGCTATTTCCACCAAAGCGGAGCGGAGACGAGACATGTATGAGTTGTGCGTAGTTGTTAGCTTTTAGTCTATTGCTGTCTATGAAAGGAAAACACCGCCGTTGTCAAATTCTATAGAAAAATGAGTTCGCGCGTCACTTTTCTTCGCGCGATCCATTTCCACCGAAGCAGAGTGGAGTGGATGTGTGGAAAAAATGATTAATCTGATTGGTTATTCAAAACATATATTATTATCTGCTCCGCTCACTGGACTCAGGTGTCATTTCATCCGAATAAATCTCATCCGCGGATGAGTTGTCTCCCTTTCAAGTTAGGTGTCGAATCATCCGCAAAATTNACAGTATGATGAGAAAATTGCAGTAACGTCATTTAGAGATATAAACAGAAATTCGTTGCAGGAGCGTTTTAGCGGGTTTTGAAACTAGACGACTCAATTATCAAAATCTTCGCATCAAACGTCACCGTTTCTAACTTGGAAGTGTCGCCTCATCCGAAATATATTAATTAAATTAAATTAGATCTATCTTCCATGTTAGAAACGATGATGTTTCATCCGAAGATCAATATTTTGCAGATGATTCGACACCTAACAAATTTGAAAGGGAGACAACTCATCCGCGGATCAGATTTTCTCGGATGAAATGTCAGCCAAGTCCTCACTGCAGTCACTGCTCCCTCCGGTCACGTCGCCCGCGGGCAATGTGCGTGCGTAGACAAGTGTATAGCCTGACCAGGAACATAAAAACTCTCGCCATGTTGCGGAAAACTAATGGTACTAATTTCTTTTAATGGCAACAGTAACTGAAAACTTCATTTACATGTCACCTTGCATGCATGTCAATAATCAAGCTGTCTATTGCTGTCAAAGTGTAAACAAACTTTATTTTAAATGTGTGCAATTGATTTTGTGAATTAAATTGCTAAAATCTTTTTATAGTCGTGAAAGAAAAGTGGTTCACAATGTGTTAAAGTATTTTTCGAAGATCAATATTAAGGGTTCGGACAATATTTTCATTGAATAATGTTTCCGACAAAGGTTGTCAAATTGACTGACATGTTTATCGTATAGTACAGTCCGCTATGAAAAATTAGCTGTGGTTTGTTTCAACTACCTATTTTAAAGTTTTTTTGTCACTTTCTAAGTGTTGAATTTATGGAATTGGGAAAGAAGTACCGAGTTTGAAGCATTCATGAGCAGACATTGCAGTTGAATATTCAAGTTCTGAATTTGATTATTGATGAATAATAAAATAAATCCTACTAGCTCGATTGATGGTTTCATTTAATTTTTTTTAGACCAGGTTACCTATAATAATATTTTTTCGTTAATTTATGAAAATATCAAATTAGCCCGTAATCCTGAATCCTGATACATAAAGTTAGCCTATTAATTTAACACAGGTACGACTGTACTCAGTGTTGCACTATCAAATGCAATTGACGCGCCTCTATGCCAGGGTTTTTATGTTCCTGGTCAGGCTATAATTATTGAGTTTTGTCGCCAGGTCCAACTCGTCTCTCTCTGAAGCGGAGACGGTGGAGGTGGAGACGACGGCGCCGCGCGGCGTGGCGCGCTCCAACCCCGTCAATATGCCGGGAGTGCGACCCATCGTGCCGGTGCTCATCGACTCCGGCTCTGCTAGTGAGTTATCTGGGGGCACGGCAGTGCCCCCACCAAGTCGAGCAAAAAAGCGGCACGGCCGTACCATCCTTTTCTCGAAGCAATTCAGGCCATTTTCGACTGCCTGTAACTTCGTTGTGGATAAAACTGGAAGGCTGAATTTTCATAAGCTATGCAGGCATTGTAAAGACACGGTATATTTAAAATTTCATTCAATTTGAACCAGTAGTTTACGAATTATAACGGTCAAAGTTACTTAATTTTGTCACTCACTGACTCACTGACTGACTCACCGATCATCAAAATTCTAAGGCACTTCTAGCAGACCTAGAAGCTTCAAATTTGGAATATAAGTAGTGTTCGGTGTACGAACAAGAAAAAGCTAAAATATTTGGGGGCACGGTAGTGCAACCGCCAAGTCGAGTAAAATTTTTCAATTTCGGTCCAGTTTTCTAGATACATAACTGCTGTCTACAAAATACAAAAAGAAATGAGATCCCATCAAAAACAATACTTGTCAAAAAAACCAAGTCTCGCAACTCAGTTGTTCTACGGTAAAAAGTTGTGAGATCCATGTAATACCAAGTCCAGGCCAGGAAATCTTTAACGTTTTACATAAATATATTGACTTGGCCATCGCATGAAAACACGTGTAAATTAAATTATTTAGTATTTAGTTTCCACAAAGACCGGTCCTGCGCCGCTTGCATCCAGGTACCTCCCGCGACCTTCACCAGATCGTCGGTCCACCTAGTGGGAGGCCTGCCCACGCTACGTCTTCCGGCTCGTGGTCGCCACTCAAGAACTTTCCTGCCCCAGCGGCCATCAGCTCTTCGAGCTATGTGCCCCGCCCACTGCCACTTGATTTTAGCGATTCTGCGGGCTATGCCAGTCACTTTGGTTCTCCTGCGGATCTCCTTATTTCTGATTCGAAACTCCGAGCATAGCACGCTCCATCGCTCTTTGGGTGACCTTGAGCCTTCTTATGAGGCCCATAGTAAGCCTTTTGTAAATAGTATTAATTATTTTTTATTTGTTTTATTTATTAATATTTATACACAAATTATTTCTGCTTAAGAAACATCATTTACTGTTTTCGCATGTAATATACAAATGATAAAAAGAGAGAATTGAGACCTATCCATTATGCAGTCGAACCAAGATTTAGAAAATGTTTCCTTATGCGATGCAATTGCCTCCCTGACTCTTCTGGCCAGAGCGTAGGGAGTTTAAATCCTCCCGTACTGTTTTATCAGCACTACTGGAAAAAAGTCTTACCATTCGCTAGTAGCACAGCTAGTAGCTACAGTGATGCTAGCTGATGAACACTGAAACATAAGACTATTACATTTACATTTGCGCCACTGTCGTGTAAGCTCCAGTGAGTTAACTGTATATCACTCAATGAGACACTTTTATGATGCAGGTTCTGTTTTTCGAAAAAAAAAAGCCAAACTTTGTTACATAATTTAAAATTATTTTTTAAATCGATCGAAGGTTCTGGAATGGAGGCGGCGTACCGGAAAACGCAGCGTGGGACGTCCACCTACAAGGTGGACCGACGACATCGTAAAGGTAGCAGGGAAGCGCTGGACGCAGGCCGCTACCAATCGATCAACATGGAAAGCATTGGGGGAGGCCTATGTGGCTGAAATGATGATGATGATGAAATCGATTGTGAATAGAGTTATATTCCCGATACTAGTCTGTGGCCTTCCCCTTCTAACCGATGTACCTTTCTCCCAGGTTCAGTAGAACACTCCCCATCCGACGGGTTCCGTCGCAAGTCGCTGCTGGCGGACGCGGGCCGAGCACCCTCCCTATGCGACGTACAACTTAAGGAGGACCTCGCTGAAGCCATGAAGGAGGATCACGGTGAGTGCGCCATTTTGAACTTTATTTATATAGGGTTAGGTTCAAAATCAATTGGGAATTGGGTAGTTGAAACAAAGGGTCACGAATTGTTAATTGGATTTTAGACTTTATTGCCTGGTGTAAAGTTTCATGAAGAAGAACCATCGCCAGTGCAGCCTAAGCTGCTGATGGTACTGCGATAAAAATAATGAATTTACCTATTCCATTTTTAACTCTATTACTTTGTTTTAACGTTCATGAAAGAGAACCACGAACACCTTTGTGTACAGTTGTCAGAAGTTATGAATTTGCACATTGGATTTTGGACTTTATTGCTTTAAGAAAGGTTCATGAGAAGAAAATTTAGAAGGATCACAGTGCACTTTGTGTTCATGATAGATTTTATAAAATTTCCTTCATTCGATTTTGGATTCTATTGCTTTATTTATTTATTTATTTATTTTATTTGGTTTACCAGAAATTGTTACATTGATGCTTACACAGTATACATACAGCCATAGTGGATTACCACTATGGCTGTATGTATATTAATAACTTAATGCACAATTAATTTAAGGTAAACACCGCACTATGGTTCATAATAAAGCAGAACCATGGTAGATATCCTTTGAGTATTGTATTGTCAATAAAAGTTTTGAATTTGCCTATTAGATTTTAGACTATTGATTTAGATAGATTCTTCGCATATGAATACTTTAACTAAGTATCTGGCCAAAATTAATTTTTTGAGGTACATTTTGTCACTGTATAATTGTACATTTTGTGTTTGATATTTTAATTCCAAGTCGCTTGTTTAAAAAAAATGCTTGCTTTTAATGATAAAGACGGTTTAACAACAAGTTTTGATTTGAGCTGAAACTGTTGAAATAAGATGCTTTTAAATATACAGCAAGATGATTTTAAACTTTTAATAATCTTCTTGTTTAATGCAGGTTCGAATCCTGCAATATACTGCAATAACATTTGTTTGTTGCGTTGTCTATTACATATTTACGAGTATCTTACAAAATAATTATTTTGTTTATGTTTAAAAAAATGTGATTGTATTTGGGCCGTTTTAAGCTCTACAATCTTTAAAAAAATCATCCATATTTTATTAATCCGTGAGACTAAAAAATCAATGTATGTTTCGGTTTCGTTAATTTTTTATCGGTTTTTTAACGCGGTAGTGAAAATACTTGCGACACAGTTTCGATACAGTGTTCAAGTAGTGAATGAATGAGTGAACTGAAGCAAGCGAATGAGTGAACGCAAGAGGCGAAGACGCGGCGAGCGGCGGCTGAACGAAGCCGAAGGCATCCATCACACCGGCGCCGTCGCGGGTTCATTCTCATACTTATAACAAAATCCTCGATTCTTGTATGAAGATATGAATTTGCGGATCGCTAATTAATAATTAACAAGTGAGATAAGATGCCAAGGCTTTTGTTATCTTCATACAAGAAGTCAAGGATGAGACGCACTCACACAGAAATATGTATAAACATTATGGCACTTAGTTTAGACATGGCATTTTTTCAGGCATCATAAGCTCATACTTTGACGCAACCCTTGACACGCTCGTATCAATGCCGGTCAATGGTATGTTAAGAGTAAATTCAGAGTTGTTAAGAAAGTCGTATTAGCATGCACATAAATTCGCATCTAAATATGAGCTTGAAGCTTTGAAAACACGCCATGTTAAAGCCTGGTCCGTGAGCACGTAGAATCCCGTCCAATGACCCCAAGCTACCCATCCTTATCGCTCGTGCGTAATTACATTGCTGTCGCGACTGTGCGAAGCGCGCCTGCAGTGAGTGTGCGACCGCGACAGCAACATAATTACGTGCGAGCGACAAGGATGGGCAGCTTGGGGTCATTGGACGGGATTCTACGTGCTCACGGACCAGGCTTTAGTAGTCGCCCTAAAGTCGCGTCTCGTCTGTGTGAGTCGCGTCCAAAGACTCAGTTTGCAAGTCGAGATAGTCGCAGCGAGTTCGAGAATGACCCGCGGCTCGCCCGCTCTGCGCCTCGCACGCAATACGATCGAACTAATGGTTGCCTTCGGTTTCGTATAGGCTGGCTGACCGCCCGGCCGGAGGAGGCGCGGGGCGGGACGGGCGGGGGAGGCGGCGTGGCGCGCGCCGTGGACCCGCTCGGGACCGTGGTGCGCGCGCCCGATCCGCCCGCCGTCCGCGCGCCGTCCGATCCCGATGCGCACACGCGGGCCAACCGCGACGAGGCCACGTTCCGGCCGGTGGTGCGCGCGCCCGCCGCGCTGCCGCCGCCCGCGCTGCTGCTGCGCCCGCTGCCGCTGCCGGTCACCACCACCATACCGGTGGAGCCGCTAGAGCAGCCGCCCGAGCCGCGCCCGCAGCCCGCTCAAGACCTGCTCGCGCGCGTCGTCATCCCCGCCGCCCTCAGCGGCCGTCTGCCGCCCAGCCCGCCGCCCCCCGAAGGGGACGACCTCAGTTTTAAGCTCAGCGATCTCAGCTCGGACGACCGCCCGCCGCTCGACGACTGTCCCCCGCCTCTGAGACGAGAGATCGCCCCGGAACCTCTTCAGGTTCAGCACGCACGCAGCGCCACCCCCTCGAAAGTCGTCGCGGAACCGCCGCCGGTCCAGACCGCTCGACGGAGTCTGACCCCTTCGAGAGTCGTCTCGGAACAGCCCCCGATCCAGGCCGACGCTCGACGCAGCCCCACTCCCTTGAAGGTAGTCCAGGAACCCCCGTCGGTCCAAACGGAACAACAGAGCAGCCCTCCTCCTCCGGAAGTCATCCTGAAACCCCCCTCGGTCCAGGCCGATCGTCGACGTAGCCCGCCCTCCGCGGAGGTCGTCCCGGAAATTCCCCCGGTCCAGACAAATCGACGACGCCGAGAACCTAGAATCGCCCCGATCTGGCGCGACGAGGAGATCAAGACCGAGGACCAGGCTTGGGACATGCTCCTGACGGAACCCGAGAAACCGCCCCCTCCCCCCGTCGTTGAATCCTTGCCGGTGGAAAAGATTCCCGAAGACCCGAAGCCGAAGTCGAAAAGAAACCGTAAAGGTAAAAAAGCACAGGATGAGGTCCAGACGAAGGCTGAGGAGGACAGTTTTGTGGAAATACACGCGATCGAGGAGAAACCTCAGCCCTCCAGCGGAGACTTGGTGTCCATTTCGTCTCCGTTTGAGGACGTGGAGCCGTGTGGTTCCTACGTTGCCAAAAGTAAGAAAACATGCGCCTCCAAAAGTTTGACGCCCGATAAAACTGCGGTCGAGCCCCAAAAAAATGTAGCCGAAGCAAAAATTCAGGACGAGTTCGATCAGGACTTCGGTGTGTCTAAAAGCTTCAGTAAAATTGAGAGTAACCTGTGCGAGATGGAGTCGTGGGCCCAGTTGACGATGAAGCAGAAACCGTTGGATGTCATTAAAGAAAAATCTAAATCCAACACTATTGTCGTCACGCGTCCCGAGGAGGCGGAAGATGAATGTTTTAGTAAGTGTAAGGAATCACCCAAATCGAGGAAAAGCAAATCCTTGTCGCCTTATCTAGAGTGCCGTAAGTCGAACGAAAAGGTTCCGGAGACGGATGTGAAAGACGTATACGTTATCGACTCCACTAAAGAAGAGTTCCCCGATATTCAGATAACCAGAGGTACAAAGTCGCGTAAGAAGTCTCCCCAACCTATTGAAACGAAGACCGAGGAAAAACCTGTCTTCGTGGAAAAACCCGCTGCAGTCGTCGAGAAACCTATTAAATCGTGGAGCTCCATAGCCGCTTCCAAAAGTACTAAGAAGTCTGACGACTTCGAATTGACAGCTGAACTTGTGGATGCGAAAATTGAAAAGACTAATGTAGATGATAAAAAATTAGAGAGAGATAAGTTGAGCGAATTTAGTGATATTGTGTGTATGAGAGGTGACAAAGAGTCTTCCAAAGAGGTGTCATTGCACGAGAAGTTGTACGAGTTGTGTAAGAGGACGGACATCGTGGTGGCTGAGTGCGACACTCCGGCCGAGCTGCACTTCGTGGAGGAGCACCACGCCGTGCTTCACGACCTGCCTCCGCTGGAGCCCTTGGACTTCGCCCTCGACGACTTCAAACTAGAAGTCATGCGCGACAGCCTGCTAGAAGTCAACGAAGCCAAGCTCACCAGCCCGATCTGCAAAATCAACATCGATGACATACTTTCGTCGATCAAAGAGACCACCAGCAAGGTGATCGAATCCAGCACCTTCAACCTGATAGACCTAGAAAAGGTTCCAGCGAGGAAGGAGAAAGGGTTCAGTGTGATCGAGGGCCATAAAATAACGAGCCAAGAGATCAAGATCGACGATGAGCTCAAAGCGGATGACAGGGAGGCAGAGATTATGGAGAAGTCCTCGGACGATGACAACACGTCCCCCGTGGTGTCCACTGACAGCGACAAGGAAGACAAGAAGATGAGTGCGTCTAATAAAACTACACTGCCATCGACTAAGAAAGTAGCTAAAGCTAAGAATTCGCGCCGAAAGAAGAAGTAATTAATATCGGAAAAATGTGTTCAAAAATAATTTTACTTATTAAATGTTTCATATGTTGCTATGTTATTCGAAACGATCGTGATTAGCTATAAAATATTTGCTGCTATTATTATTATTATTTAGTTAGTACTGCAATTATAAATTGAAATGCACATGTAAAAGACAAAAAAAAATTAAATAAGTTGGATTGTGAAAGATTTGTTGCTTTGAGCCTAAATTCGTGAGGTGAAATATTAACAAGTCTTTTTAATACTTCAAATTTTGACAAGTTAGTGGTATTAATTCTGTCTTAGAGAAAAAAAAACATAAAAATATAAAAACTTAGTAAAATAACAAAAATAATTTCGGTTTACATATTTTGTGATGATATTGAATAAAAGGTACAAAAATATTCGTACATATTGTAAAAAAAAGAAAAAGTCGAAGTACCATCACAAAATATGTGAGGCTTTCGTTCATCAGTGCTCTATAGTACTTATCTTTATTTAGTTACAATTCGTATTTAGTTTAGTAGTAACACTACGGCCAACCATACGCACTTTAGTTTTGCGACGCAGCTTCCTGGCCAGTAATATTATAATCTATCAATACCTCAAGCGTTATGTAAGCTAAGTTGTAGACAATATTACTGTGGCAATAGAATCTCCTAATATATTATAATTTAATTAATAATTAAAATCATAGCTTCAATTTCTAATTTAATTTCTAATGAAACATCATTTGACTAGATGTTTTCTCTCTTTCATAGTTTCTTAATTAATTAATTAGCAATAAAATTAAAAAACTAACCACTGACTTTGAAAATAGCTTTGAAGTCTCATACAAATGAGAAATAACTTTGTATTCGGTGAGCAATGATGAGCATTTTATCAGAAACTGAATTTGATGTAACTACAATGTTACAAAAAAAAAATCATTCAAGGGAATTCTTTCGCGTATCCATTAGTGCTGTTTTAAAATGCTCGTCAAAGCAAGGGAAAGTTGCAACATTAAAAAAAACATTGACGTAGGAAACAATTTGGTTTACAATTAATTTGGCAAATATTTTACTATAAGTTAAAATATATTTTATCACCGGTTAATGTATTATATGTACAATACTCACATTGACAGCGATTTAATTTATTAAGCTTATATCGCAACGCATTGGCTTGGCGTTGCATTTGCCTTCACGTGACCCTGCAATCACTCCATAAATATGATTGAAAATTTCCAATAACATCTTATTTCTATTGACCTTAAAAGAAAGAAAATGATAACACACTGGTAGTTTGTACATTACGTTGCATTCGAAATATTTCTCGGCAATTTTTCCGATATTACTTAAAATCTTAACGAATTCCACAAAAACCGTTATGAGGTTAAAGATGACTCCCTAAAATGCTGTTCATAACTTCAGTATTATGTTATTTTAATAGTTAAATATTGGTGAATGCTGAATTCGACATAGTCGCCGGTATGTAATACCTTCTTTGATCCTCGGCTGTCGTATGTACAAATAACAACTATGTAATGTTATTAACAAGTATTATTTTAAGTGGTATGAATTATAATAATTATTTTAGTTGTAATTGTGTTGAATCATGACAAATCTTTATTTTTTCTATGTAATTTACAATATGTACTTCAAGTTTATTCACAATAAACTGTGTAGGAAAATGGTTACGTTGGTGCATAATATTTATTAACTTTTTATTTTGGTGATAATTAGGTAGTTTATTTATTGACTATAAAACATACATTGTATGTAAGTACATACATTTTATACTAAGACAAATAATAATTTATTATTATATTCGAAGAAGTTGTTAACCTCGAACCAGATTCGGCTTTATTATTATTATTTTTGGGACTATAATTGTTTGGGCTTAATTTTTTAATTGTTATATGTATTTCCACTATACAAAGCTACTGAAGTCGCTGAAGTATTTTAAAAAGCAATATGAATTTAATGAGGTTTTCGTATAATTTTTGCAAATGTATTGATAATTTACTCGAAAAAACTGTACAGTAACCCTCCGGGTTTTGTTCGTCAACGGACATTTTAAGTGATTGTCTTATTAACTTAAGTATACACGATCGACAATGCCCCATAACATTTGTTTCATGTTCATAAAATTGTTAAGTGCCTACTCATATCGAGATCAAGTAAAAAGTATAAGTGCATTACAAAAAACACACTGTCATTACAATTAATAATCGTCAAATAATAATAACTCATATCATAAATTAGATTACATTTGGTGTATTAGAAGCGATAAAATTTAAGGAAGTTAACAAACACTTTGGACTCACTCGAAACCAAAAAGTAGAGTATGTGATTTTACATAATCTTTTGATCTCCACATTCGGGAATGCATGGGCTTTCTTCGCGTAGTTATGAGGTTGTTCTTGCTTCGGCCGGCGCATCGTTTCGGAGGCTTTCGGCGTCGAATGACAAGAGTCCACAACGGTTTTTAGGATAGATCAATTGACTGCACCAAACTAAAGCTATATTGAAAGGTTCTATAGATGTTTTAACGTAACATTCTTTACAATTAGAGTTAAAATGGCGAAATTGTAATGTTCAATTAAGTAATTTTAAAAAGCAATTTGATTAATTGTAGCTTATACACGACTGAAATTAGTTTATGTGATAAAGGCGAGTGCACACTTATACTTAACATAAAATCTTTTCGAGTATTGTTGCCTTCATTATTCGTGTGCCTCACCTTTAATGTGTTATCCCTAAAGCGCAGTAGTTAATTATCGTAGTAATTCAGTGACCTCGAATACCCACGAACTCAGGGCGCTTCCATTTAAGATCTCATGTTGTGACTTATTTCTATTTGAGCCCTGAGTTAACATGACGTAAAGTAGTAATAAACTTTATTAAAATTAATGTCAAATTTTTAAGTACTTAGTTGTGTCTTTGAAATTACTTTTTCGTGTAAAATTTACTTTTTCTCAGTACAAATTGTTTTAAATTGTTTTGTGTCTATAATGTGAAAAAGTGTAAACTCTTTGCAAAATTCGACTAGAAACAATTCGTTTCTTCTTTTAGAAAGGCACTACACTAACTTTAGTTTTTATAGAGCATAGATTCTTTTATTGACATTTATAAAAACTGAAGATAGATCGATTCACATGTTCACAATCTCCAGTTAGTTTATCTTTTACCATCCTTAGCGAATGAAACTACTAAACTAAGTTTTATCCTTATATTTTCGCCAAATTTGAGTAGTCAACAATGAAATTGTCTATGGATGCCACGTTTGGTAGTTTTGTTCTACCAAGGATTAAAGATAAACTGACTGAGAAATAGTGATAATGTGAAATCGAGTCTACACATTTTTGAAGAGTTGTAACTCATTAATTTCCTTATTATAGTCTTAGTTATTAAAACATTTGTACGCTTTTAAGATCTATCTTTTAGAAACCGTTTGTGTAATTTTAACAATTTGAATGGTGTTATCGAATTTATGTCGGTAGGTTAGTGAGCGTGTATCAAAATTTAAGATAAAATTTAATAATTCGGCTGCCTTGTCTCCGTACGGTTTTGTTGATAATGTTATGGAGTGTTTAAAATCATAATAGCAAGTAACAATAAAATGAGAATTCAAAAAACCAATGATGTCTTTTCATTTATGAACCTACACGCGATCACAACAGGAAAATTATATGACGTGACGTCACAAAAACACCTTCCCGTGCCGCTAACATACGCTAGACCGGTAATATAATTTTGTTAATTTGTGATACTATGAAAATAATAAATGAATGCATCAGAGCATCGCTATTGAGACATAGTTGGTTGCATCGCTTGGTTTAAAGCCTGGTCGCCGAGCACGTATAATTTCGTCCAATGACCCCAAGCTGCCTATCCTTATCGCTCGTGCGTAATTATATTGCTGTCGCGTCTGTGCGACGGGCGGCAGCAGCGAGTGTGCGAGCGCGACAGTAATAAATATAGTTACGCGCGAGTGATAAGGATGGGTAGCTTGGGGTCTTTGGACGAAATCCTACGTGCTCGGCGACCAGACTATATTCAAATTCAATTTTTTTATTGCATATTAAGGCTTGGTTGCACCATCTTACTTTAACTTTGACAAACGTCAAAAATCTGTCGAACTCCATACAAAAAGCACCGGTTATCGTCATAGTTACTGTCAAAGAATAATGGTGCAACCCACCCTAAGTGTTTACAATTATTATTGTGTCTTATAGGTAATCATCTTTTTCCTACTTGTGTAACACAATAGAATTTGACCTTTCCGACCTTCAAAATAACGCTCAAACGTTTTCAACTTTGCAGCGATAACGTCGAGCGTTCGTTACGAGGCGGAGCCCGAAGAGCTGAGCTCGAGCAGCTTCAGCTCGGCCTCGCGCGCGTCGCTCGACCCGCCCTCCTCGCCCACGCCCTCCTGCGGCGCCGACAACCTGCTGCACTTCCCGGGCGACTCCAGCAGCTCCGTGTAACATACGGCCTTGCGCCGCCGGCATAAGGTCTACGATCGCGCGCCCGCGGCTGACGAGTAATTTGAATCCGGCTGGCACGTGCAATATCCCCATACGGCCCTGCGCCGCCGGCTTAGGGTCTACGATCGCGCGCCCGCGGCCGACGACTGCTGATGACACTCCAGCAGCTCCGTGTAACATACGGCCTTGCGCCGCCGGCATAGGGTCCACGATCGCGCGCCCGCGGCTGACGAGTGATTTGAATCAGATGTTACGCCGTCGGCCCAAGGTCTACACTAGCTTTGAATCCAGCAGATCCTTTACGGCCCTGCGCCGACGGCTTAGGGTCCAAGATCGTGCGCCAGCGGCTGACGAGTGATTTGAATCTTGCACGCAATATCAGATGTTACGCCGCCGTCCCAAGGTCTACGATCGCTTTGAATCCAGCAGATCCTTTACGGCCCTGCGCCGCTGGCATAAGGTCCACGATCGCGTGCCCGCTTCCAACGAGTGCTGATGGTACTCCAGCAGATATGAGCAATATACGATCTTTGCCGTCGGCCCCAAGGTCCACACACAGAGCCCGCGGCTGACAAGTTCTGATGAAACTCCACCAGCAATATACGATATTATGCCGCCGGTCCAAGTTCTACAATTTCATGCCTGTCCCTGACAAGTGTTCGTTTGAATCCAGCAGATCCTTAAAACATACGCCCTTGCGCCACCGGCTTAAGGTTCTCTCCGCGGCTATAGACAAATGCTGATGTGATCCCAGCAGATACGAGCAATATACGATCTTTTGCCGTTGGCCCAAGGTCCACATTTACGCTCGTCCCTGACAAGTGTTTATCTGAATCCATAGGATCCGTGTATGTAACGCACGGTCCTACGTCTCAGGTCCAATGATAAATACCCCCGAAAATAGTTTTGATTTCATTACAACAGAGTACACGAATGCCGCCGGCCTAAAGTCTGATCAGAACATCCTGAAAGTGTCAAACTTCAGTGGGCTGCGTGGATAACACACAACTTGTGTCACACGCTGTCTTTACTTGTATGACACAAAGTTAAAATCTGTTTACTGTAGTCGTTAAGTGAAATTAAAAAATGTGATGAAAACGGACGTTCTTATGGATATTGGTAAATTAAGTAAAATAAGAGATAGTTTTGCATGATATTTTAAATTTTCTCCGATTGATTAATACACGTTTTATTTATGTTATGACAGAAATCATGTTTTAAAATTATTAATAAATTATAGATGTGTCTATTATTACGAACGTTGTGTTAAACGCAATTTGTATAAGATTTTTGGAAAAGTTGTCTTTATTAATTCAAACTTATTAGTCGTTGCTAAAATAATCGAGGTCTTCGCGACATTTAGTTAAGTATATTTAAACATTAGTCACAAATAAGATATAACTAGATTATTTCAATTAGTAGCTTTATGTTAAAGAATGCTTGCGTTGGCGTATGACAAGTTTCACAAGTTTAGCAACTTATTAATAAAACTATTTATTAAAGTTGCGTCTTATAAAAAGAGGCTTACATAAATTACATTTGGAATAATCTGGTTTGGTACATAATTAATATTGATTGTGCGCATAGCGTTTTATAACGGCCTTTGCAATATAATGTTAAGTTATTGTTTCTTAATTATAGATAGGTATATTATGTTTGCAATGAATATACGAGATCTTCACTTACAAGTTATAAACTACAAAGATTAATTTCATACAGATTTATTTACTTAAAAAATAAAATAAATACAAAGAAAATAGTACTTAGTTTTCTCGCAATAAAACACTGTTCGTATGACTACAAAAAATCCAATAGTACCATTTTGAACCAAGCCATTGGAATAATGGAAAGATCTTGTCATAAATATGGAAAAATACTAGGATTTTAAATGATAGCATGCTTTATATGTATTATTTTAAATGTGAGTCTTTGTGTTTAATAATATGCAAGTAATTTTACTACCTATGTAACCAGCATTTAGAATCTAGAAACTTATTATATTAATTAGGATTATGTATGTGTTGTCCATAATTTTTATAAACAATATTGCATGATAATCTATAATGGCTATGTTATTAATGTATTTTATGACTCTAAAGTTCATTTTGGAGTTTTGTTTGGTGTTTTCAACAGACACTGTAAGATACCATCACATTTTAAATCAATTATGCATTTGTTTACCGTAACTGTGATATGTAGTAGAAATTATAGACAAATAAGTTAGGCACGAAAAAAGGTAAGATTTTCATTCTTTACTTTGTTATTATTGAAATACAATCACACATTCGTACATTAATTGGTAGTATTGTTTATAACATTCCAGTCTCGCGGTAAAGACATACATACATCAAGATAATTTATACAGTTTCATTGAACAGAGTATTTTTTTATCACCGCCCGAAATTTTTTATTGAATTCCTATCCAATTTTTTTATTCTTTTTTATTCTTCTTCTAGGCAGGTATAGGATATCTCATGAGATGTTTTTCACATGATACACATCCAGAAATATTTGGATGGTGATAAAAAGTTGCTCTGTAAGCGAATAATGGAAATAATATTTTATTGAATCGCTTCCGTCGAGTCTTCCTATTTTATTATTTTGCATGAAGTGTTTTTCCTTGATTGTTTGAAAATAATAAGTTATTTAATTTTCCGAAGCTGCTGATATGTGTTCTGTAGATGAAACTGACATTACTGTCGTATTTAATATATCATGGACATAGTACAAATTATAGTCACTATCAAAATTAAAATACCAAAAATACCTCTCACAAAAAAAAAAACGCTACATCATATTATGAACACATTTCGAGCTTCGGTTTTATGCAATGCGAATGGAGTGATATTTATCTCATAGAAATATTTTTACAGGACGAGTGGTAGTAGTAGTACTTATCTCATTAGAAGTATATATTTTTAACATAGTACTCTGTAGATATAAGTATTCGATATTTTAGATTACAAATTCGTGTATTTCATTCACATAAACTATGGAATAGCGACATTCTTATATTTATGGATAAAGAAAAAAGCTGGAGGTGATTTTAAATGCATTGTAAGGTTAAAATAAACATTGTATCAAGTGGTTAGTGTATGTGGCGAAAGCTCCCCAATGCTAGACTGAGACATCTACACGTGAAACCACCGATTGGATTTCATTTTGAATAGGCGATGCCAAAGTTAAACTTGAAAGTATTTATCTATATTTTTATAAAGGAGCTTTCGTAATAAATAAACAAAATGAAAAAATATTTAAAGAGAAAAAATCTAAATAATTAGCTTTCAAAGTATTTCAATGGACTCAAAAGCCAATATTGTTTGAAGAATATGAATTTCAAATTAATAGTGATTTTCTCTCGTAATACTATTTAATACTGGTTACAGTTACCATAAAATAACCAGGGTATTAAAATAAGCTCAATGCCTGGCTGAGGAGGGCTGTCGTATGAAATAAAAGGTAATAATTGTGGATTTTTCTTGAATTTAAAAAAATGTTATATTGAATTTACATTGAAATTATAATGATGATAGTAATTTTAAAACATTACTGAAACTATTTATTTTATTTTGGGAGTGATAATTTTATTACTAAAATCATGATGAAAATAATAATGTATTGTCATTTGAAAATTATTACATCTCTGTTGCTAGTCAACGATAGACATCTGTTTGTATAATAAATAGGATTTTTAGAGTGAATATTGTTTGGAGCCATAATAAAGGTAGTCAGAAGGTTAAAACCAGAGGGAGGCAAGATTATGTGATGGTTGGATGTGATAAGGAATAAATGTTAATCGGTAGCCTTTGTCTTAAATTTATACTTGTTAGCCGTATTTATACGTATGTAAGGTAAATTCCTATATTTTATTAAGACTAGTTTATAAGTCAGTTTATAATATTTTGTAAGACATGCATTATCAATATATCTCAATCAAATATTTTGTGTTTTATTTCGAATATCCCTATTTTATGTATGAAGTGCCTATTATCGTTTATTCATAATTTATTGTAGTCTAGGTTCGAATTAAACACCATGTTTGGTAAAAATATTGTAATATTAAAAATATATAACAGATCATCAATAATACTTTAAGCGTGAACAATTAAAACAACTAAGTACATATTTAAAATCTAATTAAGTACAAATTTAAGGCACCATAAGATCCATCATTAAAAGGAATGTAAGTATAAAATAATAATATAAATTCATGATACTTATGTAATTTACATATTTAATGGAATGTCACAATATCAAAACCACTTAAAATTCGGTGGAAATTCAATTGATTAATACATCTTTCGCTTACATTCAACTATTAATATAATAAATTCTATTTGTTCTAAAACTCAATAACTATGAATTCTATTATTCTACTCTTAATTACCTACTTAAATCGATTTGAACATTTAAAGTGGACGGTTACAGTTACGAACATGACTTGGTAAACTAAAGCGTTGTCCACAAAGGTGCCATGAAAGCATCTAACAGTGTCACCTTTGTAGCAACTATAAACCGGTCGAGTTAACTTCGCCGTGACGTCACATCGACGCTCTGGTACGGACGAGGAAGCGTGCGATAGTGTCGCATTCCAGCGAGGTGCGTAGTTAGCTCAATTGGATTGTATATGGGCCATCCATGAATGTATGTGTTACGGTCAAAGTGATAAATGTGTGAAGTANTAAATAAAGAGGAAAGACTCAGTATCGAACAAATTTGTGCCAAATACGCCGACGTATTTCACTTACCAGGCGATTCTTTATCAGTAACTAATTTACACTTAATTTCTACTGCCGTCTTCAACACCCTAAACCTAACACTACATGTGAAAATTATGAATAATCGCCGGTTATTATGAATAATTACCGCATGCTTTGGTAAATGTGATTAATATGAGGTCATCTATGTGAGTATAAAACTAAATAGGCGGCTTAGCCGCACCCTAACCTATTTTTCGCTTTAAATCAAAACATTATGTTATAGGCATCGTGGAAAAGTAATATTATGCAAGAAACATTCCAAACTCATTATGCCAAATTATATTAATATATGATATCAAAACGTTCAAAAGTTTGGCTGTACACGAGCACGTACACAAGATGTTGTTCTCTTTTACGAAATTTGATAGTACTAAGGTTGAATTATTAAATAATCACTGTTAAATGTGATTAATTTATCACTTTTACCGCGACTGTCGGTAATTATTCATAATAACCGGTTATTATTAATAATTTTCAATTTATCACATTGACCGTAACATATGTACTAAAGTCGACAGGAAATGCAGATATCATAGTGATAATATAATTGGACGGACTTTTATAATTATTATTGCACACAATATCACAACATGGTACAAATAGTTGCGACATTTATGACGACTAGCCCAGTATGCGCATAATCGCCTGTCAAAACCACAGTTCACGGATGGCCGTTAAAACAAACAAAAAATCACTCCTCATGTCATACACACTTGATATTCACCCTGATGATCAGGGTGTCGTCTTTGACGAACCCGTTTTTGACTACGTCATTTATCACCGCGTATTCCGTATACCCGAAGCCTCTGACGCAAATCTCTGCTGTGGGTTTCCTGAAGGCTATTAGACTGGAGTTGGACATCATGGTATCTCTCTGTGTGAGGTCAGGGTCAAGCTGGTTGATCATAGCGAAGGAGATTCGGCCGTTGAAAGGCCACTCGAGGCAGTCGTCGTATTCCGTCTTCATCAAGTGCACGTGGAGAGCGAAGCAGTGCGGATTTTGTGGCGATATGTTCAGGCGGACGCAGAATCTGGAAAAAGAAGCACATTCACTTACAATATCAAGTTTTGCCAATTGATTTTGAACCTTATACTAAAGATATAAGGTTCAATCCATTGCAAAAAATCGTCTTGAGGTAAAAATTTTCTGACTACTGAGGGCAAAGCTCCCAGACTTGGCCAATATAATTATGTATTTGAGAAGGCTCAATCGGGCTGAGACGACTTAATTATCTACTATCGTGCATTTCAAATACGGAATTGGACTTAGTTAAATTAAATGACAGTCTTCAAGGTCTACCAAAGCTGGAACTTCGGTGAAGGTTGAAGGTTCGAATGTCGCTAAAGGCAAATGTTACTGAATTTGGTGCCCTAGTAGCGATGGGCGATTATTACTAAATTAATCGAATTATTCGAATGGTCTCTATAATCGAATGTATTCGATAAGCAATCGCAGTCATTCGATTAATCGACGCGCGCCGTATTACTAACGAATAACATGATTCGTTCGCTGCGGTCTTGTGAGCGCGCGCCGCACGACACTACTATAACGAATGAATCGTCGCGTGCAGATAGGTAAATAGATTTATCATTCGATTGCCGATTATTATTCGATTTTTTTTTCTAATTACTAATTGACAATCGAAAGTTCGATTGGTCGATTGTCGATTTATTCGATTATTTTTTTTCGAACAATCGCCCATCGCTAGGCCATAGACTTAGACGTTTATAATAATGTGCATAGTAACCTGTATCCATTAGGCGTGGTATAGAACCCTGGGCTATACAGCATCTTGTAATGGTCCTTCAGCATGGCCTCCAGCCTATTCCTGAAGCTGTCTACCCTCCACACGAAGTGGCCCATGCAGTAGCGTAGCAACATGTCATGACTCTGCTTGACCTTGGCCACGGCGAAGGCGCCAAGTTGTTTGGACATGTTCGCGATGACTATGTCCTGCTCGCGGTTGCGCTGTTCGAGTACCACCACTCTCTCGTAGAGGGCTCTGGAATTAAGGAAATCTGGTTAGTGGTGAGCTAGAGTTTATTACTGTTTTTGAATTTGAAACAAAATATTTTTATTAATAAAACAATGTTTTACTGCTCTACCCGCGCTTCAGGGGGATAGTTTATTATACAAAAAAATAATTATGTTTGACTGATAAGATAGTCTGATTGCCTACCCTTGTTGGCATTATCAAATCCATCCAATCGCACGTTTTCATTAATATTAACATTGGGATTATTGGCTGAGATGCCTTTTTTACTCAATTTATCTCACTCAGTGATATTCCGTCAAAAAGTCGATTGACCATGACCAAATGGAATATAAGTTAAAAATATGAAAATGGCCTTTTTTGACTCTTATTTTACCTTATAAGAGCGCTAAAAGCGGCGTTGCCATCCTCGTAAATGCACGGAATGACCAGTGGTTGTCAAAATCCTTGGAAGAGTCTTTTGTCCAGCAGTAAATATAGGTCCTTTGTTTGAAAGGCACAAATGAACGAATCGAATACATAAATACTTCAAATCGAATTCGAATACCTTATAAGAGCGCTAGTGTTAGTGAGTGGTGGAGCAGTGTTGCCTTCCCCGTCCTTGCTCTCCTTGTCGGGCGCGTCCCACAGCAGCATGGCTTCTTGTTCCTTGGCGTCCAGGCTCGCGCTCGAGGTGTCTTTGCTGATCCTCATCATCATCATCATTTCAGCCATAGGACGTCACTGCTGAACATAGGCCTCCCCCAATGATTTCCACAATGGCCGATGGTGCTACCTTTATGATATCGTCGGTCCACCTTGTGGGTGGACATCCCACGCTGCATTTTCCGGTACGAGGCCTCCACTCCAGAACCTTGCTGCCCCATCGGCCGTCAATTCTGCGTACTATGTGCCCCGCCCATTGCCACTTCAGCTTGCTAATCCGTCGGGCTATGTCAGCGACTTTAGTTCGTTTACAGCCGGGCCGCATGGAAAGCATTGGGGGACGCCTATGTTCAGCAGTGGACGTCCTATGGCTGATATGATTATGATGAGGTGTTTACAGATATTACTTTGACATATAATTTACCTAATAAGAGCGCTAGTGTTAGTGAGCGGCGGCGCAGTGTTGCCTTCCCCGTCCTTGATCTTCATCATCATCATCATTTTCAGCCATAGGACGTCCACTGCTGAACATAGGCCTCCCCCAATGATTTCCACAATGGCCGATGGTGCTACCTTTATGATATCGTCGGTCCACCTTGTGGGTGGACGTCTTACACTGCGCTTTCCGGTACGAGGCTTCCACTTCAAAACCTTGCTGCCTCATCGGCCGTCAGTTCTGCGTACTATGTGCCCCGCCCATTGCCACTTCAGCTTGCTAATCCGTCGGGCTATGTCAGCGACTTTAGTTCGTTTACGGCCGGGCCGCATGGAAAGCATTGGGGGACGCCTATGTTCAGCAGTGGACGTCCTATGGCTGATATGATGATGATGAGGTGTTTACAGATATAGTTCCAAAATACTGAACTGTCCTATGCATGACATTGACAGTGGGGCGCCACCGTCAATACCGGATCGCTGGTTCTGATTTTTGCCATGTTGGAAACCATATAGTCGAACGATGGTAGCGCCCCCCTGTCATTGAGTTTGGTGGGACAGTTCAGCGTGGGTCATCTATATTACTTTGACACATAATTTACCTAATAAGAGCGCTAGTGTTAGTGAGTGGTGGAGCAGTATTGCCTTCCCCGTCCTTGCTCTCCTTGTCGGGCGCGTCCCACAGCAGCATGGCTTCTTGTTCCTTGGCGTCCAGGCTCGCGCTCGAGATGTCCTTGCTGATCTTCATCATCATCATTTTCAGCCATAGGACGTCCACTGCTGAACATAGGCCTCCGCCAATGATTTCCACAATGGCCGATGGTGCTACCTTTATGATATCGTCGGTCCACCTTGTGGGTGGACGTCCCACGCTGCGTTTTCCGGTACGCGGCCTCCACTCCAGAATCTTGCTGCCCCATCGGCCGTCAATTCTGCGTACTATGTACCCTGCCCATTGCCACTTCAGCTTGCTAATCCGTCGGGCTATGTCAGCGACTTTAGTTCGTTTACGGCCAGGCCGCATGGAAAGCATTGGGGGAGGCCTATGTTCAGCGTCGGACGTCCTATGGCTGATATGATGATGATGATGATGATGAGGTGTTTACAGATATTACTTTGACATATATTTTACCTAATAAGAGCGCTAGTGTTAGTGAGCGGCGGAGCAGTATTGCCTTCCCCGTCCTTGCTCTCCTTGTCGGGCGCGTCCCACAGCAGCATGGCTTCTTGTTCCTTGGCGTCCAGGCTTGCGCTCGAGATGTCCTCTTCATCTCCGACTACGCGTTCATCATCATCATTTCAGCCATAGGACGTCCACTGCTGAACATAGGCCCCCCCAATGATTTCGACAATGGCCGGTTGGTGGCGGCCTGCATCCATCGCCTTCCCGCTACCTTTACGAGGTCGTCGGTCCACCTTGTGGGTGGACGTCCCACGCTGCGTTTTCCGGTACGAGGCCTCCACTCCAGAACCTTGCTGCCTCATCAGCCGCCAGTTCTGCGTACTATGTACCCTGCCCATTGCCACTTCAGCTTGCTAATCCGTCGGGCTATGTCAGCGACTTTAGTTCGTTTACGGCCGGGCCGCATGGAAAGCATTGGGGGACGCCTATGTTCAGCAGTGGACGTCTTATGGCTGATATGAAGAGCTTGCTAGCTGAAGCTGAAAGATTAGCTGAATGATTTCGACAATGGCCGGTTGGTGGCGGCCTGCATCCAGCGCCTTCCCGCTACCTTTATGATGTCGTCGGTCCACCTTGTGGGTGGACGTCTTACACTGCGCTTTCCGGTACGCAGCCTCCACTTCAGAACCTTGCTGCCCCATCGGCAGCCAGTTCTGCGTACTATGTACCCAGCCCATTGCCACTTCGGCTTGTTAATCCGTTGGGCCATGTCAGCGACTTTAGTTCGTTTACGGCCGGGCCGCATGGAAAGTATGCCATGTTGGGGGACCGTATGAATGAGACACAGAAAGCATTGGGGGAGGCCTATGTTCAGCAGCGGACGTCCTATGGCTGTTATGATGATGATGATAAGGTGTTTACAGATATTACTTTGACACATATTTTACCTTATAAGAGCGCTGGTATTAGTGAGCGGCGGAGCAGTGTTGCCTTCCCCGTCCTTGCTCTCCTTGTCGGGCGCGTCCCACAGCAGCATGGCTTCTTGTTCCTTGGCGTCCAGGCTCGCGCTCGAGATGTCCTTGCTGATCTTCATCATCATCATCATTTCAGCCATAGGACGTCCACTGCTGAACATAGGCCTCCGCCAACGATTTCGACAATGGCCGGTTGGTGGCGGCCTGCATCCAGCGCCTTCCCGCTACCTTTATGAGGTCGTCGGTCAACCTTGTGGGTGGACGTCCCACGCTGCGTTTTCTGGTACGCGGCCTTCACTCCAGAACTGCTGAACATAGGCGTCCCCCAATGGTCCCATGCGGCCCGGCCGTAAATGAACTAAAGTCGCTGACATAGCCCGACGGATTAGCAAGCTGAAGCTGAAGATTAGCTGAATGATTTCGACAATGGCCGGTTGGTGGCGGCCTGTATCCAGCGTCTTCCCGCTACCTTTATGATGTCGTCGGTCAACCTTGTGGGTGGACGTCTTACGCTGCGCTTTCCGGTACGAGGCCTCCACTCCAGAACCTTGCTGCCCCATCGGCCGTCAATTCTGCGTACTATGTGCCCCGCCCATTGCCACTTCAGCTTGCTAATCCGTCGGGCTATGTCAGCGACTTTAGTTCGTTTACGGCCGGGCCGCATGGAAAGCATTGGGGGAGGCCTATGTTCAGCAGTGGACGTCCTATGGCTGATATGATGATGATGATGAGGTGTTTACAGATATTACTTTGACACATATTTTACCTAATAAGAGCGCTAGTGTTAGTGAGCGGCGGCGCAGTGTTGCCTTCCCCGTCCTTGCTCTCCTTGTCGGGCGCGTCCCACAGCAGCATGGCTTCTTGTTCCTTGGCGTCCAGGCTCGCGCTCGAGATGTCTTTGCTGATCTTCATCTCTGAATACGCGTTCATTAGGTACTGGAAGGAAACATGATAGTACAGACAACAGCACATCTGTCATATTTTTGTTGTAAAATCGCCCCTATCACAATTACGTAAGATGCCTCAGTATTTAACTTGACGTGTCGTCGTGTGTAGTACACACACTGTGTACAGAGAAGTTTTGCATAATCGATTGTTGTAAATCATAAATGTATCGATTATTAATCGATAGTTTAATGTTTATTTAAATAGAGCTCAAAATAACCAATAGGCTAGTTTCCTAAAAAAATTTTTTTAGTCCGTAATGTTTAATATCAAAAAATATTGGACACATATATTTTTATTTGTCAATCTAACAAATAATTACATAGTTATGGTGCGTTGAAGTTCCGCACGACGTCACAACGTGCGGAACTTTTATGCACGCATTAACGTCACGGGCCTCTTCTTATGAACTTTGGCGCGCTTTATCTCTTTAAATTTTCATTAGTTTGAAAAAGTGAAAAATACGTGTAGAGTATTTTTTGATAAGTTAACTGACGGACTAATTAAAACTCTTGCTTTTTGACCCAGGAAACATCCCTATTATACCAATTTCTTTATCGTTAAATTACGAGTGCTGGAGTATACTCTATTGAGTATTAGAACGTTTTCACGACTTTACACGACAAAATTATGTCTGTAACTTACACTCATATGAGTCTGCGTGTCCTCATGCAGATGCGTGTTCATATCATCTTGGCTGGCGAACGTCTCGCGGCAACCGACGGCTTGGAAAGAGCACGGCACGCGCGCCTCCTTCTGCGCAGATGTCTCTGGCTGATTGAACTCGCAAGACGCAATGTGACTGTCCAGGTCTAGTGGCGTTACCTTCAGCTTGCAGCCTGAGAATTATTAAAATATTTATTTAACGTAAAAAATAGCCCATGGCTTGGAATGAGCATGGCACGCCCGCCTCTTTCTGCGCAGATGTCTCTGGCTGATTGAACTCGCAAGACGCAATGTGACTGTCCAGGTCTAGAGGCGTTACCTTCAGCTTGCAGCCTGAGAATTATTAAAATATTTATTTAACGTAAAAAATAGCCCATGGCTTGGAATGAGCATGGCACGCCCGCCTCTTTCTGCGCAGATGTCTCTGGCTGATTGAACTCGCAAGACGCAATGTGACTGTCCAGGTCTAGTGGCGTTACCTTCAGCTTGCAGCCTGGGAATGGTAGAGAAAAGCTTTATTTAACATAAAAAATAGCCCATGGCTTGGAACGAGCATGGCACGCGCGCCTCCTTCTGTAAATATGTTTCTGGCTGGTTGAACTGTGATGTGACCATCTAGGTCTAGAGGCGATACCTTTAGCTTGGGAATGGTTGAAGTATATAGAAGAGCTTTGCACCCAAGAATACTAACGAAAGAATGAAAGTAAGAAAGAAAGAAAGAAAGACACATTTATTACAATGGACATCACACAAATACAGGCAATTACATAGACATGACAGTGGCACATAATAAAGGAACAAGAAAAAAAAAGTAAAAACAAGAGTAAACTGAGCAGTGCCACCCACTCACCAACAAGATGCCCACTGCAACGGGACCCCACTCATATGCCGTGGCCCACGGTGACGAAGGCCACGGCGCTGGTTTTCAGTGTGCCCCATGCCGAGTGAGGGTCACGGACCATTGGTAAAATAAGCAAAATAGTAAGCTGCATAATATTTTCTAAACATACATAAATAGTAATATTAGTGCACAGATAAATACAAAAGGCGGGAAATCGGTAAATCGGCGAAAGTAGAGAGGTTGTTGTGGTATATTAACAGCAACTGATGAATGCTGAAGCAGTAGGTTTTATTAGGGTGGCGCCACTGTACAGCATTCTAACAGTGTTACATACTCCGGTCACTCACCTGTGGCACCAACAAGTGAGTGCAAAAAGGTTAAAAAAAAAACACATTTTACCTTTGTCAGCAAATGGACAGGACATCCTCTGCTCCTGTATTTCACGCTTGGTGTAGTTGTCTGGGAAGATGTCTACCTTCATACTGAGGTTTATATTGTCTATGGGGCAGTGTCCACTGTTTCTGCAACACAAATGATAACCCTTGATTTAGGCTTGGTAGTATAGCAGTAGGAATAATTTTAAATGAAGTATGTTTATGGTAAAAGGCCAATAGCAGTCATTTTCATATAAGTTTTTGTACAGGTGAAGGCATTCACTCACATACATATATTTTATTGCATCTACCGCACCAAAATTGGAGAACAATGTGTTAGAGTCATAATATGTGACTCATAAAATAATATTGTCATACTCATGATTTATTGTTTCAATATGAGACATAATTCTCATGATTAAAAATTTTACTATCTAAGATTTTAAACTTTCGCGTTCCATTTCAACTTAAATAGAAAGATCGGTCTTAAGATAGGTGACGTTTATTAATGAGTTACATTATGTACTCATGGCTTGACGTTTCGGCTGCTATGCTGTATGTTAAGACCTGTGTCTTTCCTTTTTTTAATTTTACTATTGTCATGTGTTGCACTTCCTGTTTTATTGAGATTATTTAAATATAATTTTATGAATCCCTTATTATTCACATTTAACATTATAAATTAATCTTCTATTTCTTAACTTTATAACTTACTGTAGCCAAGAAGTGATGCAGCTTTTACAAAACTTGTGCCCACAAGTGGTGATCACAGGATCTCGGAGCCAGTTCAGGCACACCGGGCACTCATACCGGGACTCGGGCTGGTTGCTGAGCACTGTCTCAGTGAGTGCTGTGATGCCCATAGGCTGAAAATATTTTTTAAAGATAGATGTAAGTACTAAAGCTACAATAAAATATTTTATGTTCACTATTTACATGAAATTTTAAGTAATGGAAGCAATAAATGAGGAGGAGTAGGGCATTTATTGAGTATTAATTTAATTAAAATACTACGTAAAGGCAAAGTACTAATGAATGGAAACCACTTTTCTCAAAATGGTCATGGTAGAAAACATGATTTTGCCACCAAACTTATGCAGAAAAACAAACTTACAGCAATCCCTTCAGATGCATTTTTGGTTCGACTTCGATCCATGTTATGTTTATAATACAATTTAGAGCAAAAACCTTAGAATTAATCTAAGGCAAAAACTAACTAAACACTTGCTAAATTAAATGCAAATTAATGAATGAACAATTACGTTTTTTTCCTTAATTATTGTCATTTTTCTTAACTTTATCTAAAATGGCCCGTAGTTTGTATAAAATTATCTTCCTAACAATGACGAGAAGAGCAGTTTTATGAAATTTTGCAAAAATAGGATGGAACTTAGCCACGATGACACAATCAGCAAGCTGTCAATGTCAAACATTGACAATATCTTTTTTCTAAGGTGAACGCACTGAGTGTAGGCCCTATACAGCCTATATTGTAGTTAAAAAAATATACTCAATACTCAATACTCAATAAGTTTATTGCTTCCTTAATAGTACATTTAGGTGTTACATAGTTATATTTGGAGATCATTAAGGACCCTGTTGGGCGCTGCAAACTAAAAATGTATAAGAGAGGAGGCTTCTTTTTATCATAGATAGAAAATTATAGTTTAGGTACATCGCTAATGAATTTTATCGTCTAAATATTCTTTTATGGTGTAATAGCATTTCGTAGTTAGTAGCTTTTTTAGTCCTGTTATGAATTTACTATTATTATTTTCTTTTAATAAATGATCGGGCAATTTGTTATATATTTTTATGGCCATATTGTATGTGCTTGAAGAAGATAAATTTAGGCGGATGGTTGGTATTTTTAATTTATTTTTATTTCTCAAATTATATTGTGGACATGATTCTTCGCGTTTGGTAAAAAACTCAAAGTGGGAGCGGACAAATTTACAAATATTTAAAATGTAGATACAAGGCAAGGGTAGAATTTTGTACTTTTGAAAATAAGGTTTACAACTGTCTTTGGGCTTGATATTTGCTAATATACGGATTAGTTTTTTTTGCTTTATAAATAACGATCGAACATCTGTGCTATTTCCCCATAAAATAACCCCGTAACTTAGCCAAGCGTAACCGTATGCGTAATAAGTTACAAGTGCAGTTTCTAAATCTGTTGTCTTCTTAACCTCTCGGAGAGCGTACGCGAAGCTTGATAATTTGGACTTAATTTTTTGTATGTGTGTCTTCCAATGCAAATGTGTATCTATAGTTAAACCGAGTAGACTAAAATCTTTCACTTGTTCCATATTAATGTTATTAAAATTATAGTTTAGAGTAAGTGGTGTCTTTTGATGTGGGTTAAAGGTCATTAGTTTCGTTTTTTCAAAATTGATTTCTAGATTATGTGCTCTCATCCAATTTGATATTTTAATAAATAATTTATCTAATTCATCTTTTATATTAATGTTATTTCGGCAAGTCGTTAATATAGAAATATCATCTGCAAACAGAACGCACGGCTCCTCCATGATCTTGGGGAGGTCGTTAATGTAGATCAAAAATAAGAGACACCCTACTACACTGCCTTGCGGTATTGATGCATTAACTGTTTTTTTATCAGATCGGACTTTTAAAATTTGTTGGGTTTCATTATCAAACTGTTCTATTTCGACATACTGTTCCCTATCTTTTAAATATGATTTGAACCATGAGTGTGCTGAACCGCGAATGCCAATTTCGTATAGTTTAGATAGTAGTATATTATGTTGCACTCGGTCATATGCTTTGGTCATATCGAGTAGGATTCCTACGCCGTATTGTTTTGCATCTAAGGTTTTGACTATTTCTTGGGTATATTTATACACTGCCAGTGTTGTAGAGCGGTTTTTGCGGAAACCGTTTTGGCTATTGTCAAATATATCGTATTTTTCGCAAAATTTTGTAACTCTATCACAGATCGCTTTTTCAAATATCTTTGAGCATGTGGGCAAATATATTTTTTTTGTATTATATCAATGAATTAATGGACGCTATTAATATAAGTACAGGCTGGGAAAATAATACTCGGTAGCAAAAATGTGTAGTACTGTATTCTGTGGTAGTACAGACAGAGTAGAATTCTGCCGGAAATCGGAATGGCAATGGAACCCACTGCGTGCAGAGCGATACCACTAGGTACAGTCGCCAACAGACCTTACATCTTCTAAAGAAGAGCAATTAGGAGAAAAATAGTTAACTACGAGGGNTTTTAACCCTACAGTGGTCGCGCGGATTACACCCGTAATCCACTCGTGCAAATTCTCGAATATTTTGAAATCGATCAACGCGATCGTTTTGATACTTCGTGTACTTTAAGTTGCATAGTCGAAGATCACACTTAATGACGTGTGAGCGTCAGGTCTCTAGTGTATGTGTCGCAGGAGCCCCGTAAAGACCGATGGCCTACCCGTGTAATCCGCGCGACCAATTACGTAAGTATTTTTTGAGTTACCTTTTTTACTTAATGTGTTTGTTTTTGCATTTTTCGTGTAAATTAATGCTTTATAATAAATAATTACGGCATAGGTATGTATTTACATTTGTGTTTTCAATAAAATCATGAACAATAGACAAAAAGCACAAATTGCAGAATGGCTAGAAGTAATTGACAATGAAAGCGTATCTTCTGGCGACTCTTCGGTTTCTGATGAAGAAGTGCACATTCTTCCACAAGAGATTAAGTTTCTCAGAGCAGTGATTAGCCATCTAACTCAGAACCATCACAGCGGAGATTTTTAGGTCGCTACTTTGACTGCGGAAGAAAGCGAAATCAAAGAAATTTCCAGTAGGAAATACTTGTAATTCGTGCAACAAATTTATTTGTCCTTATCATTCCATTATGGCCTGTATCTCCTGTTCAAAATATAATTAATAAATAAGTGCAATTAGTACTGAATAACTTTTAAACTGCCAAAGTTGACATTTTCTTGACGAAAAATGATGAATTTTATGTTTTGGTTAATTTATAAAAACTGAGAAGAACTGTTCGTTTGTTTGTTTGATTATTCATTAACTAATATATAACAATAAATATAAAAAATAAAGAAACATGTTTTTATAAAGAGATGTCTTCTTTTTTTACTCCATAAAATGGCTTACGCATGTAATCCGCGCGACCACTAACGTAATATTTTAGAGCGCGACCACCGTAGGGTTAATAAATAATTTATCTAATTCATCTTTTATATTAATGTTATTTCGGCAAGTCGTTAATATAGAAATATCATCTGCAAACAGAACGCACGGCTCCTCCATGATCTTGGGGAGGTCGTTAATGTAGATCAAAAATAAGAGACACCCTACTACACTGCCTTGCGGTATTGATGCATTAACTGTTTTTTTATCAGATCGGACTTTTAAAATTTGTTGGGTTTCATTATCAAACTGTTCTATTTCGACATACTGTTCCCTATCTTTTAAATATGATTTGAACCATGAGTGTGCTGAACCGCGAATGCCAATTTAGTATAGTTTAGATAGTAGTATATTATGTTGCACTCGGTCATATGCTTTGGTCATATCGAGTAGGATTCCTACGCCGTATTGTTTTGCATCTAAGGTTTTGACTATTTCTTGGGTATATTTATACACTGCCAGTGTTGTAGAGCGGTTTTTGCGGAAACCGTTTTGGCTATTGTCAAATATATCGTATTTTTCGCAAAATTTTGTAACTCTATCACAGATCGCTTTTTCAAATATCTTTGAGCATGTGGGCAAAAGGGCTATTGGACGGTAATTTGACGGATTTGTTTTTTCATTTTTTTTGTAAATTGGTTTGATAATTGTTTTTTTAAGTAATGATGGGAAAGTACCTTAAACCAGCGATAAATTGTGGTTTTGGATGGGGCTTCATTACCAAATGCAGAAATCATCCGGTCAACACACTGTTTTTGTGTTAAACCACTTCAAAAGTCATAATAAATCATCGCTCTTGAATTTTCTCGAGTCAATTCCATTTTCTCAACGACTAAACAAGTTTGACAAGACCTTGTGATACGACCGAGAATCTTTTTTAAAATAAATAAATGGTATATGATTTTTAAAACCCTGGAGTTTGCAATTAAATAGATTTTAATATGACTGGAACAGTGGAAATATTACATTCCCGATACTTTTAGTGCAGCCCTCGTATTAAACAATAAACTTAAACTAAAGGTTGGCGGTGGACTATCTTCTCTCGCTGAAATTGAAATGCAGATGCATTCGCATGTTGTAATCGTTTAGCACCCCGCGGCGTAAATGCTAATGGTTTTAAATGAACAGAATAAAAATAAATAATTGAGGCACTTACTTATCTCGGTCGAAGTCTCACTGACACGCCGCATTTATAATCGCTTTAATGCAGCGTGATAGAGTTTAAATTAGATTGTATTGTGCATTACAAAGGGAAGCAATGAATGTGTTACATGTTAGTCACGACTATCAAAATCTCCATAGGTCGTGTTAAGCAATGTCAAAGCATAACGGACTTGGAGGCGGTTACATAAGTCTTTTCTTGTCTCCATTTTATAATTCCGTCGGATCACGGTTGCGCCCGCGTCTCGTGCCAACGAATTGTGTCAGCATTGATTCATAAGCGAAATCCTTTGTCGCCATTGCGAATCACATACAAATGTCCTGCCATTTATAATGATCGTTGTCTTTGTGTGACATCACACCGAAAGCGATCAACGAAAATCGATGTGCTAATGAATTCATGGAATTTCCTTTGTCTTAATCGTGGGTAGGTAGAGAAATCGTGAAGTTAAACCATTGTCAAATGTTAATATTGGCAAACCGAAACATTTGGGTCACCACAATGTTATGAGTCAGGTCAGAAGATCATCTAGAATCTAGTGGGTAGGTAGGTAGGTTTATGGTGCTCTACCAACATTGTGTTGTTTTTATCAAAACTTTGCTTCAGCCAGCAGCTTTTTGCTCGGGGGAATATTGGAGCAACAAGTGTTGAGTTTTTAAGCAGTCACACTTCACCTGCTGACAGTACAAGCAGGCCATAATAATATACACGTGATATTATGCGGGATTGCCTGGATAAGTATCTATGTGCGGCTCATTTATGTGTATTTTAATAACGCATGCCAGTCAAGTAGGCGACATAAGCGACACCGCGAGCTTAGCGTTGTGCTTTGTAGAGATACCATGTTTTTTGTAATAAACGAAGGTCGAAGTCTCATTTATTTAATTCAAATAACGCGACCTGTAGGCTAGTCTAGCCGCCCTCTACATTTGGATTTAAGGTTTTATAAATACTTTTGTTGTTTTTTGAGACATATTGTCATTTGTGGCTCCCCTAAAATATGCTCTCCAGCCTATTTAATCTAGTTGTAAACTGATTGGGAGTGATTCCTGCTTTATAAAGAAATAGAAACTAAACTGTGATTTTCATTCGTTAGCTTCAGCAGAGTAGAGATTACTTTTTAGGTAAAAAATGGTAATAAGTAGAGATGTTTGTCTCAGCTTATCAAATAGTCAAGGTAACCTTCCAAAGTAGACACTTTATATTTTTCTTCCATAAACTCTATTACATTTTTACTACTAATTTACAATTCAAAGTTAAACCAGCTTTTTACGTAAGTTTAATGTTAATCGTGAGATTCCTGAGAATTATGTAATGAAGGCCCTTCAACTAGGTATTTAGGTGCTATGGGATTGTTATGGATATTTTATTCATAAACTATTGTAAATTATTAAAAACGTTAGTTCCGCTAGTTCAAAAGAAACGTAAACGTGCGTAAACAAATTAAATGACAGCATCTTGTGTTTATTTTTTTTTTGGAATCTATCATCAATCTAATTCCGTTTTTCACTAAAACTATGGATTGATTAATATAATATCATTAGGTGATCCGTCTGCTCGTTTGCCTCCTGTCACATAAAAAAAAAATATCTAAAGCTGCATTATTTTTAATACACATTATGCATATTCGGTTTCTTTTGTCCCAAATCACTGGATAAATGAACGATGAGACTACCTCTGAGTTTCTTTTGTGAGTGGTCACTTACGTGTACTAAGTACTAACTCCTAAAATAATAAACACCACCTTGTTATAAAAAGCCAGTTTGATAGGTCAGACTAAATAGGTTATTAATTACCTACTTAGTTTGCTAAGATCCAGTTAAAAGTCTTTAGCTAAGTAGCGCGACAATCAACAGTTGTAACGATAATTGTTGCTTTCCGATTGAGCCCGGGAAAAGCCGCCATTTCCTCGCAATCCATTTGGTTCCAATCTAAATACATTTACTACCTTTAATAGGTTGTAGTTGTGTTTAATTAACTGTAATGATTCTATTAGTCATAAATAGATCTCTTATTTATTTTAAAGTATGTAAGTGGGTCTTTCAAATCTTCTATCAATGTGTTTCTGAGGCGCTCAAAGACGTCGATGAACCCTTACGTATACTGTTATGTACGCAATATTAGTACACATTTACCTTTTATCGTTGAAGCTGACACATTAATTACCAACCATTTTTAACCGACATAAAAAAAAGGAGGAGATTCTCATATAGGTAACTTAAATTAGTTTTAACTGTTGCTCTATCCCTTATATACCTTGCCAATTAAAGAAATACGTAAGGTAATTAATTTTTACCCGACTGCTCCAGACGAAGGTTTATGTTTTGTTCGGAACTTTTTAGAGCCTTTTCAGGAATTGAACTCAGGTTTCACGTATTCCTTTATTTTATAGCATCGTTAGCATTTTTTAAAAGCTTCAACTTGACCATAAAGCTTTTTCATGGAACAACATTATTAATGGCGCTGTAAAAACGTAGGCAGAGCCACTTACCTGGGCAAATACAACTAGACCAGCCCGGCAGCAGTTTTTACGAGCAGCCGGTCGATCAACCTTAACGGGACTGCAGCATGGACGGTGGCTGTCTTGGCCAGGGGACCATATGCACATAAAATACTATACTCAACCGAACTAAATAAATAAGAATAACAACTAGCAAATGCTACAACCATGCGGCCATGATATGTTTTTTGTTGTAAGCAGCCAAGTAACCAAAGTTTTACAGAGTTAGTCTAATTAAGATGTTAGAAGATATTTATTATACACATATTAATGTATACATATTTTCAATAATTATGTAATACCAATTGTGGAAAATATAAATAAAAACTTTAATGAACCGCCAAACAACTCAAATGCTCTATTAGTTAGATATTGTTTCCAAATCGTCATATTAGGAAACTTTTTAACTTGACTCAGTTCTATGAAACAGTTAACAATTTCTAAAACACACTAACACAAATACGATTATTACTACTTACTCTTGAGCAATAATATGACAATGTTAACTCGACATTAAAAACTGGTAATACAAAAATGGTACGATTACAGGCCCCTGGAGTACGCCGCTTACATCACCGAGTAAACGTCTTGATAAGCATGGGAGCTGACGGTTATGGTGCCCGGCTTTTTGCCGTAACGGCAGCAGCTCATAAATAGATCAAGGATGGCCGATGCCAGCAAAAACTATGATGGGCCGATTGATTTAGTGTGTGCTGATGCTGACCATACTGTTATTTTAAGTATGGTAGAGTCGTGAAGGCTATATTATGGTAACTTTTATTGTTCATTTCAAATAGTGTACTTAGTATATTTTATAGCATAACTAAGCGTTGGAAAATATGTTTTTCTTTTTAAAATGCACCCTTCAACTACCGTCGTTTCATTTGTGACCTTTCTTATTTAACTATAATTTGATATGAATCATCGCAATACGTAAATATTAATTATGTATTTGAATACTATTAGCAAGAAACGTCCATGATCTACTTAGCCTAAGCTAAGTAAATAAAAAAGTAAATTAACTTTTGGTAGAGTCGGTTATCTTTGTTTTAATTAAATGGTTATAATTCTCAAAGAATTTGTTTACCTAATTATTACTGTGACTTAATACAAAAAGCTATTGTATTGTTTATAAGTTAACATAATACTCGTACCCTCTATGAATCTTCTTGAAATAAATTCTTGAATTCTGGAGTTTTTTTACAAGCTTTATATTGACTTCACTTGTTAGTATGTGTGGGACAAATCTTGCAACTGAATTTAAGACCACTTCTCCTCAACCGATTGAGCTGAAATTTGGTATACTTATGTAATTACGATGACAATGCAATGTTATGGTACCATTGAGCTGGTCTGATGATGGAGTCAGGAGGTGGCCATAGGAACTCCTAAACGAAACAGCGGAAACTTATTGAGTTTGGGTTCGTTGGATTTGACTTCCCGAGCACTTTGGTGCTAAATAATGACCAGAGCCCAGAGATTGAGATACAACTAAAAAGTGTAAAATAAAATTATAATAAAAATAACTTTTATAAAAACAAGCTTTATTTCGAAAGCTTGTAGCGCAAATAGAAAAAAAGAGGAATAAATTCCATTCGCGATACAAGCTTTCGAAATAAAGCTTGTTTTTATAAAAGTTATTTTTTTTTATTATAATTTTTTAGACTTTAGTCGATACTACGCTTCCACGCAATCTATGCACATGTCGTGTCAGCTTTTATTTAAGGCTACACTATAAACATGTATTGATTTCAATGTTCCTTTCCATACGTCTTGTTAGCTGTCCGTCTCTAATAAACATACCAATATGTTTGTCTTTGAGCCTAATACGAGTAATATCAAACAATTACAAACAGAAGAATTCCCACATCATAGAACGCCATAAATTTTCCCCAAAAGTGTTCAGAGCCCAAATACCTATCTGTAAACGAAGTTTCTTCAACATTTTCAGAAGGCACGCAGCGTGTTACAGTTTGTAAGTAAAATGTGTGAAATGTTACGAGTTGGAACTCGTGAGCAGTGACCCTTACCCGGACCGCGATAAATCATAATCGAGGTGTTGCTCTGACACTTTACACTGTAGGAACTACACTTTTACAAGACTTGCGAGGAAGCCTTTGGAACTGGGGTCGGGCGCCATCATGATGTGATGCAACCGTTGATGGATGATTGTTTGGTACTGCATGTCATTGTTGCATCTGCAACGCGAGGATTACCATTTCCGGGTTATCTATACAATCCACATTGTATAGATTCAAGTTTACATTTAAACAAAACTTAGGTATTTATTAAAGTCTAAGTAGCTCAGGTGGAAGAGCAGTTCGCCTGGCAAGCGAAAGGTCTTGGGTTCAATTTCTGCCTTAGGCTGGTCGATTTTTACAAGCTATTTATAAAACTTAGGTACTATTACGATGAACTGAAGGTATTTATTTAGTAAAATTACATACTTTTACCATAAGACGCACTGAAAATGACATCCAAGAGGGTGTAGAGCTGGTTGAATTTTCCCAAAAGGATGATAAAGCCATAAACTTATGATAATTCAAATGCAAAATAAATGTATCGAAATCTGTTAATACACTGAACCGTAAAGAAAAAGGGTCCTTGACCTAGCTTTACGAGACAAAATGTACTGGAAAAACTACGCATTATTATTTGCTCTACATTTATTAAAAACAGCTTGAATCAATTTAGTCTTTATTTCATAATGCTAACTTTTGAAGATATTGAAGATTTTCTAACCGACCAATTTTTCCCAGTATTTTTCAGACGAGACAAACGACGCATCTTCTTTAATTAAGCATTAAAGCGCTCAAATTGGGGTACATTTTCCAAATTCTCCGAAATCAAGCTGTCAATATTATCTCAATTAAATTACAGGGGCGTGCTAAACCGAAGTTTTATCATAATACAATAACTAGCTGCTCAATCTGCCGCAGGAGCCTGGCAAAGAGCCTCCTCGCCCAGTGCAGTCGCGAGCCAGGCGGGCGGCACACGCGTCGACCGCCGCGTGTTCAGTAAACACGGGACTTGTTGTGACAGGTGTGTTTGTGGAGGCCTGAGACCTTAGTTTTTTATCCATTTTTAAATAAAGGGTTCTGGGGATCTTTCAAACAAGTGATTTAGGACAGTTTACAGACGTGAAGATTTTTGGTAGAGTCAAGTTTTGTCAATGAAAATTTACACGAGCTTACGCTAAAATATAGGGTCAAAGCTTCTTTTCATACCGGCCTTTTAAATTAACCGTTGTGTAATTAATTAAAAAGGAAGAGGCTTTTTATCATTTAATTTTTTCTTTAGGCATATTCTATACTTAATTGGCCTGAAATAATTTGTACTTATTAATAATTGGTACAAACGGAAAATTTTCAGTCTAATTAAATAATGAGTAGTTTTTGCTTTAAGCGCATTAAAAAACATTTCTTTAATTAAAATGCCTAAGAAGTATAACCATTTTTTTATTAGTTTCAATTAGGAAATACATAACACTGATTTCCTCAGAAAACAACTGAATATTTACAGAAATAAGTAAGTAGATATATCATGTCTTTCACAAGCATTTATCTATAGGTACTAATATTATAAAGCTGAAGAGTTTGTTTGTTTGTTTGTTTACTTGAACGCGCTAATCTCCGGAACTATTGGTCCGATTTGAAAAATTCTTTCAGTGTTAGATAGCCCATTTATCGAGGAAGGCTATAGGCTACACAACGCTACGATCAATAGCAGCAGAACAATAATGAAAAATGTTGCGAAAACGGGTTATCATGCGTACGAAGTCGCGGGCACAGCTAGGAAATAATATAACGAGCGCTAACAATCACACATTAACCGTTTACTTTAAAAATTAACGCATCTTTCAAAAGACTCATCCGTCTTCCGTGTTATTTTCCCCACCGGGTCCCACAGCCCCCGGTGACATTACTCGCGGAGCATCTTCGGGTTACGAAACGCAAATGTGTCCAAGTTACATAAATAGACACTGGTATTTGCAAATAAAGAGATTCAGCAGTTTGATAAATAGTTAGGTACTCAATGATAAATCGAACATTTGATTTCATACAATCATGACGTTTCCTCATTCATTATGCTTCCATGTAGGTCAGTGCATCATGTACTTATTCCAAAATGTAGCACACACCTAATTGGTTTTTTCAAAAACTCACATAATAAAACGGCATAACTGAAGCGTAAAAACCTGTAAAAACTCAACAATTAATTTAGTTTCTCATAGCTTTTGTAGGTCGAGTAGAACCGTAAATTAATACTGTTCCAATACATATGTGTATTTAACTGTTCTAACAGTAAACAATCGTCTTCAGCTTCAGCGAACGTTACATCAAGGTTGGCCGAATACCGCCGGCGCCGAAGATGCGATCTTTTGCAATGAGCTATTATTTAATCTTCACCTTTACAAAGCAAAAAATCTTGCGGAAGATGACCACGAGGCATTGTCTGTGTATTACTTTTTGTTTAAGTTACCTACTTAAGAAGCTGTATTGTTATTTACCACTGTATTTAACTACCTTCTTATTCATAAAAAGTTAGAGCTATTAAATGCTCTGTTATTTTCAGTTAGATGATTATTCTGCTGCCATATAAAGAAGCAATACAGTAATTAGTGTTTTTGTTAAAACAGTGTTATATGACTGTTATAGTTATAAATAGAAGAGTTAAAGTTTATTTTGTCTGTATTTTTGCACATTTTAAAGACACGGTGTCATCAATGTGGACCATTAATGTTACGGAGTGTTTTAGTAAGGACGCAAGTTAGCTAGTTTTAGTAGCAGTTTTAATTTCCCAAATGCAATTAATGTTGAAGCCTTTAGCAACAAGAGTGTAGAAACACCGTACAAAACAGTACGTCATTCCGCTTTTTATGCCCCCTTTAAGTGGCTTAAGTAAACTCTAGATGTAATTGCCGCTGCTAAAAAGCATGTAGTTCTCATTACTAGTTCTTGCGACAGGAGCGATTATATCGTTAGCGTCACTGTAACACACCGATATTGTCACATGCTGCTTTTTCTGGAAATATTGCAGATTCATGGTGACGACATGGGACTTACAAGTGGTGTTTTCGGACATACTATTCACGATATCAACACCGCACCGTGTAATACGCGATTTAGTTAGATTATCACTTGTTTTATATTAGACACTGAAATGACACAACTCAGTGAAACAGGTTTTCATAGATATTTTTAGCATTGATGTAGGTACTTAGTGGCTCATGAAAATTATAGGTACACTACAAGGTCCATCTTTTTCTGGCCTATAAAGTGGTTTACTCTATTATAAAGTTACACCTATAAGGAATATAAAATGCCTTGACTGAAACATTTTATGATAAGTAATATTTTACAAATACAGAAAAGTAATAGAAATACTCATGATTAGTATCGTAGTAGCTACGATTAGCTATAACCTGATTTGGTTTGGCTCTACATTATGTCGATGCAAAGACTTCCTAGATCAGATATGGCAATTGGCAACTGTGGCAACACAAGAAAGACCAAGTTGCGTTGCGCGTGCGTGATCAAGTAAAAAGCCAGTTGCTTCATAACCGCTGTCAATTGATTGGCACTGAGAACGGAATATTAATCAAGCCTAGAACAGTATCGCTTCTTGCGATACAATTAGCATATTCAGTTGCAGAATCAGCGCACTAAGGGAAATGCTTGGTTTAAACTTTAATAGAGTATGGTGCGCTCGCGCAGAGATGAGGGTGACCATCGTTCAAGGAAGATTTTCAAGGATTAGTAAACTTATAGTTACTACTGTTGAGCGTGCAATATTTTCCCAATCCACATTTTTTTTTAATTATATTTTTTTATAATGTTACTTTACTAATTTACTTATCGCTTGATTATCTTTTAATATCAGTGAAATTGTGTGGTAATAAAATAAACTTTAAAGTTTGTCACACGCTTAAAAATCCAGCAATATCCATTCATTGAAATTGTAATTTCTACCACCATGTTTTATGCAAATAAAATTATTTGACTTGATTGTTGAACTTGGATATAATTTCATATTTGGGTCACCAGTGCAGGTGCCCAAGTAAAGCGTAATCTTATTAATGTATAATTCAAATAGAGCGATTTGAATCCTGCGGTGCGGTTGCCCCACATCGCTGCTTGCTCTGCTTCGGCTAACGGTTGACGTAACAGCATCTACCGTCCGTTCTTTGCTTTTTCTTGTGCTAACAAATACTGTTTCTATTGAATGCTGTAATATTTTTTCGGTTACCATGCAGAATTGTATTAATAATTATGATTCCGAGGAAAAATAGAACTCAAGGCACACGAAGCGCACATAGTGATGTGTGTTATCTGTTGTATGACTACTCTTTAGAGTACTAAAGACTAGTTTGTAATATAGGATACTAGCTTTCCGCCCGCGGCTTCGCCCGCGTGGAATTTTGTCTGTCACAGAAAAACTTTATCGCGCGCGTCCCTGTTTCAAAAACCGGGATAAAAACTATCCTATGTTCTTTCCCGGGACTCAAACTTTCTCTATGCCAAATTTCATCAAAATCGGTTGCGAGGTTTAAGCGGGAAAGCGTAACAGACAGACAGACAGACAGACAGAGTTACTTTCGCATTTATAATATTATATAGTTGGGATTATTAACGACATCAGTATACCTAAGCAGAGGTCATAAATCATGTCATCTATTTACAACATTTCATTATCTCATCTAAATAGATCTCTGTAAAAAGAACAAATTACTTAATATAAATAACATGGTTGCTTTATTTAAATAAATAAATAAATAACGTTACAGATAAAATATTGGCTATAAGACTATACCACAAAGTTCAGATAAAATCTAATCTAACGTTTGTGTTGTGAATAACGGATGACTATTACACAATAGGTGTCCTATTGTCTTAAATACTCCAGCGTTGCTTTTACTGTCTTGCACTAACTTTATGGTAGAGTCTTATAGCCAATATTTTATCTGTAACGTTATTTACGATCGAATTTGCCTGAATCTGTCTCTATTTTCGCAATCCTATCGCGTAGCTTGCGACCATTTCACAAATCTTGCTGTCCAGCGTAACGCCGTTGTAAGTACACGGTAGGCCCAGTTATACTTCCTTGATTACGAGTATGTCACATGGTGATTTTACAAGAATGTTATTATGTTTTCTGTCATCTGTCTCCTGCTTTGTAAAGGATGGAAGTCCATGATATACTTTGAACTCTTTCTATATTCTTCTGGACAAATTAGTACTTTTTACTGTTTCATGGTGTATACTTTTTTTTATCCAAAACGAGGAAGTTCTTGGCCTGTATCTCACCTGATGGTAAGTGACGATCAGGCCAAAGGAGGAAGCGAGCTTCACCCGGAATCCTTAACCACGGAGGAACTGGCTATCTTACCTCTAACTGCCGGAACACAACAATGCTGTTAACATTGTTGTTATGGCGGCAGACTTAGGTAAGATGGTGGTAGCTAGCCAGGCGGACTTAGAACAAGCCCTACCCCCAACCAAACCGAACAGAAATATCTGCCCCCACTGGGAATCAAACCCGAGACCTCTGTGTCTGAAGCAGGTGGTCTTACCACTAGACCACAGTGGCGGTTAAATAGAGGTGGGATTAGTCACGTAATGCAATACGTCATGTGAGGTGATTCTCCATAATGTTATGAGGGAAATAAGCTTATCTTAATTGACTCGAGTGTAGAGTGTCTAAGGTTGCAGATGATATTAGATTAATTAAATACAAGAAGACTTATTTAAGTTCCGTCATTGCGACGCGGCAGCGTCTTGTTACAACTTGACATCCTAGATGAAGAGCTATTAGGCGGCTCTAATGAAACATACTTAAAGAAGGTACAAGTAGGCATCACGGGCAACGCTCTACCTTGAACCTGTTAGGTGAGGTAGAGATTAGTTTGATGAAATGTTCTGTTTAGATTGGGGCTAGATATTTTTGGTGATCGTCTCTGGTGAGCTGTGTTAAAGTACAAAATAAAGCAGTGCGTAGGAAATAATAGTCTTTCTGTTTGAGCGTCGTAACGTTGGCACTTATGTTCAGTTCTTTTCAAAGTTTATATTCTTTGTCTAATGTGCGCGTGGGCCTTTTGTTTCTGAGTCTATTAGCTTACCCTCACGTAACCCTCCAAACAACTGGGTTACAATAGCGCGGTTTCGACACCGCGGCTAGATCAAACGGTACTTCGCCGTTACTTCTTACATTACCACAATTACCGTGACCATCCGCTGTGTAATCTGAGCTGGCTCTTGAACTTGAGGTAATTTTGTCTATGATCATGTTGAGGTATCTAAGAGGTAGTCTTGGAGTCGGATTCTGAAACCATTCAGTTTTGATTCACGAACGATGTTGCACAAATTGAGACGAGTTACAATACAATCTTGTACAATTTATGTGGATTCGCAATACGAATTCGAATGGTTTAAAATACGTCTCTTTGTAATTGTATTGTATGTGGGTTGAAACACAAGTTTGGTGATTTCAATGAGCCATACTTTGGAAAGTGAATGAGCTCAATATCCGAAGTAAAACACTTTTACAATGCGATAATGTGGAAATTGCCAAAAAATTGCATTGTTTTATTAACACTAAAGATGATAGTAAAAGTTACGAGTTGTACGCATTTCAATTTTGACTCGGATACTTTGTTTACTTGACAATTTAGTCACTGTGGCATGGTCTTAGAAGTTCGTCATTCGGTCATCTCCATATTTGCGAAAGTTTGTCTGTTCGTTGTTATCAAATTGAATTAGATCATTAATACCAGTTTAGTCGTGAATGAAGAGTGTGGATCGGTTGGAACATAATAAAAATTATAATAGCGAGGAAGTTGCGCGTGACCCACCGTGTAAGTTATGCGATGCGCGATCAACCAAATTGGTTATTCATGAATGTGAAACAGACGTGATCCAGAACTGACGTGAATTCTGAGTAGAGGATAAGTCAAAAGACGCTGTGTAATTTTGAATTTAAATTCACTTTTTTTGTTTCATAATGGAAAGCATATTAAGATTCATATCATCAGTCCTCAATTTTTTAAAATTACGTGTTTAAAAAGTTTTTTCCACGTCTCAATATAATTTTAGCTTACTGTAACATCGCAAGAATAATGTGGGCCGATATTACTTCATCAGCGTACTGAGACAATTTGTGAACAAAAACAGTGAGCAACTAAGACAGTGATTCGTGAGTAATGAACCTAGTGAACTGAAAGGTTTGTAACCAAAAACAAGAGAAGAAAAAAAGTGCAGAAATCATGAAAAAAGTGTCTGGCCGCAAAAAATGTGACGTGTGAACTATTTAAAAAGAAATTGGACGTTAAACATGGCGCAGTGGGTCTGGTTGGCGGCGCTGCTGTGCGGCTCTCAAGCGGCGGTGCTGCCGCCACCCTGGGCGGACGTCAGGAGAAACCCGTGCGCTGCCCATCCAAGGGGCTGGCTCATGCTGTACTGGCCGACTGATGGCAAATGCTACACTATTTATAAGGTTGGTTTTTTATTTACTTACTAAGTTACTATCACATATCACAGGATCTCTATTTTCTGTCTTTTACTACTTAAGAATATTAAACTAGAAAGTTCAGTCACGATTTCAATCTTCACAGGATATCTAATTCAACTTCGATGTCTTGGTAATCAACGCAAATGAATACTTGATCAATTAAAAAGAAAATGACTTTCTTGCATGGCTTAGTTAAAGTTGGTTAAGATAAATTAACGTAAATAAGATTCATAATTCCTGTTTGTTTAGTAGGTTTATGATAGCCTTGCGTTATTTTTTCAATCATCAGAAATTAACGAAGATTTTTTTTTCAAGCAGCTTCCATTCTAATGAAAAAAAAAAGGATTTTATTTTGCAAATAAAACACAATATACTTAGCTGTAAAGTCTTTTGAAACTTTGTTTTTAGCAAATTAAGAAAAGTGATGGCACTTTTCTTAAAAAATGGTTTAAATTTACCCATGTAAAGAAAGCTGTTTCTTCTCCGCAATTTAAACGTTTTTTTTGGAAATGGACAGTTTTTATTTGGTGTGAAATAAAAAGTAGGTATTTTAAATTATCTTAATCGGTTTTGATTACGACTTCATTGACGTTATAACTAAAACCGTTTAAATGCCAATTCGTTTTAATTAAGTGTCAATTTAATAATTTTATTACTACAGTAACAGTCGATTTTCGTCATAAATCTTACATTAATCTCTTGCATTAAGAAGTATTGTAATGCGTGGGAGTGGGTCAGTGGGTGCAGAGCGATCGGTCATGGTCTTTCATAATTGCACTAAATGCAACGATACCCGTAACCGGTTAGACTTGTCAAAGCAGTTGCTCTATGTAGTTTTGGCACAGTTTAACACTTAATACCTAGGGTTTTGGGTTCAATGTCAGTAATCACTTTTACTTTACTGCGACGGACAGAATAAAGGATTATTTCACGAGTATTTTTTTTGTTTTGTAAGCCGTGACTAAATGGAATTTTGGCTGTCTCCACATATTATTCCTAGATATTTTAACTAAATACCCTTTACGATGTAAATCTACTTGACTTATATGGACTCTGAAGATGATTTTCTTTTCTCTTCTTAAATATTGTATAGTATTTAAAAATATTTTAATTCGAATGCGCAGACGGCTGGTAGACAAAAATTAAGCAATAATTTATGGTTATTTAAACAGATGTCAGCTTAATATTTAGATTAAAAGTGAATGCATAAAAGTTATTATTATCATTTGTCAATAAGAGGAAAACCAACTACTTTACTAAAAATATAAAATTTGCATAGCCTTTTCACAATCGCTAGTAATAGTAGTTTATGAAGCAACAATGAACGTTATAACGAAACCAGACTTAAACTGGCCAATTTGGGACGATATATCGAGTGTGAATAGATGGCCCAGTTTGCTTTCAGTGCGTTTGCGCTCCATTTGGGACACAAATCACATTTTTCTTTACTATGAAATGAAACTATGCAGATTTTATTATAACTAGAGTTTGGATTGCTGGTTTGACTTCACTCTTTAATGTTCGACTGTAAAAACACCTCAGAAAGAATCCACAGAAGCTGGCCAAAACTGTCAGAAGGAACCACAATTTTGTTTTACTAAACTTACTTTATGGGTAAGAGATTATCTTAACTTTACAATGTTTTAGTTAGGTACCACTGTTAAAGTCTCTGATGCAATGAAAAATTTTAAAGACTGAGAGATACTTTTTACTGTACACAACACAAAATAAGCAATTTGGACACAAGTCGAAACTACACAATTCAAGCAGTCTTATCGTTAGAAAGGGATCTCTTCCAGACAAACCAAGGACCAAAGAATTGAGATCCATAATTGGAAATAGTTTTGAAAACTTTGGAGCTCTTCAAGGGCCCACCTCAACCTTCACAGTGAATATCGAGTAACCTACAAAGCTTTTTATTACTTCATCCCGCTTGATCTGAATCTTTCTACACGAGTGAACCAAGTAGGTAAGTTACGTACATACCTAGTAGTAGCATGCTTTAAACTTTCATAATCTTAAAACTCATCTTTTCTTATCATCAGGTAAGATTAAGGTCAAGCGGGCTTAATTACGAGAATAATTCAAGAAAATATTTCTTAATCGATTCGAATACAGGTTCCTCGTTTAGAAAAGATAATATCGCTATAAAATTACTTAAAGCATCCAACCGGACTGTCCGATAAGTGACTAGTCATTGATGGTATCGATTACAGTTCAGTGATCACTCGATATCGCTTACTTGCCCAATCTATTCGTTAGTGAACAGTGTGGCTTTTCTCCGCTCTGTTGGATCCAGCAAGTCACGATGCCGCGATGGTTATGATTTTAAACAGGTGCACTGAATCAATTATAATTTTGTTAACTGGCTGTCATTGTTGTTTTAGATTTCCATAGTGCGTGAATTAATGAAATTAATAACTTTTATAATAATAAGGGTGGATTAGACGAAACAAGAGTAAATATTAATAATAATAATAATAANTTATCGCTATGAAGCGATCTCTTCCAGACAACCTATGGTGAGGACAGTTACTTGAAACAAATATGAAGGGGAAGGCGGTGTCGACACTAAAGAAATAAATTATAATAAAAGGCATACAATTTAAACCAAAATAATACATACAAATAATACACAAAATATATTAATATATATACATATATAAATTATAATATATACTTACATACACATACAATTCTAGATACGAACCAAAGATAGAACTAGATAGCCAGCAGAAAATAGATGGGAATTTTAAGAAGCTTAAAGGAATACAGATGTAGGGAAATTAAGGTAGCAGCGTGAGGAAGGAATTAATGTCAGATTAAATCGTCAGTTATTCGACATTTTGACATATTTCTCATACTGAAACTGTCAATGTGCCAGTTATACCAGGAGTTATTCTCGGATAAAAGTTTGGTCGATTGGGTCCAAGTAAGTTAATTTAATAACAATTATTATAAATGCTATGCCAAATAACGTGTAAGTGCTAATTGTTTTAGACATCGCCACACATGTAATAAGGATCAACAAAGCGTAAAACACTAATTGGAACTGCCAAAAATTCGTTAGTTTTGTTTTAAGTGGAATAGAACCTAGTGGAACAGATTGCCTTCACACGTTTTGTTTGTGTAAACATAGCATAATAGTTAAATATTTTACGAATATTTTGACTAAGAATAAATTTATTTAAAAGGAAGACGCGTTATCTAAAGCACATCGCGATCGTCTTCCGAGTGCGTTGAGTTTAAGTGGCTTTGATAAATATGTAGAGCTACTGCAATTATTTCGCTATTTCACTTAGTTTACAGTTACGGATGCGATCGCAAGTGAGGGGGAAGCCTTATCTTGAGCTGACTGACGATCGCCGGCGTGCCGCGGCCTAATTAACGTAACAAATTACTGTTACATGACTATTTATTTAAAAATAACTATTTACGTCACACGGCTCTACTTAGCTGTAGAAATGTGAGTTATTTGAAAACAACGCCGTTACTTTTAACGTTGTTATTTTACTGGGAAAAGAACGTTGGTTACATGTTTTTGTTTATGCTGGTTGGTCTAGTAGATTCCTAGCGGGGGCGATTATTTTGTAGGGCCTTTTCTGGCTAGCTACCACTATCTTACCTAAGTTTGTCGCCATAGTTACAATGCTGTGCTTCGGCAGTTATTCTCATATTCACAAACGATGCTTGCTCAAGTGAAGCAGCAAATCGAACGCTCAGCGTTGAATAGAGCTCTGTGATTGGTTCGTGTGTCATCTCATCACCCTGTGCGTCCACGCGCACTGTGAGACCTCATAGTAATGTTTGTGAATTCGGGCGTTGGAGGCTGAGATTAATAAAGCCCTTAAGTCAGTCAGTTCCTATGTGGTTGAGGATTCCAGGTGAAGCTCGCTTCCACCTTCGCTTCGGTCTGCTTATCATTTTCCACCAGGTGAGAGACAGGCCAATAGCTCCTCGTTATAGTTAAAAAAAATTGAATTCGGCAGTTTTATTACGTTCATCATCAACAGCCCTTTACAGTCCACTGCTGGACTATGAGGAGCCTCCTCCACTATAGTGGAGGGTTTTGCCATAATCCCCACGCTTGGCAGGCGGGTTGGAGATCGCAGTTTAAATTGATTGATGTTTTTCAGAGAGCGCTGCTGCCCGTTCTCTGTTTGATGTGTATTCCCTAAGTCGCCTCTTACGACACCCGCGGGAACAGTAGGGGTTGGTGACAAATGTATTCTACTCTGCCGTCACCACACGGCTTTATTGCGCTAACAATATTATTTGACTTTCTATCCCCGCAGGGCATAGGATGTGCGCGTGCGCCGGAAACGCGACGATCTAAAGTATAATCTGTACCTCTAGTACGAAAAACTGCTCCTACTGCTCATTATGTCAGTCGGGTAGGTTGGTAGCCTTGGGTCGGGTCGTTATTGCTTTGTTATGTAAAACTGTGTTTGTGCTTTGTGCTGTAGGGCTGCTGGAGTGGGACAACTGACAGGTTTTAAGATAAAATAAGATAAATCATGTTGTCTTAAAGGAGGCAATGTGATTAGTGTGAGCATCATTCTTAATGATGTACCAATTTATTTTTGCATAGCAAAAGTTACGTTTACTTACTCCATGTATTTTTAATTAGAATTTGCATTTACAAAAATCTAGATCCTATCTATTAAAAAAAAAGAGAATGCTCATTTGTTGCCGGAGCTTTAATTGAGAGGTCAACATTAATTAATATTATGTTATGTTTATTGTAGTGTAAATCATACGTAAGTACCTATGAAATGTAAACGAATATGTATAAAAATCACTGCGTAGTTAGGTATGTAAGGTAATAAATATTTCAGTTCATTAAAATCTGATGGATTAAACTATTTAATAAGAAATACGTTAAGGCTCTACATAACTCTACATTATACCTCATTCACTCCAATACAAGGGACTGATGCCCGTTTTCACCATCGATCCCTAATTTATAAGTGACCCCTATAGTAACACATAACAAAAAATTTGTTTTCATAGGGGCCACTTAAAAATTAGGGATTGATGGTGAAAACGGGCATGAGACAAATACATCGAAATCGTTTCCGCACCGTCTACCGCACGTTGCCGCGTTGTCGTGAGATGTCGACTGGATAGTATGGAATGGAGGTCGCGCGTTCGCTTCCCGGCGAGTCAGGGTCAAGGGTCGCGTTGTGCAACCACCGGCATCGTCACAGCTGTGACATTAGTGAACGGGGTTTGTGTTCTTCTGGCCCTCATTATAAATTATGACTATTTTGAAAACAGGCTTTTAACAGGTGTGTATTTATTGAGTAGGAATTAAATCTAAATTAATTCAAATCGGTGATTCATCAAAGTATACGTAACATCAAGTAAGGTATTTGTATTCTATGAATAATGTTTTGAACTCTACTCTGACCGCGATCGTTGCGTATCTAAAGAAAAAAGAAATATGCAATATATGTACTTTCATATTAGTGTTCTCACTGTCGGTGGATAAATTATATCTGACACACTTCATGGTCTTCCATGATCTCCATTTATTTCCATGATCTTAATTAAAATGTTTATAAGAAAGTAGGGTGACAATGAAATGTTTTCGAATTAATGTTGAAGTAACTCTTAATAAGCTGGTTTTAAAAGCTAACTTTTTGCTGGTTTCAAAAAGCTGCTTCCTAAATTTTTATTAAACTATTTCAATTGCTTACAATATGACTGTGTTTGACTGAAATTGATATAACGCAATCGCTATTGAATCATTGCGGCAATAGCTAACTGCGTAATTTTGATAAATCTGCAAATTATTGCAGGCAGAAATGTCACTGAAAATTACAGGTTAAAATTGGTAAGTGCATCGACCTCTGATCGCATCGACTTTATTGTCAAACCTCACACAAGCCTCCGAATTATGGCGTGGCACAATGTTATGTAATGTAACAGTATTTGTACGTGATATCCGGCAGATTTAGCCTTCGGATGGATAGTGACAGGACCGAAATTGCTTATGAGCTTTGATTACTGTAATTTTATTATCAATTTGGTTGATGAACGTAATTTGTGTCCAATTAATTTTGTAATGATTAATGATATTTGATGGCCTAAAGAAAAGGTTGGTTTATAAATAGAACCATAAATAGAAGCATCAAATTAAATTGCAAGTTTCTTAACATAACGTTTAAAACCTGGCAAATTAAAATAAATCAGTCACCAATCTCGTGTGGGATATAAAAAACAAATTAAACTTACCTAATTTTATACCTAACTATTACTCAGTTTTAATTTATGCTTATATTTATTACTCCAAGGCTATCCCAGAATTCAGTAGAAGCCCTAATTACTTTATTTCGAGTGTTTACTTAAAATTACTACCTAATGTTTTCCCATACTCAGCCTAATTAGTCATTTCGCAAAAGTAGGGGAGACTGGGTACGGTTGAAACAAAGGACGGTTGAAACAGAGCAAATATCTCGTAAACGGTTCCACGGGGAGTTAGGGGTCCTAGGGGAAAAAGAAGCGGACCACAGGTCCGAACACGAATTTAGTGCCTAAAACTTCCTAAGGCGTTGACGTTGTGTGCAAAACGCCATATTATTTTTTACTGCCCAAAAGTAAGTCTTTTTCTTCAGACATTAACGCTTATACTACCTGTTCTTTTTATGTGAATGTATCGAGTGTGCGTTTGCGATTATAATGAAGCTTGTAGAATAAGGGCCAGTAACTGTTTTTAATGTGTTATCATTAGTGTCGAAACTATAAAGTATATTTTACCAAAAGTGGGGTTGGGGACGGTTGAAACATTTTTTGTGGGTACGGTTGAAACAGGAAATTTATTAATGTTAATTTTTAGTAGATACCGAGAGTTTGGGTAAGGAAGATTTCCAGAGAGGAAATTGACTTAGTAAAGCATTAGAGGTGGTAAAAGCTTGAGATTCACTGCGGAAAGCGGCGGAAAAGTATGGTTTGAAAAAAAAAAGATTTTCGTTAATTTTATTCAGAATTTTAAAATTATTTTATTATTAATGTTTATTAGGTTTGGAAATATCATTTAGTTAATCATATTTCTGTTATTTTTTTAAATGTTTACTACTAATCAAAGGCTAATAAATTTTTTAGAAATATTAAATACTTAGACTGATTAATGTCGTCATGTGGTACTATAATTTTAATATTCGTATTATTAATGATAAATAAAACACGTTTTATTAGTACTTAATGTATTATTTGTATGTATTTCAACAGATCCCAATCGCTGTTTCAACCGCCCCTGGCATGGGGACGGTTGAAACAAAATTTCTTTTTTTTTAAATTGCGTATATTTCTATAAATAGTAACCCGGGAACTATAATGATACAGCCATATCATAGCTAAAACTTCAAATTTCAATTTCACGTATCGTAATCGTCACTTGGTTATTAAAAACAACAAAATTATAGACAATAAAAGCAAAATTGTTTCAACCGTACCCAGTCTCCCCTAATTAACGCGCTAGACTTTTTTCGCACTTTACAACGTTATTTACCTACCTATTAATGTAATGAATACGCGAATGAAGCACTTACAGCAAAAAATGGCAATTTAAGGAGTGATAAATGATCATCATTGTCCCAACACAATGAATATCGTGTTTCTGTAAATGTTAATCTATGATAGCGATTAAATCTACATTCCTATGCATTTCTTTAGTTTAGATTGTTTCATGTTGGACGTTACGATGACCTTACAATTCTTTACTGGATAAGGAATGATGGGAGAGATAATTTTACAAAGTGTTGTTGTCAGAAAATGTTGTATGGAAAATTGAATTTCTTATTTTTTAATCTGTTTGTAATGTACGTAAATCTTATGTAAAATCCCGAGTTTATACGAGTGCAATTAAGTTCTTCTCAGTCGGTACACTCTTGTCAGAGTGGTCGTGGTCATCATTTTGAATCACTATTCAGAGTGATGTTCCTCGTAATACGGCGCCATTCCTCGCGGACTGCAGCTTTCCGGGTACTTTCGCTAACCGAGCACTTAAGTTAGGCTACTTTTAAACGCTATTATTTCGCGGTATAATCAGGTTTTTCTGATGACCATACCAAAATTTCGTTAAGAGTTAAAAAAATAGCCGTGAAAATACAGTATGATTATGTAACCTAGCTGCTTTGCAAATCACAAATGCTACTTACCAAAAAGCTGTGTCTGCAAAATCGACTAATCAGACTGCGCACTCGCCCATTATAAAATAGAACCTAGAGTTCGATGGAAACTTCACTTTTTATGAGTAGATCACACTTTCATTTTATTTTATTTTGGTGCGTGTACTCTGTTTTTTAGTGTTTAAGTTGTTATTTATTTGTAACGTTTTAATACCCGCATCAAATAAATACTTTCTTTCTTTCTTTCATTAAAAATCTCATATACCTAATTCTTCTTCTCAGTCGGTACACTCTTGTCAGAGTGGTCGTGGTCATCATTGTGAATCACGGTGAGTGATGTTCCTCATAATACGGTGCCATTCCTCGCGGACTGCAGCTTTCCGGGCACTTTCGCTAACCGAACACTTAGTTGCGGCCTTGATCAGGTCCGTCCATCTCATTGGTGATCTACCACGTGGTCTGGTGCCCTCAACTTTTCCCTGCACTACAAGACGCTCTATGGAGTCATCATACCTAATACGTTTCTTAATTTCCATTCCAGAAAGGCCACCCTTGCCCAGACACCCAAGAGCTGAGCCCTGGCCGGTGGGGCGGGAGAACAGTGGCTGAGTGCAAGTGTCCCCCCGGCACTGCCCAGCTGCCCCACACCACCACCTGCCACAAACTCTTCGAGCGCGGTCCCTGCAGGCCTGGAGAGTACTTCGCGCCGGTCGAGGAGTCCTTCAACAAGAGAGGGTAGGTGAGCATCTTGGGCGATACTCTTCTTTGTTGTTATGAAAAGATTGGGTTTGAATTTGGGTCGCCTTTGAGACTGACAGCACTGCCTGATACGGGATCTAGCTTAGGGCTTTATTGGCTGGAAAATACCAAGAGTCAAAGAAAATCTTCTATTATAAGGACATCTAGAAACCTGTCATTAAGCAGTGTTAAATCTATTTGTTGTTTTACATAGAATCCATTCCTATGAAGATCCCGGATTCAGCTCGAATTTCCTTGTTTTAAATCTTATTGCAATAATTTCGACATAGGCTATCATCAGTAACTTTAGTTCCGATAACGGAAAAAAATACCAATCAAAATTTGATGGATTTCCGTTGCGCGTTGCAATATTTGAAATTATTCAATGAAGCTTAATTTTCAGTAATTTAATAAATGTTCCATGACATGCTATAATTTCTTAAGTGCACTCTCAGATGTGGGAATCCGTGTCCTGTCATTAAAATATTTCGTCACTCTTCAAGTGAGCGGCTAGACTACCTCGACCCAGGTGGACTGATAGTTCTCGTGTATTGTGTTTACCAATTAGCAGAATCAATCATTAGGTGCGGCTCTATAGTTTTTTTTGCAATCATATCAAAATGTACAATCTCCTTCAATGTCAAATACTGAGAATCGACGTGGTATTGTGAACTGTTTTAATTATTCAAATGCTTATGACTAATCCTGTTCTGTATTCCAGCGAACGACAGGGCATGTGCGTGCGGCCGCAGCAGTGCGCTGACGAGACCTTGCTCTACTGGCCCGCGGATGGCCGATGTTACTACAAGATGACGCAGGGCCCTTGCTACCCTGGGGCCTTGCTGGACGTAGGCGAGGATGGCCTTGCTAATTGCACGGTAAGACCTGAGTGAAAGGGAGGATTTTGCCAAAAATTTTAATAAATCAACGAGACCTTGCTCTACTGGCCCGCGGATGGCCGATGTTACAACAAGATGACGCAGGGCCCTTGCTACCCCGGGGCCTTGCTGGATGTAGGCGAGGATGGCCTTGCTAATTGCACGGTAAGTATTTTGATCACCAACAACTACCTTTTGTGAAAGGTAGGATATTTTGCTAAAAATCATCCACAACTATGCCGATGAGGCATTCCTGTGCTACCCCCAAAAACCCAGGGGGGTTTTCGTGGTTTTGCTGGATGTTGTAATGTGTTGCTACCGATAATGCTGTAGTTGGCCGATGGGTCTCTCCTTTACTCATGCGTGGACGCCCAATCCTGGATGTCACTGGCATACTCGTACGTATTTATCGTGCTCTCCACCGACGTACAATGTGGCAGGAACGTTCTAGCGAAAGTTTTCTCAGGGGCTTAACAGGTACTAATGGAAGCAAGGTTACACTTTTGCTATGTGTATGTTGTGGTTATGTTACAGTCAAAACTCATAATTATTGACCAAGTGTCAGTCAGTGGTGAGGAAATATCGCATAAGACTATAAAAAAAATACTTGATAACAATTTCTAACACAACTTCCATAAACTTTCAGTGTGCAATCGACGGCCCGAACTACTGGGCCCCAGACGGGGGCTGCTACGCGCACTACACGCGGGGCCCGTGCGAGAAGGGGCAGCTCTTCCTGCCAGGAGCTAAATGCGGCTGCGAGCCCCACCTGCCGCAGTACGATAATGGGACGAATGCCTGCTATGAATTGGGTAAGCGATTGAACCTCTTAAGGTTCGGCCAAACCAACGCGATCACACGCGATCAGCCGGCATGCAGCGATGGCGATCAATGCAAGTCTGGTAGCCATCGCTGCACGCCGCGGCGGCTGATCGCGTGTGATCGCGTTGGTTTGGCCGAACCTTTAGCTCCTTTTTGCCTTGGCAGCTCCTTTTGGTCTTATCTCTATGACAGATTCTAAACTAGAAATGATTAAAATTGGTCTTATAGAACAGTTTCCTATGTTAGTCTATGTATGAATTCTTCTGCAGCTGTCCAAATATCTCCTAATGATTTCTTCACACCTGTTTGTTAAGTGTTACAGCTATGGTTAAAGTCTATCTTACCCTCGTTGTAACTATTTTTGAGTGGTCCTTTGAAGAGACGTCTTTGCGAGTCCATCAACGAATCCCTTAAAACTACTTTTCTGGATATGTTTAAACGCGGCGTGCAAGTCCACACTGTGTGTACATAGTATGTACACACGGCCACACTGTTAACTATCCATTTCCGTTTTTGCTCTCGCTCTCATCTTATGGTGATTCTTTGCGATAGAACGAGATGACATGACTGGCAATGGGCAGTTAACACTGTTGCCGATAGTACATCTGACTTTATCTTAACTATCTCTAAAAAAATGTATATAAAATTCATTTCGATTGCGATTGCGGTCAAATACCTGCCTTGTCTAGCATAAAATTCTATACATTTCAGACACCATCGGCCCGTGTCCCAAAGGTCACCTGTTCTCCGTAACCGAGGTGACGCAGCGAGGGTCTAAGGCGGAGTGCAAGTGCAAGTCGTTTCACGCGAGAGCTGCCGATGGGGCTTGCTACAGGCTTTATACACGGGGGCCGTGTGCGACTGATGAAATGATCGCTAGGGGAGGCAGGTGCACTAAGGTAATGTTCAAGTAATATGTATTTAAAGTAAACGTACAAAGGCAGCGAATTGGACTTTGAGTGCAAATGCAAGTAGTTTCACGCGAGAGCGTCTGATGGCGCTTGCTATAGGCTCTATACGCGGGGGCCCTGTGTGACTGATGAGATGATCGCTAGGGGAGGCAGGTGCACTAAGGTAATGTTTGAGTAAAAATGAGTTAAAGTACAAAGGCACCACATTGGACTTTGAGTGCAAGTGCAAGTCGTTCCACGTGAGAGCGACCAGCCTGCTTTAAGCTCCATATTAACATCTACTATGATACAATCTTTGCCTCAGAATATTCACTAGGCGTAACAAGGTAGAGGTATGCGAGTGTGTGCGAGTCATTCCATGAAATACCAAGCGGTAAGTAAATCCTATCTAAGTACAAAATCTAAATAAACTCTTTTTCATCGAACCATCCAATTCAAAGTCAAAGTCAAAGTCAAAATTTCTTTATTTGTTTGGACTAATAAATAGTTCTTACAAATCGTCATTTTGCTCTTAAGGAGCCTCTACATGTCTCATAATCTTTTTACCCTACCAGCGCTTCGAGACCAACATTTGGCAAGTGCTGAGAAGAAGCGCCGCAACAAACTCAGTCACCACTGTCTGCCGGTTAATATAAATAAATAGAAATAGTAGTAGTAGGTACATTCGATTCAGGAGCAGTTCACTGAATTTACCATGCATTCTTGTATGGTGTATCTTATAAGAATGGGTATACAAGATTGCGTGGTATATTAAACAAGGTAGTGACGTGCTAATATCTAGACTTACATATTAAGATACTAGTAGAAATGACTCGCATACATAAATTTGAATAACTTGGATTGACCAGTCCCCGAAAGCAGCGCCTGTTCACAGACATGACGAGTGAACCAGCCATCGCTTCACTCGACCATATTAGAGGGAATGTAACGACCCGCCTCACTACGCCACCACCCCAGAGACATTTTAGTGAGAATGACAATTCCAAGTTATCTTTTAAAAAAAAAACTAATAATAAAGCTAAGTAACAGTCCAGATTGAGAAGCATGACACTATAACATTTGAGAAATTATTATTAGTTTATACATTACTTTTCATTTTAATTCTTTTTAGTGCGAGCATGAGAGGACCATAATCCTACTCCCAGGATGACTTATCATTAAGAAAATCTCGAGTTGTATAATAGGCTTTTTTAAGCATGTGATCTTTAACTATATCTTTAAATTTATTATACGGTAGCTCTTTATATTTATCAGGGACTTTGTTATAAAAATGGATACCTTGTCCCATAAAAGTAGCAAACACTTTATTAAGTCTAAAAGCGGGTATAGCCAATTTATTTTTATTTCTAGTGTTAATTTGGTGAATATCACTTTTCTTTTTGAATTCAGTAATATTTTTTTGAATAAATAGAATACAGTTTAAGATGTATTGTGAAGCGGCCGTGAGAATGCCAATTTCTTTAAACAATTCTCTAAGGGATGCTCTTGCTTTCATTTTATACAAGTATCTTATCGCACGTTTTTGCAAAATAAATATTGTTTCAAAATCTGCAGCTTTGCCCCATAGCATGATTCCATATGACATTAGGCTATGAAAGTAGCTAAAGTAGACTAAGCGAGCTGTTGAAACATCGGTTAATGACCGTATCCTTTTTATTGCAAAAGCCGCTGAGCTGAGCTTTCCCGCCAGAGTTTCTATATGGGGGCCCCACTGGAGTTTTGAATCCAGGGTAATTCCCAGAAATACAGTAGAGTCTACCAGATCGATTGCATTATTATTAAGTTCTATTTGTGTACTAACTGTTTTTACGTTAGGCAAAGAGAATTTTATACATTTTGTTTTCTTTGCATTGAGTTGTAAATTATTTGTAGTGAACCAACTTAAAACTCTTGTTAGTGCATTATTTACATCGTCAAAGTTATTTTTACTTCTATCGATATTAAAAATCAAAGATGTGTCATCAGCAAATAACACGATTTCGCAAGAGTCCTTAACAAAATATGGTAGATCATTAATGTATATAAGAAACAAGAATGGACCCAGAATGGACCCCTGCGGAACTCCCATTTTCACAGGTGACCCAGAAGACAAAACACCATTTATGTCAACTTTTTGAACTCTAAAGTTTAAATAGGATTGTATTAAATCCAAAGCCGAGTCCTTTACCCCATAATAGTGCAGTTTGCGAATTAGCGTTTGATGTTCTACGCAGTCAAAAGCTTTTGAGAGATCACAGAAGACCCCTAGTGCATTTTGAGAATTCTCCCAAGCCTCGAAGATATGTTTAAGTAGTGCAACCCCAGCATCGGTGGTGGAACGACCCTTGGTGAAACCATATTGTTCACTATGAAATAGTTTATTAGAGCCAAAGTGAATCATAAGTTGCTCCTGTATGATTTTTTCAAAAATCTTGCTCAGAGCGGGCAAGATAGAAATGGGTCTATAATTGCCAGGGTCGGTTTTGCTACCAGACTTAAATAATGGCATTAGTCTACTATGTTTCATGAGGTCGGGGAAGATTCCCTTCTCTATGCAATTATTGAATATTATCGCTAACTGTGGGGAAATTATATCAATAATGTGTTTGACTATCTTGACAGAGATGCCCCAGATATCAGTTGTACTCTTTACGTTTAAAAGATTAAAAGTTTTAGTGATATCTAATGGAGTAATATGTTTAAAAGAGAAGTGCGAGTCACAGGGTGTCACGTGGGTTTTCAATATTTCTTCGGCCTCGGAGGGAGATGACTTTAAGTTGGCAGTTGTTGCTGAAGCTATATTACCAAAAAAATTGTCAAAAGCTTCCGCTACATCTCTATCTGCAGAAATCAAATTATCGTGAACTTTGAGAGAAAAGTCATTATCTTTTGGTTTTAGTTTACCAGTCTCTCGGTTGATAACATTCCAAGTTTCTTTTATTTTATTACTGGCGTTCCCTATCTTGTCCCGTTACCTTTTCCCTTGTCCTAATTAAATCAAAGATCGTCCACTGCTGGACGAAGGCCTCCAAGTATTTCCACAATGACTGGTCCTACGTTGCCCATAACAGGTGCTTTTCGCGCTTCACTAGATCATCGGTTCGTCGAAGAGTTGGATAATTAACAAATTAAGTCTTTACCTGGTGGTGGCAGAATCGATACCACCATATTTTGAACTTTATTGAGATAGCATCATAAGGTCTCTATAAAAAAATAATAATTGCAAATTGGCTTTTAAAAATCACTTTTACACGTCCCAGTATTAACCCTACCACTGCTTCGGGACAATAAATGGGCCAGTGCTGAGAAGAAGCAGCGCAAGAAACTCAGTCACTATTGTACCAAGTTAAACAGCAAAAAATCTCTTTCTCCCAGGTGCCCTGCGCTCGCGGCCGCCTCTACGTGCCCGAGCGCCGGCGCTGCTACCGCCCAGGCACCGCCGAGCCGTGTCCCGTGGGCGAGGTGGTCGCGTTCGACTTCGACGCCAGGCCGGCCCTGGACGGACTCAGCCATAACGGCGTCTGTGCTTGCGGGAGCGGCGCTTGTACTAGGAGAGAGGTGAGGATAGGGTTTAGGTAAAAGACCATGGACAGAAATTCGTGTTTTGTACGAAAGGTTGTTGCATCTCATCAGATATGATCAAAAGTGATGGGCCTTCTCAGATTTATCTCAACTCTGTAGGTCATGCAACTAGTAGAGCTTGCAATGAGACCAGATTTTACGCAATCAAAAGATACAAGTAATTAATGAGTTACTTATTTTATGTGATTCATGTTCGCGCTTTCCAGGGCAGGTTTATACACGTCCCAAAATATAGCTTGCCCTGCCACCCCTTCGGGACAACATAATATGGGCTGGCTGGTGCTAAGAAGTGGCGGAGGAACTCAGTCACCTTTGTAAAATTAAAATTCATAAAATTCATTTATTTTTGCAAATAGGCTTTAAAAAAGCGCTTTTACACGTCCCAATATTAACCCTACCACTGCTTCGGGACAATAAATCGGCCAGTGCTGAGAAGAAGCAGCGCAAGAAACTCAGTCACTATTGTCAGCCTCCTTTTCAAGGTTTTACAGTCTTTGAAATATACAAATTATAGTCATAAGTATTGATGCGAGCTAGGTAGTTAAACATTCCAAACATTTTTATCTTTTATATAATCATCAACTTTATAGTAGCCCTTTTTCATTAAGGTGCTTTTGATATGTGCTTTAAATTTATGAAGGGGCAATTCTACAACAGTTTGTGGTAATTTATTGAAAAGTTTAATACATTTCCCCATAAATGAATTACCAATCTTGTGCAGTCTGAAATTTGGAACGGCAAGTTTATTTTTGTTTCTTATAATGAACNATTAATACAACCTTTTTGCTATCTGCCTGTGAGATACGAGTTCAACAGATCAAGTACCTCATCCGAAACACCATAATGTCGCAATTTTTTTCGTAAGGTTTGGTGGTCTACACAATCAAACGCTTTTGAAAGGTCACAAAAAATACCAACAGCGTCTTTTTTACTCTCCCAAGCATCAAAGACGTGTTTCAGTAGTGCTACTCCAGCGTCAGTAGTACTTCTACCTTTGGTAAACGGGTTTGTCTGTCCCTTTTTTAATTAGCAAATACCTACATTAAAGAAGATATTATTGAAATCAAAATTCCTGTTATGTGTATAGGGGCCACTTAAAAATTAGGGATTGATGGTGAAAACGTGCATTATGTCTATCACCGCTGAGCCGTGTCCCGTGGGCGAGGTGGTCGCGTTCGACTTCGACGCCAGGCCGGCTCTAAACGGACTCAGCCATAACGGCGTCTGTGCTTGCGGGAGCGGCGCTTGTACTAGGAGAGAGGTGAGGAAAGGGTTTAGGTAAAGAGCATGGACAGAAATTCGTATTTTGTACGAAAGATGGTTGCATTAAGACACATCTCATCAGATATGATCAAAGTGATGGGCCTTCTCAGATTTTTCTCAACTCTGTAGGTCATGCAGCTAGTAGAGCCAGTAGAGCTTGCAATGAGACCAGATTTTACGCAAGTAATTAATGAGGGATCTAACTGGTTCCGTGTAATGTAACGCTTGTGTACCTGGTTTTCCATTTTTCTCGTATTCTTTTGATAAGTATACTAGCTTTGATGCTGAACTTAGCTCAACATAACAAAGATCTCTCAAGAATCTTGAATTTGGTTTCGTTGGCGTGATCTCCGGCGACTGCAACGAGAGTGTTGCTTATTCCATAATATCACAAAATACATCAATGGCATCTCATCAATTTAAAAATCCCTAACAAAATAATTTTTAAAGTCTTTTACACATTCCAGGTGGAAGCCTGCAGTTCCCGCCGCTGGACGGTGCCATACGAGGGCGTGTGCCACATCCTACACACGCAGGGGCCTTGCAGCCCGGGATCCTGGCTCGTCCGGGACCACAACCGGGCCCGCTGCCAGTGCCGCCCCGGGACCGACCCGCGGGACTGTCAGGACAAGAGCTGACGAACGGGGAATGTAGATGATAGTGAAATGATCTCGAGTTTGGGGCCAGTTGTGGATTGAGCTATCAGATACAATAAATCTGGAGACAATGAAAGTGGCTGAAAGAATTTCAAACCTCGGTCAGTTGACTGGAAAAAGGGTGACGTCAAATAACCGTATTTCCATTTTCAAATAATGGGAATCCATAGATTTTTTTGCTGTAAAATAGCATCTATTTCAACCATTTAAATCTATTACAATGTTTAACTTGACGAGCTATGGTCTGTACAACGAGATGGCCCTCTTACAGTAGCATTAGCTAGCCGTAGAACTTGTTTTAGAACTTGGCGACAGAGTTAAGCGGTAACAAACGTCTGGTGTTTTGGTTCTGTTTCGAAAATCTGCCGCCTCCTGTTAGTTGGACTGAAGTAATCAATGTAATCATCATCAGATGATGGTCAAAGTGAACGGTATTATCCTTTAATTTATTTTAGCGTTGATAAGACTATGAAAATGAATGTGCGCGTATTTTTATACATATTTCGTTGTGGAAAAGATTCAAAGGTTTTCTCATTGCTGGTTTATTTTCTGGATTTGTCTGTAGGCAATGTAACATTTACAAAATTTAAGCATTTACGAGTACCAATAAGTACGAGTAGTTACATAACGAGGTACTGAAGTGAAGATGAAATTAGGTATGTATGCCAAATTCGAATCGAATTTGGAGACAATTATGTCACATTGTCTACAGGCATAACATCAATATAGGATTCAAAGTTATGTGTTCTGTGCTAGAGCTTTACTATACCTACCTACTCATTACTATTACATAGTATTATGGANATTATTTTAGTGCGAAATAGGAGAACAATTGGGAGTTAAATACTTGTAAAAAATTAAGTGTATTCAGGAGTTCTCAGACTTTTTCTATTGTGCCCTCAGTTACTTATTTTATGTGTTTCTTGTATTTACAAAACATAAATCAAATAGTTTATTCAGTACTTAGGCCAACAAAATTCCTGTTATGTGTTACCATAGGGGTCACTTAAAAATTAGGGATTGATGGTGAAAACGGGCATAAGTCTATCAAATTAAGTAATATTAACCCACGGAGTCCTAGGACACTGCAGCGCAAACTTTGAGAACTTCTAATACCTAAATGACATGAAAGAAGAAGAAAAGAAGAATGCTGATTATTGAATATTAGAAATGTAAGGATAGTTTGTAATAGCCAAATAAAAGATAATTCACATTTGATAAAAATGTTTGTCTTTATTTGTAAAACGTGTAATAACTTAATTCGAATTCTATACTAACGTTCATCATCAAGTATTTATATCTAATAACTGAATACGCGAATACGTGATGTTGACTTACACTAACTATTTACAAGTCTTGTATTTCTTTTGGTATGACTAACTTAACTTATTTTTCTTTTAACTTTGTTGCTGACTTTCCTGAAACAATAGAACATTTTATTAAACTAAAGGTATTATTTTTTAAACCAAATGGTTCGTAGTCGTACCCTATAGCACGGGCTTTAATATTAGATCCAGTTTAGGAATCAATGTTTCAAGCGGTATGACTTTTTAAAGAGTTAATCTGTATTATTAACGTGGAAAGTTTTCAGTATAATAATAAGTACAACATATAAATACTGAATTTCAATTTAATACTTACCAAAATATATCCTATAAACTTTGTTGAAGGGCATCTCTATGGCGACGGTGGTGAAGATTGACATCACTAGAATGGTCAGCATTTCTGGGAGGTACAGCTGGAAAAGTTAACGTTTTAATTATATACGTATGGTTTATATACGAATACATCAGACTGACCAAACTATTCAGAAAGAATTTCAGAATTAATCAACCAAAAGAAGATTTATTTACATAAGTTCAAAAGATGATTTGCTAAGTAGGTAGCTATCTAAACATGTTTTAAGAAATCATTATTATCAGTAGTAGGCAGGTCAGTATCAAGTAGGTAAAAAAATTTTAGGAGACTTTTGAACAAGGTTTTTTACTAATAAAATAATAGTTAAAATTTTATTTATAATTTTTCATGTGTACTACCACTCCTGAGAAGGGCGTTGTTTTACAAAACCACACCCTGTATTAAAAGATTTCCAAAGCACTTACAAGAAGGAAAGGCGAGTAGTACTCCGCGGTCCTCTGGATGCCGACGTTGTAGAAGAAGATCGGGAACTGCGTCAGGTACACCCCGTACGCGATCTTGTTGAAGAACTTGAACACTCGCGACTCTATGAATGCTGTTCCGATGCCTGAAAAAAATATTACAGCTGTAGCCTCATCATCATCATCATCATCATCATCATCTCAGCCAGAGGACGTCCACTGCTGAACATAGGCCTCCCCAAATGCTTTCCATGTTGTTCAGTTGGTAGCGGCCAGCGTCCAGCGCCTTCCTGCTACTTTTATGTTGTCGTCGGTCACACTGCGTTTTTCGGTACTAAAAGTATGCGAAAAGTATTGAATTAACAGCAGCGCTAAAATCCTTCGTGAAACTTAGGATTATACGCCTTAGATCCGTAGCTTTGCAAACCTCGATGCTGGAGAGTTAACCCTGGTTTTTTTCGTTACACTTGGGGACTTATCTCCGTAGAGCGTAATCTATTGCAATTTTTTAAAAATAATATTTTTCTACTGCACAAATTACTAAGTACTAAAAGTCAGTCAGCATATGGGCAAATCAACTGGAGAGCGTGGAGATTGCTGGTCAATCCTCCATTGGCCACATGTGATCAGAGAGGGTGTTCTTACGGTGGATATTCAATGACCTGATGATACTAGAAATAAACATTGTAATTGGTTTGGACAGTCAGTGAAAAAACTATGACTACAACATCTACTTACCAGCGTAGTCATTGCTGATGACCCAATAGGCCAAGCACATGAAGAATATAGTATAGGCAGTCGTTTTTAAGGCTGTACTTGTTGTATGAGAATGCATCCATCATCCATACCAGCTAACTCCAATTCGAGACTAATTAGGTAATTCCTAACTCTAAAGCTAGTAAGTAATACTTCCTAAATGATTCCTTACCAGCGTAGTCATTGCTGATGGCCCAATGGGCCAGGTACATGAAGACGCCCCACAGTATAGATGAGAATGCCGCAAAGACCGTTGCAGGTCCAGGACTGTACTTGTTGTTGTGGCAGTAAGTACATTCATACCAGCTAACTTTGAGTATTAATTACTACTAATTAGGCATCTCCTTACCAGCGTAGTCATTGCTGATGGCCCAATGAGCGAGGCACATGAAGACTCCCCACAGTATGGGCGAGAAGGCAGCGAAGACCGCTGCAGGTCCAGGACTGTACTTGTATCCTTCCAGCCCCATCTTGTAAGGACTTGCGATCGTGAACGCAGCTAGTGCGATGCAGGTCGTCCAGAGCAGTCTCACTTGGGTCTGTGGATGAGAAAACGTGCTTTAAAATCTAGGAATATCTGAGTGCTTAATTTACTCTAAACCTAGGCCTCAAACTTTTTGGTCAATGACAACTTTTTCGCTTTTAAGTGGCTAGCGCAAAGGACAGAGGAGAGGGTTTTAGACCGTGTTGTATGATGTCGTAGAAAAAAAAATCTATACCAAAAATTATTACAGCGAATATGTGCTGAACTTTTGAAAATATAATTTAAGATAACATGAGTTCCGATGAAAATTATTTGTTAGTAGTCTTCAAAGAATTTTGAGTGAAACACTGCGAAAACCACAGATAAATGTGAGTATTTTACTTGTAGTATTTGAATGCAAAGCATGAAGTATGTTACGGCAAGACAAACTAACTTTGCTTAGCTCACCGCTTGAATACCTTCGTTCTAAAGCGTTTTCCTTAAGAGTTCCGTGCATCCAGTCACAAAATGTCCCCATCCATAATTATATCCCAATAAACTCACGTTGGATAGAGTGAAGTTGAGTTTCTTGGTCCTCATGAAGTACGCCATCAGCACGCCGATCAAGTAAATGGTCGCGCGGTGAGTCGGCAGAATGTACGAGTATTTGGCCGCGTCCAATAATTTCTGCACTCTGGAAATGGGAGTCGGGGTTTATACCATTTATTGGGACGTGTAAAAGCACTTTTTAAAAGCCTATTTGCAAAAATAAATGAATTTTATGAATTTATGAATTTTACTTTATATTCACAGAAAAGTATATTCACACGAAACGACTTTTGTTAAAGCTTAGGAAGGTTTTTTCGGAAACAAATCGCGTTGTGAATATTGGGTTTAGCTTTAGACTCTACTACTACTTCTTAACACAGTTTGAAATATTTTTTAACATTCAAAATTAAGATTATAATGTTTAAGTGCCTACTACCTTTTAGATAGCAATACCTATCTAAAATTATTACTACGTTTGGAAATCCTTGGAAGAGGCCTTTGTCCAGCAGTGGACGTCTTTCGGCTGAAACGACAAACGAACGATTACTACGTTTGTAAATACTTTATTTGTTAGGAGGAAATCTGGTGATAAAAATGACAGTGGGTTTCCTACAAATTCGGATAAAATATGGTCACCACAAGAATTTTCAGAATTCTAGAACCTTACAATTACAGATGTATCAATGAACAAGCAAATACAACGGTCCATTGTAGGCGTTCGGTTCAGTTAGCGCCGTTTGTCACGTCACTATCGGACTAATGGTGTTTACGCTTGTCCACGCAATTTCAGCCCAAAGTGAGCATGTCTAGGCACACACGAACCCCGACCCAATGACTAAATCAAACACCTACAATTATTGATACTGTAATAAACAAACAAGCAGTATTTGCAGATCTAATGTTCTATAAATATTGTCCTGTGGTACGACGTAGATTATTTTTCATGAAGCCTTTCTGAAACTTTGACCTTATAAATTTTAATGGTATCAAATTAGCGGCCCACGCAGAGACTGGTAAACTAAAATCTCTCTCAATTACTTTAGACTTTGTTGCCTGGCAAAAAAAGTGGACTCGAGGATAATAAAATTTCGTTTTACAGTGGTATACAAATTGTAGTAAACATACAGGGATGTTGATTCTACTGCTCAAAATATTCAACAATTTTCCCCAAGAGAAGGAGGTTCAAATAATAAAAAAAATACTTTTCCATACAAATAATCATCATTAATCAGCCAATTATTTCATTCTTTCTTTAAAAAGAAGAAGAAAGAAAAACACTACTCACGAGATCCCGTAGTAGACGAACATGCTGATCTCGTACCAGTGGATGGCTAGGTATCTGAGGATGGTGGAGGCGACTGCTGCGAAGACTATTAGAGCCAACCCCAGCCTCTTGGAGCGAGAGAGTACCAGCATCAGCGGCAGAGTGGCGATATAAAGCTGCATGTCCATGCCGATCTGGTGCGTATGGGTCAGACACTGCAGTGGAAGGAAAAGAGTAAGCCAGAGCGTTCCAGAAATCGTGTAACAGTTAAGGTTCATACTCTGGTCTCTGACTGCATCATAAGCCTGATCCGTAGTTACGGTGGAAACGAGAGGTGAGAGTATTAAGCGGGACAAAGTTAAAATGAATTAGTAAGTAGGCTTTTCTGGGCGTTTATAGTCTGCGGAAGAAACTAATGCCCGTTTTCACCATCAATCGCTAATTTTTAAGTGACCCCTTTGAAAACTAACTTAGGTTTGTTCAAAGTCAAGGCAGCTCTAGCCAAGCAGACGTCAATTAAAAATTTTGTTTGTGTGACTCAACTTGGAACCGAATCTATTTCCTCCGGTTCAAATACCTAAGGAGACATTATTTCAGACACTCCACACAAAATCCTAGCTTTAAATGTCTAAAATAAACTAAATAACACTGATTAAGCAGTTTCAAGGACTGTTTAGTATTCTTGTAGAACCTCTACGAAGGATTTTGCTTTAATACCGTTTTAGATCAACCTGATTAAGAATTTATTGCTCTTGAGGCAACTTTGTTATCAAAATAGTAGCAAGATATTTTAGGGAGCTTGCGGCATGAATAATTGCTTTGAAAATTCACACTAGTTCTGAACAAAACATTCGCCAAAAGTTCGTATTTTAAGGTATTGGCAAATATAGACAAACGCGACCTTCACTGGTTGGGTTTTTATTGGCGGTCAAGCTGTAGGTATATCCTGGTTACACAGGAGTTGCAGCGGAGGGAACGAGAGTTGGGAATAGTTCCGTTAATATAGACAAGACTTGCTTTATTGGATTGAAACAGAAAGGTGTTGTGAAGACTTGAACACTAGGTAATCGTGACATCTTGAATGTAGACTATGATACGTAAGGCCGTGAGAAAACATGTGCAATAACTATTGTCTTTAACTGAACTGGATCAGGTCGGTTGATTAGACATTAGATATCAATGAAGATACGTTTTCTTTCAATGATCGGTATTGAGCTATGACTAAATAGGTATAGTATAGTATAGTAATAGCAGATAACGGATTAGATAATGGACTTAAATATTTTCAAGTCCGTTACCTTGATATTTCAAAACAATTGTGATTATGTAAAGTAGTAGTAAATAGGTATTATGAATAAAAGAGAACGCAACTAAAATTTTAACCATTATCAAGTTAGTTTATGTTTTGGGATCAGACAAATGGCTCATCTGCTCCATTCAACCGAGACTACGGAATAAGTATTTGAACCTCTTATTGGAGAACGTGGAGGATTCAAACGTCCTGTATTGCACAAATTATAGCATCTGCTCCATCCAAAGGTTACAGGATGGAAATGGCACAATTACAAAGGGTTGGACTGTCTTAAGTTTCACGGACTAATTTTAAAGTTACAAGAACAGACGTACCATCTCCTCAAAGCCGAAGTAGTTGTGGATGAAGAGGAAGCTCCTCCACATGGTCTTCTGGCAGACCCTGCTGTGCTCCTCCACCACGAGGTTCCACTGCGGCCCGCTGTTCACGTCTGGCAGGATGTACGTACAGAACAGCATCAGGCTTAGGAATAGGGGGAACAACCTGGAACAATTGGTAGATGATAGTAAACAATATTCGAAGGCAAAACTTATCTGAATGATACCTCGTTTTTTTGAGCCTGAAACCATCAATCGAATTTAAGTGACGTCATAACTTCTAAATGCTATAACATTTTAAGGGTTTGCTCTATTTTAACAGCTCATAAATAGTAACTATGTCATAATGATTGGTGGTGTCTATTCGGTATTCTAATGTAATTGGGAGGTTTTTTTTTATTGTTTTTGTTTGTTAAGAGGACTCAAATGAATAGCCACGTAAATATTTCAGATTAAAAACTTCAAAACTATGGCAATAATTTTGGGAATTCAAAGTCCAATGTTGTTTTGAATTAATACCAGACAGCAAGAGAGGCAGAGGACGATTGCTACATGGAGGTCCACTATATCAAAGGATTTGAAACAGGCCCAGCTGAACGAAGAGACAACCCGGGATCGAGCGATCTGGCCCCAAATAATGGGAAGAGGCACGGGAAGAAGAAGAAGAAGTTGTTTTGAATTAATAAAATTGAAATCGATCAATATAGTCGTAATGGCAATATCAATGATGACACGTACTTTATAATTCGGATTTAATAACGCTGCGGCAATTTGTTTTTGAGGGCATTTCCACTTAATTTGACATTAAGGAGATGTAGTTTGTATTTTCATTTGTCACTATTACAATCAATTTTATACACAACTTTTAATGATTAGACTGTTCCGTTATTCACTTTGCGTTAATTATCTACTATAAAATATTTTTTTTTCTTTATTGAGGAAACAAACAGCATTCAATGAGTTTATACAATACATGTGACCTTAAAAAAAAGAATATTTTAATAATGTGCTAATTAACGTCCATAAAGGGTAACATGGTGATAAGAAAATATCTTTAAGTAGGTACTTACTCGAATTATAAAAATGATAGAACAAAAATAGCTTCGTTTCTACCCATAAATGCCTCAATGTTTACGAGTGCACTATAAAGTCACAACTACCTCTACGTATCTGCGAGAGCATCGCTTTACTTCCCTGTGGAAGGAAATGTAAAATAAAAGGTTTTCCTTTCCTGGAAGCTTTGAAATTACCTTTTAGCTAGAGAGCAAAGAATGCCTTTTTCAGTTTTAAATCATTATCTTGTTGGCCTCAGTGGCGTGTTGCGAGATTTATTCCAATAATTTAAAATTCGTGAAAGTGAGTAACTTATGTAAGGACCGTAATGAAAATGGAGGTACAAAAGAGGGCAAATCAGGCACAATTTCGTGGAATTTACTGATCGTCCTTCCTGACGTTCAGTACAAGGTGCTGATTTACCTACATAATTAGACATATTCTTGGCAGTAGTTTTTTTACCTGAACCATCTAGCTAAGAGTCTGCTCTTCACGTCAATGGTCCCTTTCTTGTCTAGGTCCTGCAGAAGGTTGTGAGCGTTTAAGAATCCGCTGAGGTACAGAAAACTGTCTGTGTACAGGATAGCAGACCGGCCTACCACTGCCCATGGCATACCGAAAACCTGAAATAAGCAATTAAGTAGTTAATGACAGTGGTATGATGAAAATACAATGATTTGACGCCTATAAAGCCCGATTTAACTACCATAATCTAGCAACAGGATTCAATTTCCTACATTATTATCTTCAAAACTTTCAAGGTTTTCTTTTCAAGGCGTCAACTTTGGTATCGAGAACAGATAATCCTTCAAAGTACTTATCAAAAGCGACAGCGTTAGAATCAAAGAGATCTGATATAAAGTTCGCACCTAAATAAGATTTCTTTGCGTTTGGGACGATATTAAAATTGTCAGAAGTTCCGCTAAGTTTTGTTGCGACTTAATGTACCAACAAAGACCTCCTTAGAAGCTTCACGGACTTTACAAATAACTAGAATTACAAAGTTCTAGGCTGTTTGACAGACAAACAAAATTAAGGGCGAAAGTAGTAAACTTAAAGTTATCAACTTAATTGGAGCTCTTGAAATTATCTCAATAGGTCTCTTGAAGGTAACTGTCTGTGAAATTACGTAAACTTAGATATAACCATAATAATAATGAGAGGAAATAGGTACGTACTGCTGAGTAGCTGGTCTTGTTTACGTAAGGGCTGTGTGCCATTGCCATAGATTTGTGGGCGATGATCAGGGCAAATGCATTGATGCCCCTGAATGCATCGACGCCTTTCACTCTGGTCGGCGCGTCTGAGAGATCGAACACCTTCTTCAAGTTGCGTTTTAGAGAAAACGCATTGAGTAGTTTTTCGAAATTCTTCACGCCGTCTTTTCCATCATCGAGGAGTGTGCCCAGAAGTAGCAGAAGAAGTAGTGCGAGGAAAAAAGTTCTGGAACAAAGAAGTTAGTATCAAGACGGGTTATTGCACTTGAGAATCATTAAGTTCATAAAGATGAGAGATACCCACAGAAACGTGAATATGTACGAGTGCATACATTATTAGGTAAAGCAACTTGGAACAATAATTTTAAAGATGGAACTAAAGATGTAATCTTTAGTAATATGACAACTTCATTGAATATTATTCTGATGTGTCACATACATACCTACATGCAAATTTAAGAAAAACACAAAGTTAAATTAAAACAGTTTTGTTTCTTACATAGAAAGAGCCTTGGCAAAAGAGTAGGGTCGTTTGGAGTTCTTGACAGAGCACATGGTGTGGTGGACCTTCACGGAGATGTCGAGCCCTGAGAGCCGAGCTGACAGTTCCTCCTCCAGGTCAAAGCTGCTGCAAGAGCTGGGCATACACACTCCCCAGAGAAGGCTGGAGTACCTTGGGACGCGGTGTCCCATCTGTGACAAAGAAATACATCACCATGTTATCATTATGTTGCAGTGGAAAATTAATTATGTGGTTATCTTTCAATGCTTATTGCCACTACAAGCATTGGTAGTAGTGATGTGATTTAGTCACTGCATTAAATTGTGGTCGTAAATGAGAGAAAGATGCAAGTAAGTCATGACCGTTTAAAGTTTATTTCAATTTTATTTTTATTTATTTATTTAATATTAGGTACATCGTTGTTGTTCATTTCGGTTCATCACTTCCAAAAGTCTTGAATAAGTGGTTTAACTTTCATATGTAATAGATCTGAATAGTTTGGGGTTGTGTAAATATCTGAAAAAAGGTATTAGTTTACTATTTTGGCTGTTGCTTTCGCCGCGAGTGGAATGGAGTGTGAATACGTGCAACACGCACGTAGCGTTTTGTCGTGACATTGAGCTTTCGAAAAGCTACTGGACGTTATTTGGCGGCAATTAATCGAGTTTGAGGTAAATTGTCATTGTTTTATATGTGGGGAAGCAGAAACTTGCAAGCAAGTATGAATTATGTCGCTAAATAAAAACAGTAGATATGTAAATATAAAGAACAATGTTATGGAAGCTTACAAACAATAGCGTACACGCAATGAATATTTACAAAACATCGTCCTACCATTGTAAAGTTCAAATGAATTCAAAGTCAAATCTGGTTTATGAATTCAATTGTCTGCCTGAAGAATCGCGGGCTTTGGTAGCAAAGAATTCTTTGTGTGTTTTCGCGAACGGCGGAGTCTTCAGCCCGCCTTGGTCAAGGGCCATTGTGTTGCAACAACAATTGTGATTCAAAATCAGCTCAGAGACCAAATAAGACATAGTAGACGAGCCGGTACCCCACTCGGCATACTAACTACGGGCCTTGGGAACGCGTGTGTGTGATCCAGATGACTTGATATTGTGTTGTTGGGTATTTTATGACTTAATTACTTTGTAGTGCCGGCAGCCCTTCCGGTTTTATCTTTCCCTTTGTTTGTTATTGTCACATCAATTAAGATATTAAGAGGCTTTATGTGCATTATATCTTTATAGGCTTATTTTTTTTTACAAATTAATAGCAATATTAAAAATTAAAAGAGACATTCAACGTAGTAAACAGTCAATGACCGCATTTGATTAATAGTTAGGTGTATTAAAATTTTAAAGCAAAAATATTTTCATAATATTATTCTAGAAAGAAAATGAAATTTGAAAAATTGTTCGGTGAGCTTCGAGGGAATATTTATAGCAAAGAAGAGGTCGGACCTGTTTCTCGAGTCTAAACACCTGGGGCTCCTGACGGCTAACTCCATTTGCAAAATTCCTAGCAAAACCATCGCAATGTTGCAAACTGGTTGAGAAGCTAGTTTTTATAATTCATATGAATTATTTATTATTTTTCGAATGCAAAATTTATCAAAATTTGTATTAAGCCATTGTATGATGTCATGTGTTATCTCTGTGAATTCCTAACTTATTTTATTTTGCAAACGTCACTTTTACAACGTTTCTTCGCTATTTAAATTGCATTAAGTTCATACATTTTTATGTCACGTCTGTGGTATGATTTATTATTTAGTTGACGCGGTTTTAAACAAATTCCAGTAAAAATCTTGAACATGAATTATTAAAGAAGTTTTCAGACAGATTGCGAGCGATCGCGTAAAACAACGACTTTGGAAAATTCAATTTTTAGCGCATCCAGCAAGTTATAATAATGAAGCTTGAGCTACGCGATCTTTTGCTTCTATTTTATGGATGTTTTTGTTTAGTTCTACAAAATCTGGATAAAATAGTTTAAAATTAGTTTTTTCTATCACGGAAATATTACATCGTTCGTTACTCGTTCATTTTAAATGTTGACGAAAACAATTCCGAGATTGAGAAAAGTTTTCCTCTTGATTCCGTTGGCTCATAGTTTAAGTACCTATATATTTTAAATTAAGTAGTAAAAAAATATGTTGCTCTGATTTATACTACCTATTATAGTATAGGTAATTATTAAAAGGTTCGTTCACCTTTGATTGTAATTGCACAAGTTTTTGTCAAGTTGCATTCCGCGATTCAGTACAGGAAGTACAGTTTGCAATATTTATATTATCACAAAAAGGCAAATTATGAGGTATAAACATGTAATGTTTGCTGAAAATAAAAATGTAAATAAAAATAACAATCGATAGCATATTATGCGTAACATATGAGATGTGTAAAAGTAAACGGAATTAGGTAAATTGATATTGATAGGTACTCGTATTCAGGAATGCTAACTAATTGTTAAATCGATCTACTTATTGTTAAAAAATCAGATAAATCAATACAATTTCATCATTGTGAAAAATAATAACCTCTGAAAAGCTGAAATTAATTTTCACCTTTTGTTGTTGTTTCAGCGTTGAAATTAAATGTGTTTTTTGATAGTTGTTTTGTTTTTTGTTTGACTCTACCTGCCTACCAAATAAGATGAAAAAACGTTTTTGCAATCCAATAATGTCCGCAATAATGTGTTAAATAGTTCCATCCTAAAGAACGGAAAAGACATTGGTTTTTCATTGCCTGATTTACAATAATTTGAATTCAACTTTATCCAGAATTAACATAGTATCAACCATTATGGTTTTCTATCGTAGTTTTTGATTGTTTAGAGGTGTGGCTTGAATGACAATCGTCAGGGTTAGGGCAGGCCTTGAATTTACGAGTATGTGCGTTGCCTTAGAAGATTCGTTTGCGATTTTGATTGGAATGATGACGCATTATTACTTGTGTGACGTTACTGACGTTACAAATATATTAATTAATATTCTATTTGTGTGATAAGATGTCATATGTTTAGACTACTCGTATTTTATGTTACACCCAAAAGGGACGGGTTGTGGCGGTTTGAACAGTGAACTTCTAGATCTCTATCCCAAACAAGAAAACACGAGTTCAATTTTTATTGTAATTACAAACTGTCTGTAATCTGTATTGTGGTTGACGGTTGTTAGTTTATTAGCGCTTTTTTATTTGTTTCAAACTTAAATGCACATCAACACAGCAAGCATACAGCCATTTAGGTAAATAAATTTTTACTTAGTTTTATATCGCTTTTTACAAATTGGATGAGGTCGCATTAGATAGGTATTTATAAACTTTGAAAATAATCTTGAATTTTTCAGGAAGATTTTCTACCGCTTTTCAACTTTGAAGCGTGGTTTAATTTTGTATGAATATCATATTATATGATAAATCACAGATGTTCTCAGATATGGTTACCTTAAGGTTCAAATGTAATTCATTTCGTCATCGAAGGTCTCAAAAAGGGTTTAACACGCAAGTTCAAAGGTCCAGTCAACGACACCTAATTAAAATAGAATGAATGAACGAAGGGCTCTAGTACTAGCAGTGGAACCGGTCAAATTATACGGTCAATAAAATATTACGATTTTTTTGTCTTAGTCCAACGTCGTAGTTACTAAAATAGTTTTACAACAAAGGGGCCATCCATAAAGTACGTCACACGAATTTAATGATTTTTTTACCCCCCCCTCCGTCCTTGTCACAGATGGTCACATTTCTGAGACACCCCCCTCCCTAGTATGACGTCACATGTTTTGCAATTTCACATCGAAAAATTATTAAATTAACAGCAGTTCCGAAATTAGTTTTATTTCCATTTAAATTAAGTACTTTTTTTATGAAATCAACATTATATCAAATATTTGAAACAATTGAAATGTGATGTCACGAAACTTAGGACCCCTCCCACCCCTTGTCACACCATGTCACACTTTGTCGACCCCCTCCCCCCCTCTTTACGTGTGACGTACTTTATGGATGACCCCAAACTATAAATAGCACAATGTAGTTATTAGTGGCATATTAATAACAAAATTAATATGAATATGGATTATGACGTATTTTAGTTTGTTTTAACTTTTAGGTTTGGTAGGCATAAAATACATAGAGGTGCTACTAATAGTGTAGTGTAGAAGAACTAGTATTTTTGTCAGCTTATTATTTACGTATTTGAACTTTTAATTGCAGCAATAAAATTTAAATATATTTCATTATTTAATTTATAAGGTCCATCATTTATTTTTTTGCTTCAGTAGATATTAAGTACATGAATGTCATAAAATGAAATATTAGTAGTATTAATATGGAACAAGTGTGATTAATGTTTTTAATTTAAAATGACATAAACAGAGTCTACTCGTAGTTATTTATCAAATACAATACACATAACTATAATTAGGTACAGTTAGATACTTTTTAAAGTCTGGAGATAGACCATTTTGTATACAGTTGCATAAATATTTAGGTGTGTTGTCTTTTAGAAGAAATTTTCAAATTTTTGAACGTAAACACACTTATGTGTAAACTATAGTGAGACCGTATGAGAGTGCTATGAGGTTTCAGGATACCAATATAAAGTAGGTAGGTATGTGTAAGTATTCAGACTGTGTCTGCAATTATCCTAGGTCCTTTCCCTTCGAAACGGAACCCGCCATACGGATATCGTTGGTTTCGCGGAAATAGTCTGTTTACGTTTGGATCAAACCAGTTTTGGTATACATTTACTAAAAATTAAAAGTATTATAAAACGACCTTCGAAATTTAATTCATACTTGAATAAGTATAATTTGAATGTTTTGGCCAATATAGACTTCCTTTTCTTGAGTAAAGATTAGGCGCATCACTTACAAATTCTTACAGCGAGATCGTTGTTTCAAAATACAGGGTAAAATTTTACTCTAGCATCGTTATTTTTTTTTTATTTTATTCATTCATCCTTATTTTTTTTGTGTCTTGGCGAAAATAATATAGTTTTTAAGACGTTAATCTGCATTTGGACTTACCATTTTGCTGATGAAGTCTAAAGATAGGATATAGTAAGTAAAACGAAAATTACGACAAATCTTCCCAAAAAAGGCCTCTCTTTCTGAATTCAGAATACGAAGACATTTTCGCACGATATTACTTAAAAACATTTCAAAAACAACAGACAAACGCTAATGATATTTTAATTAGGAAAACAAATTAGTGACATTGTAAACATTCACTATACCCACTAATTGTTAGCATTGTAATACATTTGTCATTACCAGTTAAGTAGGTAATTGTAAGACAATACGTTTTCTTTTGAAATCAAATTTAAATAATGTTTTAGTGTGACACAATACTAAGGGTTAAAATGTCATTGGTCAGGGTGAATCGTTCAATGCAGGCTTTTTGAAGTAAAATAATTGTTTTCGACTTGGGCGATACTTTCTTTAAGTAGGTACCTATTTTCCGCGCTGTAAGAAAATGGCAATCTTGGAAACAAACATGACAGACTGACATTGACATCGAGTTTTCTGTTTGTCCTTGGTAATGGCCCCATGCCGTTTCGTAGTGGGTTTCAATTTGGTATAGGCAAATTAGTGTGATGAGTATGAGTATAATCTGAGTCATAGACACTTAGTACTTACAGATAAGGTAAATGTTAAGGTTTACGTTTAAACCCACTTAGATATCTAGTTGGTGTGACAAGTGGATTATTGTATTGGTGTGACTTACATTGAAATCGATGAATAGTTCTTCAAATATATTATTAAAATGTTAGTTATTTTATGATTTACTAGCTTTTGCCCGCCGCTTCACCCGCGTGAAATTTCGTTTCTCACAGATCGTCATAAATTACAGCCTATATGTTATTCTGGGTTATAAACAATAATGCTGTAAAGTTTCATCAAAATCCGTTCAGTAGTTTTTGCGTGAAAGAGTAACAAACATCCAGACATCCAAACTTTCGCATATACATATAATATTAGTAGGATTTGATGGTAATAAAATTCCATCCAGATCATTGATATTACGTTCATACGAGTTTGAATACACTAGTCGTTGTTTACATTTATCGTCGTATACATACCATAAGCTCTGCTTTGTTAGGTGCCTAATTGGCGTGATGCCTTTAGATTGTAGATGACAGGTCAATCACTTATCATATCTATAATCACTATGAATATTATGCAGCCACACGTTTATCGAATTAATAATCATACTTTATTTATATGGCATAAAAATAAAGACCAATTCAGTCAAAAATGCCATCTGAATTTTTACGAAATTATTACAATTTTTAGTACCACTTTATGTTGTGTGTTATGTTTATATACTTGAACTGAGTGTACAAAAATCTGAAGGTGAAAAACAAACGAGAGCAGTGACTGAACTACGTTACCTTCACCCTTTCTTTGTCCAAAACAGAGCAAATCGGACCGACCTTTTGGGCTGCCAAATTAAAAACTATATTTTAACTTGACATTTGAACTGCCAAAATGTCGTACGTAATTTTGTAGTTACATTTTTTACAGAAATAGATTTACCTATCTAATCGTATAAGAATTGAAATTGAAAAATGTCGACCGCTTCAGAATGGAGGGACTCGAAATCTCGAACTGACTAAGGCTGAGTTGCACCAAATAACTTTAACCGTAACTATAACGATAACCGGTGCTTTTTGTATGGAGTTTGACAGATTTTTGACGTTTGTCAAAGTTAAAGCAACATGGTGCAACCCAGCCTAAGTCTCCTAGTTAAAGTTAGAGCAGCATGCAAAAGGTCATGGTGCGTATTCCACGTGAGAGAGAAAAAAGCATATTTTAGTTGTTGGTATTGTCATAACTCAAGGACAATACTTATTTATGAGATTTTTATCATTTATTTGTAATAAAATAATAATAGAAAAATCTAACTGCATTTCAGATTTAAGTATAGCTGGCTGATTAAAATTAGCTGAAATTAGGTCATAAAAACCGTAAATAAAAAAACACTCACATCAGTAACGTTGCTCCTAATGTAATGTCCGCTATGAACCAGGTTGTCGATTTCCTTGTAGCCATCGTGTCCATCGAAGCTGATCTGCAGCGAGGCGAGGCAGTACTTCCCCCTGACCGCTCCATCTATGCTGAGGCATTCGTCGAAGTCGCCGTACTGGTTGCCGTTGCCGCTTAGCACGCCAGAGGGAGGCTTGGCTGTCGCGTCGAACACTGGAACAAATTCAAATATAAAATTAGTTATTTTTTTTAAAATGAGTGTCAAAACATCAAAATGATTTATTGCAATACAAAATCATGTAAATACAATAAATGATCATCATCACCCATTACGAGTAAGACGCCAAGATACGAGTACTTTTAGAAAATAAAACATTTAACTACTGAACCTGATGCTTTACCAGGAAGTCCCGGTTTTTAGTTAAAATTGGCGGCATTGACGCCATTTTTCTTTTATTTTGAAATTGCAAAACTTCCTACAAGAAAAACAAAAAAAATAATTGCGTATTTTATTTTTCTTAATCATCATAACTGACCAGCTACTCCCATTCACTTTTTAAAAGCAGGACAACTACGAGTAATATTATAAACTTTTTTGTGCAGTACCAAGAAGGTTACAACTATTAAAACTATTTTGTTCTCTTTATTTTTTTAAAGTGAATGGGTCACGGACTGACTTGCATTCCGGGTGCATTTTTTTTCAACCGACTTCAAAAAAGGAGGAGGTTCTCAATTCGACACGTATGTTTTTTTTTTCTATGTTTGTTACGCGATAACTCCGCCAATTATGAACCGATTTGAACAAATCTTTTTTCGGCGTATAGGTAATACCTCAAGGGTGGTCCCATTTAAATTTAATAATAGAAAAAACAACCCCCAAGGGTGGAAAATTGGGGATGAACTTTTTTATATGCAATATCTCCGCCGATTATAAATCAATTTGAACGATTATTTTTTTGTTGAATAGGTATTATCAAAAGGGTGGTTTCATGCGAATTTGAAGAAAATATTTCATCCCCAAGGGTGGAAAATTGGAGATGAACTTTTTTATACGCAATATTTTTAATTTTTAGTTTTTTTTTGTGTTCACGCATTTGAAGTCGGTTTTATTTTTTTTTAAAGTTAATTATTCGTACTAAAATTTTATGTAAACTGCATACTTGGATCACTCGCTGGCTCGCCGATCGCGGTCAAGTTTATGGTCACTTTATGGAGTCAAGGCCTACTTGGTGATAGATTATGCTGCATTACGTAAATGCATCACCAAAAGCGAATGAGAATGCGCACAGTTGCCTACAGACCGGTCTTCGGACGAGTCGGGGAGACATTACTGTATGTTTTTCGATGTATCTTAATATTCATGGCACAGCCCCACCGTGGATATTTCCAGATCTGTTATTGTAGTCATGATACAAGGGGACTTGTGAATATGTAGGGTAGGTAGGTACTTAACATCCGTTGGTGTTTTAATTTAAAAAATCAAAGTCAGTTACTCTGATTGTCTGGTGGAATATAATTTTCTAATAAGTTTCCTAAACTTAAAAAACATGCGTTAATTTTAAGCTGCATGTATCAAACAAGGTTGTATGTTATAAAGATAAATAAATAAAATATATAGCCAGATTTGATCTAAATAAGTTTTGACCGGTAAAAAGAGTAGTGTGAAATATAGGTTAACGTGAAAACATAACAAAACATTGTATTTTAGCCCGTTAAACGTACGCAAAATACCAATAATTAACCGCAGAATGCTTCGGACTTGCCAAATTTCGCAACAGCCAGCCTTGTAACTTACATATCTTTACGATATTGGAAATTCTTTTCCCATTATTCACATAGTCGTAAGTACATGCGAGACTTTAAGTTGTCTTATGAACTTGTAACAATGCCCTTTATATAATAAAACGTATTTTTAGCGGACTATTTAAAAACTTATTTCCTGCTAGGGAAACTCACTGGCGAGTAAGAAAAAAATAAAAGTAAACAATAAAAAAGTTTTTTTTTCGGTTGTTGGCTTTACACGGCTTGTGGAAATAAAAAAGTTGTGAAACTGGCCATGACTTAATTATTGAATGGAATATTTTTAATTTCGGAATATTTTTTAAGTCATTTTTCTAGTTCTTTTTAAAATGGCCAGGTATAGTCGGAGTACATAATTAAGTCCTCAAAATGCATGCATACTCAAGATCATGTTTTTTTTATTTTACTCCTAGTAAGACGCGGTCATTTTAAACTAATGTAGATTACGAGTAATTATAGTCTATTCAATATAGCTTGATTAGAATGACAGCTGCCATCAAAAGTAACGACATAACTTTGTAGTAGCGATCAATGAGAGCTAAATATTGGCGGACAAGAAATAATTCACGTCTGACCTACAAACAATATTTTCGACGACAGTGCTTCCAATAAAAATGTTAATTTCGTGTTAATGCAGCGTTAAATTACACCAATAAGTAGTAATTCGAAATTATAAAAATCAAGCTAGAGTATTAACGACGTCTCTACAAGGTTATCTCGAGTTACAAAAATGTTAGTGTTGGGACATATCGACAAATGTCATATTAAATTAAAACTAATTTCTTAACATATTTAACATTTTTTTTTCTAATTTTTTAACATATTTAAGTCAAGTTATACGTTTTTCTAAATGTTCACTATTAAAAACCAAAAAACATTTCATTCTTAAATAATCAAACATCGGAAATCAATCACCGGTAATTTTTTGGGTATTCATAGCACCGTTGCTCTAGAAGAGATGCCCACCGCCCTCTAGCGAGAGGAAAAAACCACTGAAGAACACTGATGATAATGACTACGACTTAGGTTGTACACCCTTGACATGAATTTTAAATTTTACTGTCTTTAAATTTAAATCATAATTGTCATTTTTATGAATAAAGATATGAAGAAAAATTTAGTGCAATTTTTTATATAATTTTTTCGAAAACTTATCGATACATCTATGTGAACCGTACGAAACATATACAGCACTAGTCACATTCGTTTGACAGCCGTCATTCTAATCAAGCTATATTGGATAGACTATAGGTAGGTACTATGCATTTAGAATTCAGAGTGCTTAAAATGATGCATTTTTAAATGTATGTATTTTTGAATTAAATTAATGCAAAAATTATGCAATTTCGGGTTTCCATCAAAGTTATTATCGAGTTATATCATCCACATATTATAAAATTAAGTGAATCGTTTAAATGCAAATTCGGAAGTTCAAGGCCGTGATAGTGTAACTGAATCCGAAAGTCTTGCGTTTCCAGTCGTGATCTAGTAGGTGTGGTGACAATGCTGACGTCCTTCTGTACAGAGCAGGAAGACACGCAAAAAAACAACTATTTTGTATAAACAAATCTACTAAGTTTAGACTGAATTTAAATCATTAATACTTATAATTTAGAAACATTATCAGTCAGCCGTTTGGTGTAGTGGTTCGTAACGGATCAGAGTTCGCGAGTTCGATTCCTGCACAGTACAAATATTTGTGTGCATGAACATATAAATAAAATAATAATAAAAAATAAAAATAAAAATCATTTATTATCAGACAAAAGCAGTCCATAGTTTGGTTAGTAACAATTTGAACTTAGAGACTATATTAGTAGAGTTAGTAACAATGTTCTTAGAAATATGTTAGTCGTACATCATGGGTTCTGTATATTGACTCTTTATCTATGGACGCTGTATAGCTTCACATGCCTAATGTGTAAGTCAACAAAGCGACCATAGACGGCTGAGTCCAGCCTCTCAGCAATCATTTTCAGGATTCCATTCCCACTTGTCCTCAGTCTTTGTAACACAGACGCAGTTGTTTTGCGCATAATTGAGTGAAAATCGTCAATATGAGCATCCGCGAACATGCCCGAGGCACTACAGTACCGAGGTAGTCGAAATAGAGCCCTGAAAATGTTATTATATTGGACTCGTAGGGCACCAAGGGACCGCTGCGTAAAACTGGTCCACAGACCACTCGTGTAGAAACTTTGGCAGTAGGCTTTAAATAGGGTTAGTTTTACCTGCGCAGTACAACGAGCGAATCTGTGGGTCAGCACCCCGCCACGAATCGCCAATGCCCTACGCTCTCTCTCTATGTCTTTGTCATCCTTTAAATCCTCTGTGACTATGTGCCCAAGGTACTTGAACTGAGATACACGTTTCAAAATTGCCCCATTCAATGTAAGAGGTGCCCCATTCAATGGAAGAGATATATGTTATATGTTTGTTGTTACCTAACTATTTAATTACGTAATAAGGTATAAACCTGTGTAATTAAAATAAATAAATAAATAAATAAATATGTATGTTTGTATTGCGTTGGTAGGGCAAAATGAGTATGAGACATGTAAAGGCTCCAGACCAAAACAAAGTTTTTAAAATTTTATTTTCTTGAAATATTTGACGATTTGTAAGCACTAATTAATAGTCCATTCGAATAAAGAAATTGACTTTGATTTTGACCTGGTGTTTTCTATCTATTCAAAAGTTCAAGGCCGTGATTGTTTCTAACCGAATCCTACCGAATAACAAATGCGTTTGCGCATTCGAAGTGCACCATGCGCTGACATTGACGTGATTAGAATCGCGCCGCGACGCGGCCGGAATGACAACTTTGGACTGCAGGTACCATTTCATATAATTAAAATATAATGAGTTGGTACTTCCCAATATTATTCGGTTGTCGAGTGATGAGTAATATTGTTTTTATAGAGTTAATAGTTTAAAAAAAAGCAGCCAACGAGTCTGGCTATTGAACACGGGAATAATAACAATAAAGTTATCTACATGAATTATTTAGGTACTTACTTAAAAACTTAACGAAACTTTGTGAAACAAAACATAATCTTTAAACGTTAAAGTACAGTGTTCACATAAGAAAATTGATTTCTTTTACACACAAACACGATGAGAACATATTTATTGATTTTACTTGCTGAAAAATTCAAAGCAAGATGGAATTGAAAGAATGCGACTGACGATTGTACTGAAACATATTTATAACACACCCGAGAAACGCGAGTCGTTGACTCTCTGGAAAATTCACAAAGAATGAGTGTTAGGAAAAACGCCTCAAGGAATCTTCGTCTGAAACGGTTCCTTGACGACATATTTTGTTTGGTTTTACCTCAAAAGTTGCTTTGTACGCAGAAAGCGGTCCGTGTACCGCAAAGGACTGGATTAGCATTTTGTCCGCAACGTGC